CAATGGTGTAGGTTTGGTTCCAATCTTGGTGGGGACATTCACTACGACCTGAGTCTACACCCATTGACACGGGGTCCAGCAGTTTCTCCCCCAGAATTTGTTGTGTAATCACACACTATATTTGCAATAGTGTGTTGCCTTACTATACTAAACTCAGCTGTAGACTGAATGAGAAGCAGTTAAGTATTGTTCTAATAGTCAGAGGAAAAATATTGAATTAGAATCTACAGTGAGTATCTCACTACATTGTTTGACATATACGATCAATCTCTAAAAACAAATCATAGTCCCATGCATACCTACAAAATTCCAACCTCGCCTGATGCACTGAAGGGCCTGTTGCTTCTACCTCAACATTCCCTATATTGTTCTCTCTTGTTGGTTGAGTTTCCTATGTATGTTAACAGAAGATTAATCATCACAATTCATAATTTGCTATTACTTGTGCTTTCTCTTACTTACTTTCCAACTGTTAAAAAAGCTCCTGATAATCTTTTATCTTTTTTTGTGGAGGTTGGCATTTTTTTTCTAAATTATATAAGAAGGTATAGAAAATCAAAAACAGACATTCATATACATGAACTGCAGAATCATTTATATAACTTGGCCAATGTCAAAAGTTACATAGTATTTCTCAATACAATGAGTTAACAAGAGTTTGGCAATAAGTAACAGTGTGGATTTTTCTATATTTTCTTTTTTTTATTCCACTCTCAACCCAAAAAGGCAAGTAAAAGACTCACAGGGCTCTCAAGTATGCAAAATAAAAACTTAAATGACCTGTTGTGGTGTGTTTTGCGCACAACCAGCATGCATCGTTAACGCAAATGGAAAATTTAGGTATCCGAGCTTTAATTTCGGGAGCGCTGGTTGCGCTTTGGGAAGAGTCAGGGGAGAGACATGTCAGAGACACAGGGGAGAAACGGGGGAGATACGAGGGAGACCCGCACTTGCAACATGGTTCTGTCTGCATATGGTCCGAGCTCGGTACCATGTTAGAGCTGTGCTTTCACTGAGCGCCGCGGCTGTCATTACAAAGGCGGCAGCAGCTGCACCAGGACGTGCACATTCGAGTGCATCGCTTGAATGTGCTTAGAGCAAATAACAGCAAGTGCCCGCTGTCACACATTTCACAGAAATTACATTATCAGCAGATAAAAGTTGTAAATCGTGGATCCGTGGAATATTTTCATCCCTAGTATAAGAGCACAATAAGTATTTTTTCAGTTTCTTTATAGATTAAACACACAGATTAGAAATAACGTAAGTACTTTGAATGGTAATAGATCTACAGTACTTTCCTCTGGTGCTACAACGCTCAGGGAACGAAAAAAAACACTTGCTTCACGCTGGCTAACTTTTAAAAATTAAACAGTCGCTCAGTGCTTCAGTTTGGCGCTGAAGAAGACAGCCAATCACTGCAGAGAACGGAACGGGTCACGTGCTGCTGCTGCTGCTGTTGCTCTGGAGGCGAGGAGGAGGCGCGACGTGTGCACAAACGGAAGACATGTGTCCCGGACCGTCCGGGTCACGGGACATCATGTCATTTTGGTGGGGACTTTTTAGTCCTCACCAAATATTGGTGGGGACATGTCCCCATGGTCCCAACGCAAACCTACGCCCTTGGTTTAAACACAATAAGAAAACATGTTCTTCTTAACGTTCACCATTGATACTTGTAGTAAACAAAACCCACCATGGAATTCTGCATGTATGTGATTAATTGTCATTTCTTCATGCATCTTTCAGCTGCAGTACAGATCATCATTCATATGCTCGACCTCCTCTCGAGTCCCGCTGCAGTTTGTCTCCCTCTAGAGGTTGTGGAAGACAGCGCAGACACAGCAGGGTACTCTTTTAATTTTCATCATAATTATAAAATCCCAAATGACAGATTGGTTTGAATGGTACTAAAGCCAACCCTACTTGAGAATAACCTGATTCACCCAAACACTAACCATGAGGGGAAAACAATCTCTTATTCTTCATATCTGAAAAATTATCTGGAAATCCTAAATTCTGCTTGGGTCTGTGATTGTGTGTCGTCCTCTACTGCAGACGAGCAGTGAGTGTGGGTCTGCGGTGTCGACTCGCTCCTCTCTCTCTGAGGATGAAGACATGGGGTGGAACTTCTCCTGGCCCTCTACCGTCTGGCATTGTTTTATCCAAGGTATTTTCTTTTTGTGGGTGTTCAGACTGAATGAAAATGCACCAGCTTTCCCTGTCTTATGTAGTTTATTGCATTTAAGATGGTAAGTTAGCTGTGAAAAACCTGGAAAGCCATAAAATACACACTGAATGATGACACATCCGCCACACTTTACTTAGTTGTATAGCAATAATGATTTACCAAATACACTGTATAAATGTGTCTTTTTGTCCAAGGTACTCGGTTGCGTTTCCTTAGCAACAGTAAAAATGATTGGCAGGACATTGGCGAATTTATAAGTGACAAACTTTCTGAAGAGGAGGAACTCACATTAAAGGTATTTACAATAGATGATTTATTATACTATACTATATACTAAATTAATATTGTCTTATTCTAATGAGAAGCTCTGCCATTTGTTGGAATTGTAATCTTGGTCAAGAGTCACAGTAAACTCTTGACTTGCCCTCATGTGTATTTTTAAAACTATGCACAATCTAGATTGAATATGACTTTAACCCCAAACTTTGCGATTGAATCTTTCTGTTCAGAGTTACGGCTCAGAGGGACTTCAGCTGATGGAACATTCGGAGACTGTGTCAGGTGACCAGCCTGTGCTTGAACTGACATTTAACCCTGGACCCTTCGGAAACAGTTTTCTGACTGCGCAGTGCCAACTTGATCACCCGTTCTATGTCAAAAACAAAGGTATACGCCAACACAATCTTTTTGATGTTGTCTGTCGTTACATATACGTTCTGAGGCTAGCTCCTTGCTTTCTCAGGCTGGTCCTCATTCCACCCGAGCCTCACTGTGGTGCATTATGGGATACCGTGTTACGAGATGGAGGTGGCAGACGTCTGCTTACCACCGGGACACAGAGATGCTAAGCACATGGATGACTCCCTAGTGTTGGACACTTTCAGGAGGTAAATTATGATACAAGCGGTGGACGTCGCTGGTGTTAAAGAGAGTTGATAATCGCACGGTCGTGGATTACCAAATATGGGGTTACCTATTACTTTCACTGCTATTAGGCCTATTCAACATGACCAAAGTGGTGGTTTGATGCTAACAGAGATTCTGAACTAACAAAAAACGTGCCAAAATAACAACTATACCTAATTACCTTACTATACAAACAAAGAAGCCAAGAAGAGCTTTAATTCCCAATGGCGAAAGTAGAGAAGCCAAACAGTGCTAAGTTAGGGTTGCGTTCTCATTTTGTCTGGTTTTCTTTAACTGGACCACTTCTGGATCTTTTGGAGCCACTATCAAACAAGTTAACATGTGTCCACTAGACAGTTTACAGTTTGTTCCCCAAGTTAACCAGACTTGGTCCATTTAAAGTGAACCAGACAACAACTGTGACCACATCCTAACTTAGCGCCTTAAGAAAGAGTGAAGTGATGTTATGTGTAAAGAAAGTTGAGCTGACTTTTGGTTTATGTTTAGATCGTATCTCAGATATTACTTTCCTAATATACCTTTTTGCATGTCTCCTCCACATGCTACTGTCCATCTGAAATGTCAACTGTAAACTGTGCTAATTTGATATAATATTTGATCTCCCAGTTACTCGTTCACACCTCTGGACTCGTCTGCGGTATACGTGCTCAGCAGTATGGCCCGACGGAGGAGGGAGTCTCAGTCCAGCTCAGACACGGCCTCTCCAGACAGAAAGACAGCACATGGTATATGAAGTGTATCTGATTACACTGTGTTTAACTGTCATCTGAAGACTACACAGCTGTTTCCACAAAAGTTTATTACCATTTCACTGAAACACTATTTTCAAACTGTATAACTCTTTATTTTGTATCCTATTCATGGTGTTGTTTTTGTGGGTAATCGGTGCACACAGGTTTGAAATGGATACATACAAATATGAAAAATAACATGTGCAATTAATTTGACTTCTTTAATATAGTGACCTATTTGCAAAGATAATAAAATATATAATAAACTGGGCAAAACTGGGACGCCATTAGTTCGACAAACTATAACTCTATTATAGGAAAACTTGTATTCATTTTTAAGTAAGTAAGTAAGTATTTATAATATATACCGCCTTTCACAGACCAGAGTCACAAAGCGGTTTACAATTGTTATTTTTTGGGCATTTGTCCTCTCCCTCAACAGAGATGGGAGCGGGGTCGCCGAAACAGGAGGCGCATGCCAGACCTATTGTACATATTTTTAGTTTAGTTTTAAAACAGTTGAAATTTTTTTGTAAACATTTGTTGTGTATTTTTGTGTGACTGCCTTCATTTGCAGTGAGTTAAGTGTCTTGCTCAAGGACACAGCATGAGTATGGTTCCTTAAACATACATATTGTGGTCCTGCAGGCTCACACAGACCCGGCACGTCCCGCTCTCCTCATCACAAACCAATCTCTGACCAAAACCAAGACTCACCAGGAAACAGCGCGGCCACACCCTCCAAGAGCAAGCGGCCGATGAACGCCTTCATGTTGTTTGCTAAAAAGTACAGAGTTCACTACACGCAGATGCATCCCGGAAAAGACAACAGGTGGGCAGTGACCGGTCAAACATCTGTTAATGTTTTCCATTAAACATGCATTATATAGCTAATCAAAATTAACAAAGATAATAGTAACTAAAAAACAAAGACAAATATTTGAATGATGGTGGTGATAGTAATGATGATAATTGTAGTAATAGAAATTATTATATGACTTGGACCGTACGCGCACTCTGATTGGTTGATTTGCGGTCTGATATTTTCCCATCTCGGACCGTTACCATGACAATTGGTCCGAACAGCGTGTATCACATTTGATATCTTTCCTCGGACAACGGTCCACAGCCCGTATCACACAAAACCAAGTTGACATGAACATACTTCACAAATATCTCAAAAGCTTTGGTAAAGACACAGACGAGAGTCATATAATAAAACATTTATTAACCTTGCTTGCTCGGTCTGTACAGAGAAATATCAGACCTTGGCCTTTTTGCACAGACCTCGTCACGGCTCGGTCTGTACATTAAGGCAGATATTGATATTTCTCCATACAGACCTCGCGCTCGGTTAATAAGCCGTTAATATTGCATGTTGTTATTGTTGTTATTACTAATAAATGTGGTGGGAATGAGAATAATAATTTTTCATAACAATTATTATAATTACTGGAAAGTTGATTTATTTTGTGTTTTGAGCTTTTTTGCATTTTTAGTGCCGGTCATGCCGTCTAATTTCTTTGTAGTTGGAGTTTATAACATATTTTTTCCTTCATCCTTCCTTTTTTCATGGAATGTATTACTGTTGTACTTGCTGGATTGTTGTGGTATGTATTGCATTGCCATGAAAAAATGGAGCAAAAAATAAAGACTAAATATATTTGTTTCACAGAGCCATTAGCGTACTGCTGGGAGAGCGGTGGAAGAAGCTGCGCAGTGAGGAACGTAGGGTGTTCACGGCCCAGGCCAAAGCGTTAGCCGACGAGCAGAAGAGGATCAACCCGGACTGTTGGAAACGCAAACGCACCACCTCTGTGAGTGCACATTTCACTCAGAACAGCACATTCTTCACTTATGTAAGGTCATTATCGGAAAATAAGTGCCTTAACCAAATCCGGTTTCCCCTGAAGGTACTTATTTTCCAATAATAGGGGTGGCACGGTGGCTGAGTGGATAGCACTCTCGCCTCTCAGCAAGAAGGTCCTGGGTTCGAATCCCGGTTGGACCAGGGCCTTTCTGAGTGGAGTTTGCATGTTCTCCCCGTGTCTCCGTAGGTTTCCTCCGGGTGCTCCGGTTTCCCCTACCACTAAAAATATGTACAATAGATGTGCCTCCTGTACTGGCACCCCCACCCAACAAATGTAAACCGCTTTGAGACTCCGATGTGCAGTGAAAAGGCGGTATATAAATAAAAGCTTACTTACTTACTTACAATAATGACCTGCGTTCTATACATTATCCCATACGTGATTATTTTAGTGTTTATCAAAGCAAGCATTTCACATTTGGGCAACTTGATGATCTCAGCAAGGAGGTTCTGAGTTTGAATCTCGGTCGAAACAGGGCTGTTCTGAGTGGAGTTTGTATGTTCTGCCTGTGTCTGCGTAGGTTTCATCCGGGTGCTCCGGTTTCCCCTACCACTAAAAACATGCACAATAGGTGTTTATGTAATGAATGAGTGAGTGAATGGATGGTGTTGATTGGGGGCTGATGCGCCAGTGTGTTTGGCGTCTTGCTTCCGTCATCACCGTGTGTGGAGTGAATAGACAAAAAGACAAGCAAGTGACCACTAGTGCTTGAACAAACTGTTTTTAGAGCAAGGAACGAGTTAAATCAGAGGTGTCCAAACCAGTCCAGAAAGGGCTGCTATGGCTGTAGGTTTTCTATCAGACCCAACAGAAGCAGAGCATACTCCACGCATTTCCTTAAGTGAGTTCAGTCTTAACCCAAATAGTAAAGGACGTAGTGATGCCCATTTCCTCTGTTGAAATGCCACAGACATGGACAAATTCCAAATGGCCTCTGCAGACCCTGTGATCTGCATTTCATCATTGCTCAAATCGCATAATACATCTCTTTGGATATAATTAATTAGCAGTATATGCTTTTGGCTTAAAGGCACAGTAAAGGATTCTTGTTAGCTTAGCAGTAGCATCCAAGTCAACCCCCCCCCCACTGCCCTCCACCAATTCCAACTCCCAGCACACATGAACGCCGTTTCTTTAATAACAGTCTGTGATGAAGCCTCCCAGCTTAAATGTGAAAGCATTACACTAAATTAGGTCTCACGCATCCTATTGGTTTGAGGGGGAAGAATGCATCCCATTGGTTTCGTTCTATCGGCCCGCTCCTAAATATTTGGCATTTATTTTTTTCTGATTATGTCCAGTTCTATTTGAAAACGCATGATAACTTGAATACTTTTGGGGTTTAGGAACGTTTCCTCACAGTATTTGCGCCTGGATAAATCCTTGACTGCATCTCTAAGCCAAAACCCAGAATATAATGTCGTTGTAATTAAAATAGCCTTTGTGTAAACGTGAACAAAACCTGAAATATATATTTTTGTATTTATGTGACAGGGCTCTCAAGCAAACTGACCCACAAGAAAAAGGTACATTTGAACAAGACAACGAACCAGCCCAACAGTCTCCTACAGATGGCTTTTGTGGTGTCTTCATGATGTTTTAGGAATATTGTGTAGGCATTGGTGCTATAGCTTTCAAACAACTGTGTAACATAGAGAAATCATCATTCTACCAGTATTTTAGACTTTTTTTCTTTCTTCATAACACTGATTCTTATTTTATTTATTGCATTTAGTATTAAATAGTACGTATGTTTCTTTTTATTTGTCAAATTTTATGATTTTCATTGAACTTGCATGTTTATCATGGATATATTTTATGGCTTGGTATACAGGGAAATATGTATCGAGCCAAAACAGACTTAAAATCCTATCATATGAATGCCAAAAATATCTAATTTACTTTAAGAATAATTTAGAAATATATATATATATAAAGAGTGACAGTTTGTAAATATTAAGTCTGGGAAAATGTGCTACTACTGTAGCCACAGCTGCCCAGGGGCACACTGACAGAAGCGAGGCAACCAGTATGTGCCATCAGCCCCTCTGACCACAAACACCAGACTCATTCTAGGCAATGGGGGTGAAGTGTCTTGCCAAGGACACAACGACAGCAGATAGTGGGAGTCGATGGTGAAAGTCGGGCTCGAACCCACAACCCTCTGGCTCAAAGGCCAATGCTCTACCAACTTATTTCATTTCAGCTATCTAATTTGCTCTCAATATTTAATAACTTTTGTAACATCTCTGACTATAAGATCTATGAAGCACTACTCTCCTGCTGAAATTCCAATGGTCAAACAGTTTAATCGAAATCTCCCCATTACTGCAATTCATTGTCAAAGCTAATAATGAAGGTAAACTGTCTGAAGTTTTAGCATTAAACAATTGTGTATTCTTTCATCCATAATAAATGATAATGGGTGAATAAATAAATTATTATGATACATTCATTTATTGAAAACTTGATTTCAAAACATGTAAAATATCGCCCTCTGCAGCTCCCTTCCTGTATTACAGCATACAAAGCGTTAAAAGAAAATATTAACACTGCACAAATATAAATATAATATTCAAGTTTTGATTGAACCTATGTTTTAGAATAATGGCCTTTTGGTAAACTGTGTTTCATCTCCCCTTTTCGTAAGAGTTAGGCAGATAGACGTTTTTGAGAGACATATATATCTCCTCCATAGACAGTAATTCTTGTCTGTCAGCGTTTATACAAGCTGTATCCCAGCAATGAGCATGAGGGGAAATTATATTGCACATCTTCCTGGTGGTAAAAGGCCACTTTCCTCAGCAATGTGCGGCAGTATCTTCAGGGACCGTAGGAAACACGACAATAACAGCTAAGTTACCTATCAAAGAGTGTTTAAGACTATTATTTGATTTTTGAATAGATTATGATGTGTCTGGTACAGTAAACTGTCGCCCTGGGTGATACACGCACGTTAACGTCATGTGGCATGAGGAGGTTATGTATTTCTTCCCGTGTCTTGTGAACGCCTCATCGCAGAGGCGAGATGCAGTGCTGCTAAACAACAATGTCTGTAATGACACCGTGACACTTGTGAGACACGGGACACAAATGGGGTCTAGTCGGCAGAGAGGCACAGCGTGTGTCCGCTCCAGAGCAGCGGTCATGCCTCTCCAAACACACCCGCACAGAGAGCCTCAGTCTACGGGCGCTCTGCAGGAGCTGCCGCGCTGGATGCGGATCTACTTCTATGGGATGCACGGTGTCACGCTGGATGTTCTGATGTCCTCTCTACAGGGGGTCTTCAAAGACCATGGCTGGAAGCTGCTGGGCTTCTCCTCAGTGTATCTGCTCATTGCGCACTCGTTGAACCATCTGGCTCTGGAGAAGCTGTTCGCTCTGAGACGGAGCTTTGGAAAGCGGCCTGCGCTCTTTCACATGGTGGTATACCCCTCCATCTACATCGCTCTGCAGGGTCTCATCGGGGGGCTCCATGCTCTCACGGTATGTTGCAATTGTTATTTGTTTTGCTGATTTTGTTAGTTAGTTCAATAAATAGTTTATTTAAAATCTGCAAAACACAATTTCATACATTATCTTCACACTAACACAGGTTTGAAAGGGTGTTTATTTTAGAACACAATGATAAAGAATATATAACACTATTTTTTATTTACAAAATATACATTTCAACATACGTCTCCAAATTATATCTTAATCAGTCAATATTTGGGAGTTGCAGTTTGTTTAACTCTGTTGTCTTTTTTCAGTGGAGTTCACATGACCCAGTTCCCTGGCTGTCCCTTCACATGTCCCCCTCTGGACGACTCTGTCAGCTGCTGCTGCAGTACTTGGTGGCCCTGTACTTCACTCTTGTGTTCCACACAGGCATGTCTCAGCTGCAATATGTTCCCTCAAGTGTCCAAACAGTGTCCCCACTGCAGCATCAGGACCCCCAGAGGTGTCTGCCTGGATTCCTCCACTTCTTGTTCTTTGGGATGCACGGTTTTGTTGATGAGGTGGTGTTCACATCTGTGTTTAACCTGATGGAGAAAGCTGACCACAGCCTGAGCGGACACACATCTCTGTGGTCTTTCTTGATGTATGGCAGCTGTAGTTTTGCAGTGGAGAAGCTCTACCTGCACCTCCACTTTGGTCGGGGCTGGGGCACCTTGAAGAGACTGCCTCTGTATGTGTGTGTGGCCTACACCTGGGAGCTGAGCTGGGGGCTGCTGCTCCGACAGTTTGGGGCATGCTCCTGGGACTACTCGCACTACCCCCTGCACTTCATGGGGCTGGTGACTGCACTGTACCTGCCCGGCTGGGTGTGCCTCAGCCTGTACCAGGATGTCCTGACTACTGTACTGCTGCGCATCAGGTGCACCCAACAGGGGTCTGAGGGACCCTGCGATACCAACGGTCTGGTACAAGTCAGCAAGAAACTCATTTAATTAATGTCACCTGAGGAAATTGACACTTCCAAATGAATGACCAAAAGAGGGATTCACTGTGAGAAGATAAAAATGATCTATCAACATATCATTGAAACTATGACTGCATCGAAGTCAGTCTTTTTACTCACACAGTTTACATTCATAAAAGTTGAACATATAATTTTCACAATATCTATTGTCAATTATATTCTATATCATTCTGTTTGTTCATTGATCATTATACTATTCATAACTTGAAACTAAGATAGTGAGTGGAGACCTCCATCTTCGGTCCAGACAGATCCCCTCAATAGTTTGTCCCTGACATTTACTGAAAAGTCACTTTTTGAGTTTTGCTGCTCAATTACTAAAAGACAAATGAACTCAGACAAAAAACTTATTTATAAAAAAAACAAAAAAACATTATGTTTACTTGTGGCCTACTTTAATTAGTTCATACAAAGAAACAAATATATGCACTGTGAGCTTTTCATATTCTTTTTCAACATTATTTATTATCCACCTCTTTTAATGCCTTAACAATGTTCTTGATTTTCCCTTTGTATCATAGTCAAATGAATATTTATTCAAACCTATGACCAGTGGTACAGTACTCCTCTCAGACTTGTAGCAGCAGTGGACACTGACTGGTCTTACTGTGAATCTTTAATGACAAAAGCTGAGTGCCTTCCTGTGTAAACTGAGTCGCTAAAGCAGTTCTGCCGCTCCTCTGAGGAGCTTCATATGCTGCAGGAAAAACTCACCACTGATACAATCTTTTTTATACAATTCAATAATATACTTTTGGATGTTACATATCTTTCCATAATTGTAAAAGATCCATCATATTAACCATTTTCATCTTCAATGCTTAAAAGGGAGCGACCTGGTCCGTTAGCATGGTGTAAAGAAGCCTTAAATTCTTATGATTTTACTGTATAGATTTTTAATGTTACTTTTACTGTGATATCGTTGCATCTGAGAGCACTGTCACTATTTGACCTGCACTGAAAAGCACTGTAATATTGTTTTATTAGTATGACCGTACATAGACATCCTGCCTAGCTTTGAGCAAACTAAAATAAATGAATGAAATGTGCATCTGCTAAAAAACAGCAGAATAGATTATTTAGATCACACACAAGTAATGAGAATATATTTGTTTTATTCACTTTTGTAATTTGAACTTTTACCATTTTTGAATGAAATAACTTTTTTTATTCCTGAACCACAACCTGAACTGACTTGATCTCAGTATTAAACACTTTACAGGGATGTTAACTTTATAATTGCATGAAACGTGTGACTTGAATAAAGTATGCTAAACTTGCAGTGTTTTTTCAATATCGTGTTTTTATATGTTTGCACACGGACAGAACGCACAGTTTTTGTTTTAGCCTGCACTTTTACAGAATTTTGTGTTCGTCATAGCCCAGACCTACCTGTTAAGCAAACATACTCCAATGGACTGTTAACACACTGTTATCTCATTTTACAGCTTCCTCATTGTGATAGGATTCAAAAACTTTAACTCAACAGTTCAACTAACCTAAGGATTTTCATGGCAGCCTTTTCCTTGTAGTGAGATATTGTTCCCTATCTGTGGCCCATTTTTTATCATGGACACACATACACAATCCACATGTTATGTTTGTTATTACTATACAACTACAGTGTATGTGTTGTGCTCTATTTTAATCCAGTGTTGGCATTGGGTTCAACTGATATAAGTGAAGGGAATGAATGAAACTAGTCAATGTTTCTGCTGTACAATTTGATTTGAATGTATTATTATAATGTTGTAGGGTTATAGGGTCTGCTTGAGTATAAGTATGAGGTGTTCTGCTTGTTATTACTCTCAGTATGTAGAATATAGAGATTCACTATTGTTAGCAAACAGCCAACATTATGTGGACTGCAATATTTATCATAATGGTTGTATTTGGGTTATAGTAGGAGTGTATAAGGTCGTGTCATGGTCATATGGTCCTTGGACTTGCAAATTGTTATGGAACACCATATCGTCAGGGCTATCAAGAGGACAAACTTTGGGACTGAGCGGCACATTTAAATATACAGTAAAACTCACTTGATGCTATACACAACTTGAATGAAACATGGATAATGAAAACTCTTGGTTTTGGTGTTTGACGGTTGACAGCTGAAGAGGGTTTCCCGAGGCTTGTGGGCCGCCTCATCCAAATACAACCAGAATACAACCAGCAGACAACCATTGTATACAACCAGTGGTGTAAAAAGACAAGAATTTTTCCTCCAATTTGGAGTTAAAATTACTTAAACTTTGTTGAAAGCAATATAAATAATTCAAAATACCTCTCAATATTCTGGCATTGAGTCAATAGAGATAATGCTGCAAAAAATATCAATCACTTTTATTGAACAAAACTATTATCTCATAAACTTTTGATTTCCACTAGATTATTGTGCAAAGGTTGAACTATTTCTGTCAATTGATGATTACGGCTTACAGTTCTTTTTCAAACTATGTTTGTATTCCTTTTTTTTTCTTACAAGCTGTGAGCCAATTGTAAACATTATAACAAATTAAAGATTTGCTACATCTCACTTAGTGTGTAATGTGTCTGTCATATATTAGTCTCACATGGTTAGTTGAATTACAGAAGTAGATGGACTTTTGAATGAAATCTGAAGTTTCACAGTATAGATTTCCTGCAATTTTATTTTCTTTCACATTATTATTGTTTGCAATCAAAAACATTTTTGCTGTGTACCATGAAGTGGGATTTTTTAATAATTGGAAAAAAACAGGTAAAACTACCATTGATAGTAGCAGAGTGTGAAGCTCACTAGAAAGCGGTGGTCTGAACAGAGCCACATGGAGAATAACTTTTCAGTACAGACATCCTGTTGTTGTCCTGAGCTGAAATATGTGTTTGCTCTTTCATCTATTATATTCTCCCTCAAAGTGTATAAATTGTAGTTTGTCTTCAAAGCCTTGGCCAGTTCCTTGTAGTTTGTGTACAGTTCAAACTCTCATAACAATGTCAGCTGAAGTCTTACTGAGAGATTGACAAAACTGTGTAGCAGAGCTCTGACACAGCCTGGGGTGAGTGGTTATGGGGAGTTTATGGGGAGTGATAAACTGTGAGCCAGCGATCAACAATATAGGGCTGTTCACATGGAGACCCTGTGACAGTAGACGATATATGGATGTAATGTAATGTCTGTAGTAGTACTGTATGTACAGTAGTATGTACAGTTCAGATTTATTTGTCGTCTCAAACTCCGGTCAGTCCTGAGTTCTGGTCACTGCTGTTCACCTCCAAATTTTGGACTTACTGAAGGTCATGCCTTTATACTCTACAGCCGCTGTAATGCTCTCTTTTTAATGTACATATTTATTTTTCTATATGCAATATACTGTATATAAATCAAGTCTTGTATAGCCCTAAATCACAACTCTAGTTATCTCGGAGGACTTTTGAATTCCCCAACATTGAATTCCCCAACATAGATCAGAGAATAAAACTGTTCAAACACAAGAAATGCAAAACACAAAGAGCCATTGGTCCATAAGGGGCAGATGGTCAATGTTCATATGTTGATAAATGTCCATTTATATATTGTATGTTTCCTTTTAAATATGGACCGCATTGAATTGTGTCCTTAATAAAGATTCATATTAAATAATAATAATAATATGTTAGTTTCACATTGCAAATTGAAGGCCAGAAGTAAATGGACTTTTGAACAATATTCTTAGTGTATTTCCGCTTCAGAACTTTGACATGGCCTGGGGTGATAAGGTGTTTATGGTACCCAGCGCCCGTTGGCCTGGTTGAGGAAGAAGCTGCAGATCTGAGCCTCTGGTGACGTTGGTTATTTAAGTTTTAGGTTCTGGGTGAGAGCATAGAGAGGCGCGAAAGGGCCCCACAACAGACCAGTGTGTGGAATAGTAAAGAGGCCAAATGTGAATACCGTCTGAAACGACACAATGAGAAGAATGGGACGTTGATTGAGTAACATAGAAGTGCTGGATTTTTTGGTCCAGAGAGACAGAAGAGATCTGGTTGCTACGGTATCGTGTTATCGGTTTTTTATGAACACACATAAACTGTAATCATTATCACTGTTGTGAATATTTATAAAAGTATTGCTTATTAAGTAACATATGCAAATCCTTTATTATATATTCTTTATTCATGTTATGATTATAATTGTATCAGATCAGTACTGTACATTGTTACATTCTTATTTTCTGAGATGTTTTATTATTGACTGTGAGCCAAACTTAAATTAGTTGAAATGTGTAACCATTTTATAATTTGAAGAGTTTCAATTGTACTACATTTTTCTTCCTTCTACTCTTGTTCAAGTTTATATAATGTACAATATTGTAATAAGTGCTTGTAATTGAATAATTAGCTAGAAAATACTATGTTGTGACATTTGATTATTAAAGTTTGATGTACATTGTACCTTGAACGAAATAGATAAACACTCAACTCAATGTGTTGTAAATGATTAAAAAAGACAGCCTTTTCTGCTGTATTGCACCTCTGATTTGACAAATGAGATTAAAACGGCATCACTGCAGAAGCTAATGTCTTACGGGAGGCGTTCCCTGTTAGCCGAGTTTAGTGGCTCCGTAAGCTGCAATTGAGTGTCATCATCAACATGCTTATCCTGTCTGTTAACTAATCATGCCAGCAGCAGCAGCACAAGCATAATCCACCAGCGCTGAACCTTTTGTAATCCACATCCTCCTGTGTCATCTCCACTACAGCTCATCGTGTTCCTCTGCGTGTCCCATCCCGTCCGTCCAGGGGGGTGTGGTGTGGTGTTACCTGGTCACTGCAGTCTCTGCTGGCCCCACAGGACTGCTCCAGACGCCCCAAACGGCTGCACACTGCTCAATGTTGTCAACCAAACCCCTTGTGCTTTTAGATATGTACAGGAGAATGGGAAACCATAGAAATTAGTTGTGACTATCAAAAGAATATTTGTCCCACAGACGGGGCGAAAAATCTAAGTTTTAATTTTACTTTGAAAGGACACACAAAAGTAAAGTAAAAGTAAATCAATCACTTGGGAGGAATGGATTTGTTTTCTGTCTAATTTGATTAAATATTTTTCATTACTTAATAAAGAGATGAGATTGGCAGTACACAAAAAGACCAATGGAGCCGCTTACTGTACATCCATCCATCCATCCATTTTCTTCCGCTTCATCCGTTGCCGGGTCGCGGGGGCAGCAGTCTAAGCAGAGACGCCCAGACTTCCCTATCCACACACACTTCCTCCAGCTCGTCCGGGGGGACCCCAAGGTTCCCAGGCCAGCTGAGAGACATAGTCCCTCCAGCGTGTCCTGGGTCTTCCCCGGGGCCTCCTCCCGGTGGGACGTGCCCGGAACACCTCCCCAGGGAGACGTCCAGGAGGCATCCAGAACAGATGCCCGAGCCACCTCAACTGGTTCCTCTCGACGTGGAGAAGCAGCGGCTCTACTCCGAGCTCCTCCCGTGTGACTGAGCTCCTCACCCTATCTCTAAGGGAGCTCCCAGCCACTCTGCGGAGGAAGCTCATTTCGACCGCTTGTATCCGCGATCTCGTTCTTTCGGTCATTACCTAAAGCGTATGACCATAGGTGAGGGAGGGAACGAAGATTGACCGGTATATTGAGAGCTTCGCCTTTCGGCTCAGCTCCCTTTTTACCACAACGGTTCGATACAGCAACCGCATCACTGCGCACTGAGCCGCTTACAGTTTATTTTTATTTATTTTTTCTGACAAAAGCTTAACACTTTTTACAGTGCACAGCAAACGATAAGTGAACGATACCTCTATGGTTTCAAAATCGCTCTGAGTGGCCACAGTCAAAGCTCTACCTCAGCACAGTGACACTTTTGGATCAGTCTCACAGCTGAATGTATCAATCTAATTACTAAAAAACGTCACTAAAACTCACCTAGATGTCATAGAATAGCGAAGGCAGGGAGTGAACGGGCTGATCTGTGTTAACAGGAAATGACTTCACGCCTCCCCGTGCATATATCCCATTCTATTTGGACATAAACATTCCTATCAAAACTTGATGGAGTCAATAATTATTAGTAAGGCCTTTAGACCTGGCACACACGATGCAACGATATTTATTGATATGTGGTGCATAAGAATTTGTGTATGGTTTGACAGTTAAATTACAGCAAAAATATAGCACAAAATATAGAAATTATGTAAGTGAAATCCCCCTATGGTCTAAACCCTGGTGGTTGTAGAAGCTAAAGTGATGAAGAGGATTAAAGAGTCCCACAGGTGCAGCAAATGCATTTTTCAGTTTTCTCTTTCATACAGCTGTTCACCTGGCCTGTCCCGAATATATTCAATTTATATTGGACTTTTCTCACTTATTTTTCAGTGTCTCCTTTAAAGGCAGAATGAGGTGAGAAGAGTGAATACACGTTACACTCTTCGGTGACCCAAAGGAAGCTGCTATTTCACTGAGAAACCAAACTCCTTCAACAATAGGGTAAGGGCAGAAGTAGCACATGGTGCAGATAACAGTGTAACCCAAGAGCCCACTCAATCCACTCAAGTGTTTAGCCTTTTGCTATTCTGGAATTTCCCCATGTGGGATAAATAAAGTATCAGTCTGCCTGTCTGTTTGTCTGTCTGTTTGTCTATCTATTTCTATTAATGACATTGAGCAAAGTTTAATAGAAAAGACCTATTGATCACAATGAGGCATTAGTGTTTACAAGTATTATTATATACAATTATAAGAGCCGCAGCTCAAATAGTGCTCCTTCCAACACAAATCATTCACTTTTTAATGATAATAATGCATACATGTTATTATTCTTTCACTCCATACACAGTGGTGATAAACAACTACTGTAGCCACAGCTGCCCTGGGGCACACTGACAGGAGCGACACAACCAGTTTGTGCCATCAGCCCCTCTGACCACCACCAACCATTCACACACACACCAGACTCAGTCAATGGGGTGAAGTGTTCTGCCTTTACAGCCACCCCACTGTGGCATCAGGTGTTCCCAGAGGTTAAGTGTCTTGCCAAGGACACAACGACAGAAGACATCAGTGGGAGTCGGTGGAGAAGGTCCCATGGTGGGCTCGAACCCACGACCTTCTGGCTCAAAGGCCAATGCTCTACCAACTGAGCTACTGTCGCCCTTTATAAGCAAGAGTGGAGAATAAAATGCAATACTCATAAACACAGTTTTTCTCAGTTGCTTTGGTGCACTTCTCACATTACTCTACACATTTGTACAACTGTTAGTGCATTTCTCAGAACAATTAGTGCAAACTGCAAAACCTCGTGGATAACCTGAAAAAGTCACCAATTCCTCAAAAGCAAGTCTTCATGTCAATGAAACTATCTGTGTCTCAAAATAATACTAAGTCCTGACACCAGTGTATATGAACAACAGTCAAATGTTTTCATTGTGACACTTTACTCTCTGTGTTTTTATTGCAAAAAAGTCAGATCTTGGTGACACTTGGTGAGCACTATACACCTGTACAGCCGAAAACTACAGTAAAGTTACACCTGACTGTATTTAATGAAGTATCTCAGTACAAGACACATATGTATGTATGTACTGTATATGTATGTTTGTATGTATGTGTGTATTTACAGTATGTACCTATGTATGTACAGTATGTACGTATGTATGCATGTATGTACAGTGTGCCTCAGGGTGGAGCAGGACAGGTCACAAGGTGGATTAGCCGCTTGTTTTGGACCATTTTCTCTGCTCTAGTCCAAAGTAAAATGCTAAATGCTTCATAAGCACTTTTCAAAAAGTTAGCATTCCTCCAGATTTTGAATAAAAATTCAAAAGCACAAAACAACAACTGTTTCAGAGCTACTTAGGACTTGCAGCCGTTGTCCAGCACATTCAAAAGTAAACATAGCCAGCATGTTCAGCTAAACGCCACTTGATCCTTGCTGTTTCAGAAATGCAATGCCCATCCATCCATCCATTTTCTTCCCCTTAATCCATTTCTGGGTCGGGGGGGTGGCAGTCAGAGCTGCACCCAGTACACTTAGCACCAGCTGGTGAGTCCACAGGAGCTGAGATCTTTCAGTTGGGGCTTTGGGCAAAGTAGGGTTAAGTGTCTTGCCCAAGGACACAACGACAGCAGTCATCAGTGGGAGTCATGAAGTAGGTCTTATGGTGGGCTTGAACCCACGACCTTCAGGCCCAAAGGCCAATGCTCTACCAACTGAGCTACTGTCGCCCTAACAGTAATGATTATAACTTGTGTTATAATCATTACTCACAAAAAATTACGTTGAATACTAAACCACGTTATAAATTGCACATCTAATAAAGCTGATTTATTGAGCTGAATCTAAATATATAAAACCTCCATCTGCCTCCATTGCGCTCCATGTGGCACAGATCAGACGGACTGTGAGCATGACGCATAAACAAATGTGCATTTAAATAGCTGTGGCCTGGAGCTGCCCTCATTTACCTGAAGAAGCGTCTGTTCCATGTTGATCCATGAAGGCGGCCGTATGGGGCCTTGCGGGATGGGGCCAACACTCCTGACCCCTGACCATCAGAGCTGCTCTGGGACTTTCGTCTGCCAAAGAAGGCTGTCACATAAGGATAACAATTGTATTGTGAGGAAAATCATAATTGTACTGTGTTTTTTTCTTTACAGGTCTACATTAAGAAATTGTATGAAAGAATAATGATGCAGAAAGATTTGTCCTAGTCTAGCTCTCCTACTGGACAAATGATTCGAGTTGCTTAGACTTAAAGACTCAAAAAGCATATCTAGATAACAGCAACAAATGTGCATTTGAGCCAATCTCCAAATCAATCATTCCAATTTTTGTACATACATTTTAGTGCAACACAAAGTGCTTTACACTTCTCACATCTCATATAATCTCATATAGGTAAAATATGCAGGGTAAAATAATTCATAATGGTTGTTACAAACAAAGTAAAGTCCAAAATGACAGTTGTAGAAACGAAAGCTCTGCCTTCATAATCACACCTCATAATTCTGGCCGTAGATGGCAGGGACAATCTTAATTTAATGCTGTATGTTTTCATAGAGCCAAATAATGTCCATATCCTTTTCTTCCTGCCACTGCTGCTCAATCATGGCTATAGTTTCATGCAGATGTTTGTTATCCTGACAGAATTTATCTCCTGTGTGTTATCAGGGATTTAGGGTTCAATGTCTGTTCCCTTTCGTCACAGCCATACAACTTTTGTTAACACCTCAGTCATAGACAAAGCAAAATCAAAACTGTTTATAAATCTTTGTAATAGGTGCTGGAGAATCCAGGGTGGTAGCACACAACGTCTGTTGTAAATAACCAGGTGTGGACTGATGTAAAAAGATGACGTTGAGATGTCAGAATCAGAATCAGAATCATTTTCAGAATCATTTTTATTGCCACGTAAGTAACAGGAGGTCACAGACTAGGAAATTGCTTTGGCTCAGTGCAACAGTCAAAAAGAGATAATAAATGTTGTGGACTATATCAAAATAATACATTTATTGTACAGAACACAGGATCACTAGATAACAACAAACACCAAGCAGAAATGAGCATAGACAAAGTAGCTGCAGCGTTTGACGCAGACGTCGGCGCTCATTTGGGTCTGGGGCCTTTCATGCCTGGGTTGATTGGCAATCGTTAGATGGTGATGAATATAGAGATGATTCAGACGCTGAATACTGTAGCTGCTTCCACTTGCCCCAGTGCAACTAATTTGAAAAGTGGGTAACATGCAGAAGACAGTGTTCCTGTGAGGAAAATAATGACTATATAGCCCAAATAAAACCAGTAATATATTATGTTATATATCAAAGTATACACTCATCATAATCATCATACAATAATGACACAAATAAAAAGGAGAGTTGTGTGTATCTTTACCCCTCATCCACTTTGCATGGAATGGACTGAATAGAAGCACATTTAGGACCCCCACTTTGATGATATGTGGAAGTTGTTGTGTGTGGGGGCTTTCTCCTGGCTGGGTTTGAGGTTGCCCTGTTGAGGAATGCCTCTATTGTGTTATAGTCGTGCTTTGTGAGGATAAAGGCTCGATTCATATGTGTATGAGAGAAAGGAACTGGAACCTCTAGCCAAAGCAAACATCCTAGAGTCTTGTGTAAATGGTGAAAAACTACCTTCAAGTTGCACTTCAAGATTCCACTTTCACTAAAACCAGTCAAATCAATTAGACTTAAAATCTTACTAACAAATAAGCTGCACACCCTTAACACACATTTCCCATGTGTCTTTCACTGAATTTCCTTTTGTTCAAATAGCAGTTGCTTATAACTTCATAGTCTCCCAATACTTTGTGTTAGACATTTTGTAGTTTTTCCACAGGCGCCCTCTGAATCTCATTATTTTAATTTTGTGTTCATGACTGACATGTCTGGTAATGCTGAACTGTAAAGGTGAAGTAAACTGTAAACAACAAGCAAACATGTAGTAACAGGTGTCCTTCTGATTCATGAAAATATGTGTGATTTGTTTGGTGCAGGAGGATGATCTCGAAGTATGAAAATATTATCATATTGAAATTATGAAGTTAGTGCCCACACTTTTTTATGGCCATTTTTCTGGGGGATGAAAATTACAAGACACAACAACTTTGTGAGATTGATTGAAGCCATTTTGTGAACATGAATTTTGATTAGATAACGTTATATTTCATTTTCAGTGCAGTAAAAAATGACTGGGAACATATTTAGTATATATGTTCAAGTGCAGAGTTGTGTCAGTTATAGTTATGATGTAATCATAATAATCATTTATCTTTAGTATCATTTGTTTTGTATTGCGTTTGGCATCAGCCATTAAAGCTGGTTTTATAATGTGTCTATTTTCCAACGTATTTATAAACTACAAACACCGTGTCCTAATACTATAGCAATATTAAGAATTACATTCTACCATTGTTTATATTTTTCTGACCTAAATTCATGTAATTCTGCTACACCTGTGCCCAAAAGGTTAAAATCATACGCAAAAATATTCAAATCACTTTCCACTGACGTTCACGTGACGTCATCCTTTTGTGCATCAAGTTCACAAACTATTAACAGCTTTTTATAGGTGCAACACTGCCCTCATGTGGCAGCTAGTATTACTGTTCTGTTTAATTAATTATTACAATAATAATGAGCCTTGCACGTATTTTTCAATAAATAAAGGGCTTACAAAACAATTAACACTTTTTTATGTTTATGGAATGTAAATATTGTAATCTACATATACCATTGCTATTTGAATTAATAAACCAATCAATATGTATTGAATGACTCTCAGTGCTCAAAGCCCAGTGCAAATGAATTGTTCACATTGAACTGAACGCTCACATCAGACTGCCTGAAATATCTGAAAACATCATTGTTCTGACAAACTTTTAAAAGAACTCATCTCACTGCACCTCTGTACTGAGAAAGCAAAGGTCCAAGGGGTTTATTTGTAACCTGTGTTCAATTCTTGTTGTTGGAGGGTGTGTGTGTGTGCGTGTGCGTGTGTATGTGTTAAAGTTAATGTTAAAAATTGTGTTATTATATTTGGTGGAATTGTGTTTTACATGTTTTGAAATAAGCATTTTGATTGATTGTTTGATCTGGTCTATTGTCTTATTGACTATGTAACACTTTCCAAATTGCAGACCGAGGCGAGGGTAAGTTATGAAATATTCATCGAAAAGGCTATGGGGGGGATGTCTTCTCCAGGGCCCCAAGTGCAAAATGTATGCAGTCCTGTCCTTTTGCCTTTCAGCCCTGACCCCTTCACTGAAAATACATGGCTTGAATAAAGAGCTGCAGGGTCTACACACCGTTTGCAGAACTTAGCAGAACATAATGTGGAAAATAAGATATTATAAAATTATTATCATATTTAAAAGAGGACAATATCCACTGACATTGGTACTTCATTAGATTCAATGTGTTCAGCAAGTTAAAGGTGATTCTTCAATATAGTTCCTTGAGATACACAGATATAATTACACACAAATTAAAGAATCAGTCCATATACACTATTGCTAGGCATCACAAAATTAGGTCCCTCCCACAAATTATGTCATGGTATATGTTTTATTCTCACTGTAATGAGGGATTTTCATACACAGATTGTTTAAATATACAGTACACGTATCAGGAACTGTTAAATGAAATGATTTTGTTGATGAAGTCATAATGCCACGGTTCACTCATGGGGTGTGGAGTATTATGTGGCTTGCATGGTTCTGGGCAGGCAAGTTTTTCAAGTTAGACCTGCAGAAAAGTACACACAATTGGCTTGAACCTCAGGGAAGTACAAAGCTGCCGAGTGGTGGTGACTTACTATAAAAGTGCTAGTTCATAGAAAGCTTTTGCGTTTGTCATGGATTGATCCTGTTGTGAAGCTAGTTTAATTCTTTATCTTGGGTGATATATTGAACACCAAACATAATCATCTTTCTGCCTTTCTGTGTTCTGATCAATACAAATTTAACTGTTTAATTAACAGCGACTCATATAGCCCTGTAAGCATTGATCGAGGCTAGAAATGAACCTAACAGTCTAAAAACAAGTATGTATTGCCCCATAAGTTAGATTGTATATAGGTATGCAAGTGATGCACAAGAGTCACCCTAAAGAGAGGGGAAATGTAATGATAAAGCCACCATATGCTACAACTGTTTTACAAAGACTGCAAACGACCTGCAGCTATAGTGTAAAAAGAGAGAAAACATCACCATTGTGACCATCAGGATGAGGTAAGATAAAATATTAAGATAACCCTTCGAGGGGTATAATTAAGGTGCACTTTATTCACTCCTGTAAGGCAATTTGTCCTCTGCATTTGACTCACCATTCAATGCCACTAGGCCAAGGCAAGCTGGTATAGGAGCAGTGTTGGTCATATAGGTGTTGACACTTGGCCTGGTCAGGATGTTATGTTCTATGTGGAGCACTTAGAGGAAACCCATCTAGACACACGGAGAAAACTGCAAACTTCACACAGAAAGGCATTAAATGACAGGGGATCAAACCCATGACCTTCTTGCTATGAAGCAGGAGTTCAACCCACTCAGTCACTGTGCCATATGTTTTACCATAAGCAGGGACAGGGGAGATGTCAGTGTTGCAGTACACATTACAGAATCTTTTGTTTAAACCCTCAAACAAGATTCATCAATGTAAAACAAACAGAAATATACAAATAGTTGTTACAATATATCTAGTATTTAAAGGTATCAATGTTAACCAAAAAAATACATTCGGGGATTTAAGGATATTGGATGCAGCCCAAGGATTATACTGAACTAAGATCATGCCAATGATTAATTATTGTTGTGATCTGAGATTGGACAGTAGGAATAGGAATTGTATTACTCAAAATGTGTGTAGTCGCTTAAATAAGGCCTGCTCTCATAAGAAACCTCAGAAGTTGCACCTTACCTTTTCCCAGCTCTTTTATCCACTTGCGCACATTCCCTATGAATCCTGCTGCAGCCACAGGCGGGGACTGTACCACCTGAGAGGTGAATATGGGAGACTCCATGAGCTGCATAGAACATTCACACATCATATTTAAATAATCAAACCATGTTTACTCCTCATCTACACTGATAGTGTCGTTTTATTCTAAAAAAAAAAGTGTATGTCTCTGGTGTTGTGCAGTAGTTAATCCCGCAGAGGGACACATGTCTCCTCCTGACTGTGTTGGGCTCGTCCTGACGCTGCCATGTTGGAGGAGACTGGGCGCTCTCTGGCGGCTGCACTTCTCTGGAAAGTTTCGTGTTCCACGTCTTTACACAAATTCCACCGTTTCTTATTTACACCTGAGAGGACCGGGACATCGCGTTTAAGATCATAGACCTCCGGCCGTGAGAAGCAGCACTGTCCGGTCTACAGCTGTCCGCTGTGAGGCGCACGGCGGGAGGCCACGGACGACCCACGGATTGTTTATGTCTCTTTTAGGATTTCATTTGTGGACTTAGGCTCGGTGCACACTTCACAAACTGATCACAAGTATGAGTGGACTCCCGCCGCAAAGGCGGCCAACAAACGCGGGCTCCAAATTATTAACACCACAGGAAAATGAAATCCTGTTCAACTACCTCGGCAGGAAATGCATAGTAAGTTTACCTGATGATGTTGCATGATATCGCGTTAGCATGGAAGCTAAGCTACCTTATGCACTATGTGTTTCTGTTTGGTGTCTCCTGTTCTGCACATCAGACCGCTATAATATCTGTATTCATGTGAATGCTTTTGTGACCAGCGCTGGGACAGTCTGGAGAGGTTCTGTGTGACAGAAGCAGCCACAGAGGGCTGGGCATGTATTTATTGTGGCATGGAGATGACACGATCTTTGCCCCATCAGAGGTTACAGTGTGCCCCTCGGTCACACATGAAACTCCTTGAACAGGTCAGCAGACCTGGGCCAGAGGATAAAGCTGCTAAAGCCATCACCTCAAAGCTCTGCAGATGACAGATTTCAGTGGTCTTACATAACTTAGAACAGCCTCTTTTCGGGGAGTGTTTGCGCTCTGAAGAATGTTCGCAGATTAATTAGCTGTGCTCACAGTGCTCAATAATCCCATGGCCAAAGAAGAAAAAACATGTTCCACTAGATACACAGTAACAACGTTGCATCATGTCTATCTATTAGCTGTCACTATTAAGTTTTTCCGTGATTGTGTAGGTTTCATATCGCTGACTCACGTTATCCACGGTATCTCTCATTGTGTCCCAGTGCTTTTGTCATAAATTCAGTCATAAAATACCATTGCCCTGTTAAACTCAAGGGCAGTAGTATATAATGCAGCAGTTGTTTTGTATCAGTTTCGGAGATATAGCTCTAACCAGATAAGAAGTATATGTTGTCCAAATGTCATCATTCTCTCATTACAGCAAATTAGTTAACAACCAAATATTGAGCAACTATTGTATTAGATGCATTTGACAGCCACAGCAGTCGACATAGCCTTAATCACTATCCCATGCTACATATTATTAGGACAAAAGTGTGTGTTCATTATTGTAGGTTTAGAGATAATTGTTGTGTGCTCATGTTTCTATATGTTATACTATACGTAGACTTTCACTCAACATCAGGTCACTTCCCCATTGTCAGAATAGTTTTCTTAAACAATTGCGTGTTTGTTCACAGTGAAGAGAATGGTGCAAAGAACTGAAAAACCTCTCTTCCTCTTTGTCAATCTTATGGAGGCAGGTTCTATGAAAACCTGTATTTGTTCTGGTTCATGAGGTAAACCTGAGTGACACGACAGAACAATGAAGATTTGATAAGCAATAATTAAAACAAACGCACTCCTAACTGCAAGATGTCATTCACAGATTATTGACCTTATACCTGAAGTGGTTGTAATTGTACAGACATGTCGATTAAAACATAGGAATAGATGTGTTATCAACAATGTTTCTGGTCCTTCTAAACCTTCTGATATCTCATAGGTTTTTGTTGTTGTCTTAAAATGTATAAATAGGAAAAGCTTAGTCATTTGTACCTCAATGCTGGTGCCAATTGTAATTAAAACAAAGTAATAACAAGTAACTAGTTTTATTTTTATTTTCCTTGTAGGTGCCACATTGTCGCATTACCCGCCTTACCTAATACTCACCTGATAATACTTTAATATTTAGCTATTAAGTTATAACTAATAACATCTCAGAGATTCTTCTCGTTTTAATACAAGTGTAGAGGAATCTGCCTTTGAGCATTGCCCACAATCACAGGTTAGCCAAGATGTGGTGGTGTTAAACCTTGATCCAGAAAAGTTACCTGTATTTATCTTTTGATACAAGATAAACTACAGGTAACTACACAATGTATATACACTTGCATGAAGGTGTCAAGCAATTAGTACTGTGAACATTTGAGAAAACTAGATGCAGATATTGAAAACCAGCAGGACCATGTCACACATGCTGCTTTACTTCATAACATTATGCTAACAATTTAGCACCCAGATTCTTAAATATACCCCTTAGATTATGTTCTGTCTTTGTAAAATCACTCAAGTGTTTTAATCCTCAATCAGAGCAGGTAGCTCCTTGTGAGCTCACCATGCTTTGTTTGCAAAGGAAAGGGTCCACTTCCTGTCACATGTGCTCGTGCTCTCCTTGGAGCTCTGTCCGGTGTTTGAGGTGTGTCTCTGTATGAAACCTGCTCTCTTACCCCACAGTGATGCGCTCTTGCTGGCATCTGTCCATTGTGACATCACTGCACATGTGATTGAGATGAGGCTGTTCGTAGCATTCCTCAGTCCTACGCACAATCTACGACATGTCATAGCAGGCTTAGGCAGTTTCAGTGTGTTCAAGTGAGAGCAGGGCTGTTAAACACCCTAATAAAACAGTCTGTAAGCATTAGCAAGCACACTCTCACTTTAATTGTCAATTGTATTGTATAGGCACATTTTGTATTTGCTATTCTGAAAACATTTAGATTATAACATCTAATTCTTGTTTTTATTATTTAGTTATTAGCCTTTGTTCAAAGTAGACATGCAAACTTTCAGATTTCTTTAACCATTAAGTGAAATGTTGTGACTGACCTAGTCACATTTTACGTGACGATCACAATTCAAAACACTTCAACCTGGGAAAATGAATAACTTCTCTACAACAAGTCATGAGTACAGGTGCTAGCTTTACCTTTAGTTTTATCTGAGAAGATTGTAATTCATAAACTCAATTATTTTACATGTCAAATAGTGACTCTCAGGTCTGTCTTAAAATTGATTTATAAATAAATAAATATGCGCGTTGGTCACATTGTGCGGCTGCACGTTTGCCGCTGTTGTCAAAGCGGCTGCTCTGTGCTTCTCCAGAATGCACATCTATGGCCAGTCCCCTGCCCTTCTCTCTCCCTCTTTTTCCCCTACGAGAGGAAATGTTTTGTTAATTACGTGTTGTCTCATCTCCGCATGTGAATGAGTGGTGACAGAGGAAGAGGAATCCAGTTCTAGTACAAACATCAAAAATAACACGTTCCCTGTTGTCCCCGCTGGCATAGCACCGTGCTGCACTACTTGATGACATTTGTGTGTGTTTAAATTTGAACAGACAGTGCTATGACATTTACTATATTCAATATCAGCTGGATGGGGATAGGTTAAGGCGGATATTTTTCATTTAAAAAACTATACATGACATTGGTCAACCTTTTAAATGCTTCTGTTGGAGTTGTCTTTTTTGGAGTAGTTAGTTTGAAGGTTTTTATTCTTCTCACTCTTGAGCTATCTCTTGGTCCACATTTTCTGAAATCTGGCCCCAATCAACGCCACAGTGTTTGTTGATTGTTTTATGAAGCCCACCAAACACTTCTCCATTTCATTTTAAGTCCTCTTGATTTGAATGTAGTCTGTCTATTGACCTAAACCCCATCAATTTGAGGAGGAGCTGTTGGATTTGGAGCTCGAGCACACAGACAGTCTTTATAGGCGCTCTTCGTTGGTATGCCCTGTGCTGTGTGCTGGATGTGTCTGGCAGAGCTGAAGGTGGCCTGGCTCCAGATCTCTGTGTGACTGCCTCATCAGCAGGAAGTCTGTGGCCTCATCTCCTCATTTCTGCTGGAGTAATAGAACCAGGCTCCTCCTTTTCCTAATTTTTCTCTACTTTAGCACATTTGTTATCCACTTTTGTCCCCACCTCTTTGATTCCCTGTAGGGCTGCACAATGTTGGAAATTAGAGCGATATTCGATATGAGTGTTTAGTATTGCGATAACAATAGTATTGCGATATTTTTTTTTTTCACCTAAAATTGCAATGTGCATTGAAACGCAAGAGACAAATAACAAAAACATTAATGACATTCAATTGCATGTATTTATATACTTTTTGTCTGTTTGTTGTATTGGTTGAGTGTTGATGTGTCCGTCTGTTTTGTTGTCGTCAATAAAGGAAAAAACATATATATATTTTATTTTTGTTTTTATCGCGCATATTTTTGATATGGATATTGCACGTACCAATATTGCAGTATTGCTCAGACGAGGAATGCGTGGTGATGCAGTTTTCTCCTGTGTTGCATTGCAAACGCCCATTAAAAATAAGGATAATCCTAAACACTCTGAACTCTAACTTATCCGACCCCAAGTGCTACACTATTTACTTCTTTGTCAATAACTAGGGATGTAAAAAACTATGAATTTTCATGACCGACCACCGAGCCTCATTAACCGGTTGAAACCGGTTAACCGCGTAGTTTAAAATAGTCCACGTTTTTTGAAATAACAGCCATTTCGAGCCGCGTACTTTTCATAAGTGCAGCTCTGCGTTCTACTGGATCAGAGTTGAGACAGCGGCGCCAAAACCCGCAACAGTTCCGGCACCTTTGCGCACAGAGAACTGCTTTTTTAATCTTCCCATACTGTGCTGCGGGTTAATACCAAAACTTTCTAGCAGCAAACGACGGCTCGTTCACATGGTCAGAGCAGCGAGTGACGAGCCGCGTCTCACAGGTCTTCACAAAAGTTTAAATACAAGTGATGTGTGTGGAGCTGATCCCGAGGACCATAAACACAAACATGTTTCATGTGGTTTGACTGGAGCCGCGTATTTGCGCGAATCCTTTGGGCTCCGTGACACAGAGGAGCGCGACAGACCGGTATGTGTGTGTGTGTATGTATATGTGTGTGTGTGTAAATGTAAGCTCCAATGTAGTTCTGACCCGCGCCAGTGTGCAACTTTGACGGTAACAGAGGGGAGAGATGATGCGTGTGGATGTTACGTATGGAGAGGGGGAAAGTGTGTGTGTGTGTGTGCGTGCACGCATGCGTGTGTGCATATGTGGCTCGTGCGACGTGAGAGTCGTCCCGGAGTTTATAATACATGGGCGCACACAGCTAGATACAGACCCGCTCGTCACACCGTGCAAATAGGGCTTAAAATAGCGTTGTTAAGAGACCTCCCCTCTCCCCGTTTTCTCTTTTTTAACCGACAGCTTTGACCGGTTAACGCTGTGACGGTCAACCACCGGTTAAACGGTCGCCGATTTACATCCCTATCAATAACCTCAACTGTTAGACATTTTCTGTGTGCAAGTCCCAGTCTATAGATCAAGACTTTGAAATGGTTTTGTGTTGTTGGTCTTGATAAACTGGAGATTAGGCCATATTTGTTTCATGTTTTTTATAGTTGGCAAAAGCAAAGAGAGCAGTCAAATTGATGACTTTTCAAACGAGCACACAATTTACAATTGACAAATGTGAGATTGGTTCTTCAGCCATTCACCTTCAAAGCAGTGCAGATCATATTTGTGCCGATGGGTTAGAATCATGGTATTTGATGCATGATGTAATGAATTCATTTTCAAATTGGGATATTGAGTCTTTGTGCTTGCTATGTAATAAATGTAATTAACCTAGGGTTGGGCGATATGGCAAAAAAGTAATATCTCGATTTTATTTCCTGCTTTGGACAATGCCGATTTTAAATCGATTTTCATTAAAGTCACTCAAGACAGACTTTGGCCTTAAAATATTTTTTATCTTCCCGCTCAATATTTAAGTTTCAAAACTATTTTTTATTTGTTTCCCCCAATACATATTATAAAAGTCTTGTACAGACTGTGCTGATATTGCAAGTATAATTGATGTGCTGCTGGAACTCTCACAATATCCTCACATTTTTCACGAATTTGATTTTTTCAAAAGCAGATTAATTGCCAAAATTCGATTTATTGCCCAGCCCTATATTAACCTAATGTAGATAGATAGATAGATACTTTATTGATCCCCCGAAGGAGAAATTCAAGTGTCCAGTAGCAGCAAAAATAAAAAAGAAAATTGATCATTCTAAAAAAAAAAAAGATAACAATAATAATAATCAGCCACAGCCCTTCAGGTCACAGCAGCAGAGGTGGAGTAGCCTCTCGGTGGAGCAGGACGGGTCAGAGCAGCAGAGATGGAGCAGCCACTGGGTGGATCAGGACGGATCGCAGCAGATTGAGTAGCCTCTGGGTGGAGCAGGACGGGTCACAGCAGCAGAGGTGGAGTAGCCTCTGGATGGAGCAGGACAGGTCAAAAGATGGAGTAGCCGCTTGGTTTGGACCATTTTCTCTGCTCTAGTCCAAAGTAAAATGCTAAATGCTTCATTAGCATTTTTCAATAAGTCAGCATTCCTCCAGTGGATTTTCACCTGATCCGCGTGGTTTGGACCATGAATCCTCTCCGCTCAAAAACACCGTAAAGCACAAAACAACTGTAAATCAGAGCTACTAAGGACTTGCAGCCGTTACCCAGCGCATCTTTCAAAAAAAAAAAAAACTATACAGAAATGTATTCTGTATAGTTTTTAGTTTATGCAGATAAACAGGGCAGGGTAGTTTACAATGAACTTTAACCTCTAGAAAGAGATTCATTGTACCAGGCTATGATCATTTCCACTTGTAATATTAGAATTCATTAAACTATTGATAACCCTAACCCTAACTATTGATCAGATTCATACAAAAGATTAGATCTTTGCAGTCAGCCATACACCGTATAAAAACACATTTTTAAACAGTTCACTTATTGTCTCTTTAAATTTCCAGTTACTGTAGTGTCGTTATCCAGTATCGACATGCCTATCTGCATGTCTTACCTGTAGGAGTGTGACAATACTCGATATATGGCGATACATTCTCCCGCGATCGATTATCAATATGCATTTGCCAAGTATCATTGTTTATTTATTTGTTTACTTTTTTTTTTCTATTTTATGTATGCCATATATTGGCATATGGTATATTGCTGACCAATATATTGATAATCGTCATATCGTGATATAATCGTCATTGTGATATAATCGTTATCGTGAGGTTTGTATCGCGCATCGTATCGTGAGGTACCCTTAGGTTCCCACCCCTACTTTTTTTTCCACATCTCGTTGCATAGACTTAAGGCTGTGGTAAATGTGGGGGGGATTAGTCAGAGGCTGATGACTGAATGTGGGTTATTTTGCCTGTGGCCCTGTCATGGACAATCAGTGTGCAGGGAAAAGCAACACACATTACTATTTACTATTTGTTTACAACCAGTTTGTTTGCCTGTGAGTAAAACATATTTGAAGACAAATTTATCTCGTCATTTAAGCAAATGTGGTGTAGGCAGACATGGAGCTGAAAGATTAAGTTCAACCCTCTGTATTTATAAAACAATTTAAAATGAGTGGGAAATGCCTAATTAAATAATCTAATGTGTTCCTTGGTTATGACATCCCTTTCCCAAACAATCAAATTACTATTTATTTCTTCTACTAAAGTAGTCATTAATGGACTGTGAAATTAACCTTGTTGATGTAGAATCAACAATACATCAGAAAGGTATTGTTTGTTTTTGATTTTTAAAGGATGAATGCAAATAACCGGACTTTATTAACTATATGAAATTATAAAGGTGTACCTTTATTGATATGGCCCTGGTATATATTTTTGTTTGTTACAAGTTGAACTAGGGCTGGGCGATATGGCTGAAAACTATATCACAATATAAGTGATTCATATCGGTCGATAACGATAGTATACAATAATATATTGATTGTTTTTTATTTATTTTTTAAAACGTAAATAAATACCTTTGTTGTGTCGGCTAACACATGTTAGCAGCCTTGTTTACAGTCACGGGGGAATGAGGCTGGAGCCAAATGTTCACAAACGGTCTCCCCCACTTTAGTCCTGGTTTAATCCTGGTTTAGCTCCTGTTTTGGCTGTTTTCGAGTGTCTTGTGTCCCCGTGGCGGCTCCGGAAAGTTCATCTCTTGCTTTTGCCGAATGCATCTAGTCTCTGTACCCACTGCCTCTCCCGCCGCACATGCTCTTCCTCACACGGACGTGTTTAACCATTGACACGGCACTGAGACACAATCTTTAGATCCATGGCTATTATAGATCCATGATCCATGTTTTTTTGCTTTTCCCAGAAAGTTTTGCGGTTTGTAGTCGGCTGTGATAGGTCGAGAAGCCTTTGCCTACATCCCCCAGAATGCCGTGTGCTTCTGACTCGGCTTTACTTCCTGTGTTTTGTTCCTGTTTTTTTCGAACTGACTGAAGTGAAACTATCGAAGTTCTATCGAACACGTGTCTATCGCAATATATATCGTTATCGTTTTATCGCCTAGCTCTAAGTTGAAAGTCTTTTCCCATTCACGTGCCTTATAAAACAAAATTAAGCGTTTGAATTTGACACAAATAATTAACTTTTAGTGCAAATGAATATTGGCTTTATATATCAGGTGGTTGATACCCACTATTCTTCACTACAAATTAGTAGTAATTACTGTTTTGTAATATCAGTCAAGGTTTATTTTAAAACTTTGTTTTACAATAATCACAACCTGCCATCCTGAAGACTACATGGCCGTCACTAGCCTGCCCTTGTTAATATGAGTCACAATATTTCAATAATAAAGTTGATGGACTTGTTACCAAGTGCTATTCTTATCATTACAGCGCGGTGTCTGTACCATTCATCAACTATGATGTAGCCATGTCCATGCTGCTACGTAATAGCTGTTGCGTTTGTTGTCATATATAGACCATAGCATCCTCAGGACCTCAGGCAGTGTAACCCACTTAGCAGAGAGCTCAGGCTTGGGTGCACTGAGTCGGCAAAAAATCCTATATTTATTCCACTGTGGAGCTGTGGCTATTCAAGTGGAATTTACCGGTCACAGTTTGTGAAATGGGCTCCACACCAAGGTTGATAAGCCTGGGTGCGTTTCTTCTGAATGTGCAGATATTTCTCTATTATGGTCTATGCTACTTTTGTACTGTCTGCGATTCCTTTGTTGTGATTACCGTGTGCTTTTTAAAATAACAACCAACTGCTCATTTTTATTGCTTCATTAGGACTAATCCTCCCGGGAACAGCAGCATGTGTTATCAGCAGGTGACTGTGCACTTTCTTTCATGTGTGGCACTGCGCCCCCCTCCACAACACTGTAAACCTCAGGACACCACTCTTCCCTGTGATCCCGTATGTGGATAGAAGGCTGCTGACTATGTATTCACGTCATTGCCAAATCATCCAGACATTGGTTACAACAATCTTCTTTTTATGTAGGTTTTCAGCCATGGTTATTCACAAGTAGAGATGTGACTATAGCTGGTTTACTATTTGAAATTGCAAGATTAAAATCTGGTGATATAATGAGCAATGCCGTCTGGCAGTATGAACAGCTTCTTTATTTCCAATGGTTTGTGCAAAAAGCTGTGCGATGGGCAAATTTAATATGTGTTTGTTTATAATGACATATTAAACAAATAATGACCATTTACTTCTGAATCTGCAGCAAGTTCTAAGAAGCTCTGAAAACGTTTTTGTTTTGTGTTTTACAATTGTTATATTTCTTGCTGTAAATATTATGGTTTTACATTGAACAAGACCAGAGCAGAGAGGATGCACTGTCCGAACCAAACAGATCATTAATTGTTTTAAATGCTAATAAAGCATTTAGAATTTCACACAGAACCAGAGCAGAAAAAATGGTCTGAACCAAGCAGACTGCGCATACATCAATCAGTGGATAGGGGGCAGCTCATCACCTGCACCTGCTGCGGTTGCACTTTATTGCTATTGTTTGCTTGTTTGCTGCTGGACACCTGAATTTCTCCTACGGGAGATCAATAAAATATCTCATCTATCAAGAAGTCAGGTCTTTCTGTTATGGCTATCCTTTTATATATTAGTATGTATTCAGTAACGGAAACTTGTTTTGCATAAAATTACTCTGCGTTCTCCTCTACCCTCTGAACAATTGAGGACGACATGATTATGTTGCTTGTCGTTTGTTGTTTTATCACAAGACGATCTTCCCACTCTGTTAATGGGTTTGGAGGCATTACACCTGAAACATTACTGTACTTTGAAGATTAAGGACAATGTATTTGTCAGAGCCACTCAAAATAAGCTATAATTTTCTATTTGCCCAAATTTCCTAATATTGACCTGTCTTCTCTTTTCCGCAGTCGCTCTCCTCAGCAGTGGTCCAGTTGTTCACCGCAGACAGGAACTCTACCTGGAGCAAGAGATGCTGCGGAGTGGCCTGTCTGATCAAAGACAACCCCCAACGCTCCTACTTCATTCGAGTGTTCGACCTCAGGGTAAATACCACTGTTTTTATGTCAGAGAACGCAATATACAGACAAAAATAGTGTCATTATTAGGGCTGTCAATATAACATTAACGCATGTTAATTAATTAAATTAATTGCGTTTTAAAAATGTACCCGCTCATGCATCCCATAATAACACTAAAAATTCTGCGGGCACATGCGTGTGTGAGATGATGACAGAGCAGGTAGCCCCTCTGGGAATCCAAGATTTAAAGGAATATGCGTGTTCTCCCGCGATTCGATTATCGATATCAATTTTGGGAAAGAATTTGAATTGGTATCAGTACTTAATATATGGCTACATTACGCATCTCCATTCTATTTATCATGAAATAAAGAGTATTTTTTTCCTTTATTTATGCCATAAATTGGCATATTGTATATTTCTGACCAATATATCAATAATCGTCATATCGTGATAAAATCGTTATCGTAATATCGTTATTGTGATATTATTGTTATCGTGAGCTGTGTATCGTATCGTATCGTGAGGTACCCTTAGGTTCCCACCCCCCTAGTTGTGACCAAATCAAACAGATTTGATGACATTCTGCATTTCAGACTGTTTTGAAATGTCCCTCATCTGTAACAAACAATAAAGACAGAATGTTAATAATGTTAATGCCAATGTATGTGGATTTATGGTGGTTATAATAAACAAATACAGTACATATGTACACTGTGTTGTCATTTATCTTTCCATTCAAACAACCATTTACAGAAAAATATGGCATCAATTTGCGATTAATTATGATTAATTATTTTTGCAGCTGTAATTAACTCAATTAAAGATTATAATGATTCGACAGTCCTAATCATTATTCATATTGCATTTTGAATTCTGTGATTTCACTGTGACATATCAACACAAACGTAAACCCATAAACTATAGAGGTGTAGATCTGGAAAGGGCAACAATACAAAAGGACAGCGAACAACTTGCTTCTCAAAAACACTGTTTAGAAATATGGGAGCACTTTGGTTTCAGGAAGCAAAGCATATCAAGTACTCTGCCTTCATTCTTGTTAATTATCAATTTGTTTGTGTAATGCAAAAGTTCTTGTTGACAAATGGACAAAATCTTCAACAACATTTTCACGGCATTATGTAAATTAACTGATTTGAGGCAATCAAAATGATGTTTACAGCTTTTTTAATCACTGCATATCTTGCTTATGAATGTCTAATGCTGAACTTGTGTGACCTGTATAGTCTCCACATGTTTATCACGATGCTGTTTTGTTCAGGACGGAAAGGTGACGTTTGAACAGGAGCTCTACAACAGCTTCAGCCTCTCCCCCTCCAGGCCGTACTTCATTACCTTTGCTGGAGACGTGAGTTCAGACCACTCCTTTATCTTTACTTCCACACGCTGCAGGCTGTTTTAATAATCTTCTTTAAACATGTAATAACAAGGCTATGTATAGATGTGGAGTGGGGGGTATAGTTGTTGAGCTATCTCATTGAAAGAAAATGAATCCAATTGTTTAATGTATTCATTCCAGTTTATGGCTGACACTAATATATATTATATACTACTACTAATTCTGATTTAAGAACCAAAAAGACTGAGAGGGATCCCTACATTTAGGTTGTAATGAAATGACTAAATTCACAAAGCTTACAATTGTCCACTGCTAGTAACTTTTGTTTTTTAGCTATAACAAGCCCCTAAAATTTCAGCAAGATTACATTTTGAAGTCAAATATGTTTATATTTTTACAGACATGCCAAGTCGGTCTGAACTTTTCCAATGAGGAGGAAGCAAAGCACTTTCGTCGAAATGTGTCCGATCTTGTTGGGAGAAGACAGAGGAAGACTGGTAACCATTGCATACAATAAAATTATGATTCTTACACTAACCCTAACATTAGTAGTCCTCACATAGATGTGCAATTCATTTCATTATATTCCCAAAGTTTGTTGTGTGTTCTTTCTGCAATATTGCCTGAAATGTTTTTACATTAAATTAATTTTCAATATGATTAGTAACAAGCTGTGTCTATTGAAAATGAAACTATTCCTTTGCTTCCTTATACCTTCTGTTGTCTCTCAAGCTTTTAATCATTATCAAATGTGCACATAATGTGCAATAATAAAGTAGAGAAAGTAATACTGTGATGGGTAATAACTAGAACAGATTTATACGTAAAGAATGTTTATAGTAAGTAAGTAAGTAATCTTTATTTATATACCGCCTTTCACAGACCAGAGTCACAAAGAGGTTTACAATTGTTATTATATTGGGCATTTATAGCAGGGCGACAGTAGCTCAGTTGGGAGAACATTGGCCTTCGAACCTGAAGCCCACCATGAGACCTTCTCGACAGACTCCCACTGATAACTGCGGTCGTTGTGTCCTTGGGCAAGACACTTAACCCCACTTTACCTGGGGTCCCCACTGAAAGATCAAAGCTCCTGTGGACTCACCACCTGCAGGAGGATCAGTGAGGGGCTGGTGCTCTGTGAACTGGGTTCAGGTGACTGCCACTCCCCTGACCCAGAAATGGATTATGGGGTAGAAAATGGATGGATGTCTTGTATCTGCCTTTTTACAATAATAAAGTTATTTTAATTTACTTAATTACATATGTGAATGAGTATAGATATAATTGAATATATTTCTATGAACAAAATAAATTGAAACTTGAACAACTCAACCAAAAGGAATGAAGGCTTTGCCTTTAGGGTTCAATGTTCATGTTAATGTAAATAGTGTGCATGTTTTCTTGATGAAATTTGCTTTAGAATGATGTATAACATGCCATATTAGCCCAATCTCAGTGGGGGCTGATGTGCTGATCCTCAAAATACCTTTTTTGTGGGCCACATGGTTTAAATCAACTCAATTACATACCCAAAGCTGTTCTACCCATTATCCTACGTGTGTTTCCATTGCTCTCCCCTCAGTCTCCCAGCTACCAACACCTCGCACCTCCTCTGGTTTTTACTCATTTTCTTCACCAATACTTTTTTTCTGAATCCGATTAATGAAGGAGGAAAGTGTAGTTCCATCGCAACCTGAAGGAGCAGAGCCATTTATGTGATAATACAGTAATATTGAGTTTTCCAGACAATTTTAAATTATACATACAGAGAATAGTACTGTATATGGTGGTGCTGTGACTTTCAAATCAGCTCAAATGTGGTACTCTCAGTGTGAGAATGATTGTATACCCAGCACCTTTGTCTTAGTCATTATATTATTGAGGCTCATAATGAGTCATGTGTTGACCACCTTAGAAAGAAAAACGCTTTTGATCGTCAACCGCCATGACTTTTATGTTCTTGATTAAAGCTGCTTCCGCTGTCCTGGTCTCTTTTGGGTCACTTCTTGCTTCTGGGATTGTGTTCTTTTATGTTTGACCCTTTTCGTCTTGATGGATGCTCTAATCTTGCGTCTCTGGTCTGACCTGATGACTATGTCAAAGTTAATTAATCAAGCTCTGGATAGTTTTCTGTAAAGGTTGAGAGTGGCACAGCTTATGATAATTGTGAATATAACTGTGAACATATTTTGTTCCCAACAGATATTGATTTTAAAAATGATTTATGTTTTCTTTCCAAAAATGCAGTTTTATCATCGTTTTTTTATTGAAGTAAGCTGGTCACATGGGCTAGACAGTGTACGAAGGATTCTTTCTCATTCATGTCAATAATTACCATTATGTATTTCATGACATCTGTCAGACTTTTCAAATCTCTTCCTTACTAAAAATGCTGCAAGGTTCCATTTAACTTGTTCTTCACGTCACATGATCACTGTGCTTTGAATCTAAAATGCAAACGCCCTTCTGCTTTTAACACTCAAATCTAGCTTTCCTTTAAAGTATATTAAAACTAAATTGTAACAGAATTTGTCTGTTTTCACAGAGAAAAGACGTGACCCTCCAAATGGTATGTTTCACGTATATTTGTTTTCGCACAAACAATTTACTGTAATTTACTGTAACAAAAATGTCATCTGAAAGTTTGATTTTTTATTACCATTATAAAAAAAGGTGATTTATTCCAGAATAAGATTCATCCCTTCACACAATCAGAGGCTGTCTAATGCATTGAGTGTATATATAACTTAACAGGGAGTATACACATCTGTTTGGATGTGTTATTTCCACTATGAAGGGAAAATGCTTTGTGAACGTCATAAATGGAAAATTTCTCGTCACTGAATTTGAGTGACATAGAGACAGTGTTTACAAGGCCACAGATAAAGAAATTGCAATCATCAGTGATGTGAGCGCCTTTACTTTGTCAATATGGATATTGTTCATGTTGTCTTTCCTGTTTGGAGCTGTCTGAATGTTAAGCAGCTGCAGGACAATAATTTTGTGACATTTGTGTGTGAATCATTGCAACATTAGTCCCATGGTCTGTCCAACATCTCTGCGCATTCAATTGTCCAGAAACATACATAGTGATCATAGATTGTTCACGCTGACCTTGCTGCATTTGTACAAGTGGCCTCATTGTACCTTCCTAATCTTCCTATTCCACTGCTCTCTCCAACCCACTCTTGTCCCCACTTAATCTCTGCTCTTAATATTCCCTTTTTTCTGTCTGCCTTTTTTCTATCATTCCTCTTTGCATATTTTTTTGAGGGAAAAAAGATTAGTGCAGGATTACACGCCAATGGAACTTTCTGCTTACGTAAAAAAAAAAAAAATCCACCACTAAATCCTGATTCATTTGCTGGGATTAGATGCATTTGCTGCGGGAGCAGAGAAGGACATGTGTAGAGTAATGTTTGCAACAAGGCTGTGAGAATACAGTCCTCGAAGGATGCACCTCACTGGGAATGCCATGGGAAGATGACTGGATATACACATCTCGCTCCATGGATTTTAAACGATGGATTAGTATTTGGATTGCCATAACTGGAACTCAATGCTGCAAACATATCAATTCCATTGATCCTGATGTCATTCTTTTTTTCTTTCTTTTGAAGAACGATTTTACTTTTGTAGATCCAGGAAGTGTACACAGAGGCTTTGCCAACACCATCTGAAATGTATTAATTTTCAGTACTTTAAAACTTGTGGATGGTGTTTTGTAACCAAACTTTCCAATAGTTTGACCATGATGTTTTGTACCACTTTCCTGTCTGTTCCATCTGAAGACTTGGGCTTTGAGGGCACCTCCTCAGTCCCTTTACAATACGGACATTTGGGCTCTGGCAGCTGTCTGTCGTCCCTGCACTGTCTGGTGTTGCCTCAAGATGAACTTTTTTCTTCTCAATCTGAGAGAACTGCAAGCTTTTTGACCCGATCAGATGAAAGAGTTGGCAGAGTGTATGAAAATAGGCATTTTGATGCGAGAACGAGTCCCAAACAGGACAATGTTTGCATCTGGGACAGGGTGAGAGGGAGGAGGAGTAGGTCTGCGTCACCTTCACCAGGAAAGATCCCCCCAAGTCCATACAAACAGAGAAATATGGGTATGACACCTCCTTAATCACAAGTGCAATGTTTGGCCTGTTGTCTGTTCTCTTTGTCTTACTGTATAAAACCTGTTGGTCTAATTTAGAACAATGGTTTCAATGCTTTCTATTAAAGTTTATAAACAATGTAAACAATGTTACAGGTCTGTGGTTAGTGGAAGGTCTACATTTTAACTTACATTCTACTTAATTCGGAGTGGAAGCTTTTCTTTTTGTTTTAAAAAGTCACCAAACCCTTTTTAGTGATTCACATGGAAGTCAACGTCCTTAATTGTCTTAAACAAACAACAATGGTTTTAAGCATTACACATTATTTTAATGACAATACAAGAAACTCATAACATATATCACAAATCTGAAGCCGTCACAGTTCATCTCAGTAATGTTGACATGTAGTTATGTCACATGTGATTATGTCTGTCGTCAGTATATAATCTTATCTAAGAGGCATCCCGGAAGTCTGATTCTTAAATTACAACTCGCTTACGTAAAGGAAGTTACACCAATGGTTAAATTATCATGAGCGAATTACAATGGATCAATGCAGAATATTGCATGATTTTGAGCTTTATAAAAACACATTTGTCCACAGAATGTCACAGCTTACTGTCAAAATGAATGTGTTTAATTTACTTATTTACTTTATTTACTTTACTTCCCATCTTTTTCATCAAAAACATAACACAAGGGTGTTAACGGAAGGATTCACTGTGTCCCTCAGGTCTAGCGTTGCCGATGGCCACGGTCGACATAAAAAACCCAGAGATCAGTGTCCCACGTTTCCATAACAACTCTCAGGTAAACAACATCGTGCCCTCATCCTTCCCCAAGAGAGAGAAGAAGCCTAAAGGAGGCAAGAAGAAGAAGCTGACCAAGGCTGACATCGGCACGCCCAGCAATTTCCAGTATGTCATTATGGGATGAGACGGATGAATATTATAAAGAAGAGCAATTATTATAAAGAATTAGTTGAAATAAACTAACTATTGATAATTCTCTTTGCAGACACATCGGCCATGTTGGTTGGGATCCAAACACTGGCTTTGATGTAAGTACTATTACTGTAATAATTCTTCTCTCTCCTCTCATAATAATCCATTAAAGAGTTGACTTCTCTTTTTCACATTTCTGTCGGAAAAAGCCAATCTATTTTAATTTCTTCTTGCATAGCCCTGAATCACAACAGTAGTTATCTCGAGGGACTTAACACAACCGTTGAATTCGCCAACACATATCAGAGACCCAAACAGTTCAAACACAAGAAATAAAACAGAAAACGTATTAATATAATAAACAAAATTAATTTTAATCTTATGTTACGAAGGCTAGAAAATATGTCCAGGCAGGGCCTTTCTGGTTGGAGTTCTCCCCGTGTCTGCGGCCAGGACACTTCTAAAAAGAGTGGGCTCAGTGGGACTCTCCTAGTTAAAAAAAAGTCTATAAATGACTAAATAAATAAATAAAAATTGTGATGGAACACTAACAGTCTATGGATGGACCCAAATAGTTTTAAGAGCCAATATTTAGATAGATGGACATATGCGTTTGCGCTTTGTTATTCAAGTTACACCTTCACTGGAAATATTGACACAATAACAAAAACTTTGGAAGTGATAAAAATAATTTGTTGCAAAATGTCAGTTAAATGTCACCGTTATCTACAGAAACTATCCAATATCTAACCAAATGTTTTATTTTGTTTCCATATATTCAAACCTATAATGCAACTTTTTGATTGCCATTAAGCACCTTTTTATTCAGGATTATAATCTCAATAGAAAACCTCTTTGCGTAATCCAATAGAGGTTATGTAAATCAGTGTTTTTCAACCACTGTGCCGCGGTGTATGATATTGTCTGGTGTGCCGTAAGAAATTCGTCTACTTTGTCTAAAAATAACTGCATTCGCTGTTGACGAGCTGTGACTTGTTTTGAACTGTGGAGTAACCATGTAATACTTTTTCAAATCAGTAGATGGCAGCAGATAGCTAAGTACTTTGAAACTGAAAAATTGGATGCGACCACTGGCTGTAACAGGTCAGCATTGTGGCGAGAAAGGTAAAATTGGATGCGACCAACAAATGTGTGAGGGAGCGAGACAAGAGCTTTGTGGCGAGTGAGAAGTGAAAGTGATAGAGACGTTTTTGAAAATGAATTATGCCGTTTCTGAACAGGATTAACATCCTCCGCTCTGCCCCGGGGCAGCTGTGGCCGCGTTGTAGTGGTTTAACTATGAAATGTACAATTTTTGTACAACAGCTCTCGCGAACGCACTTCTGAACTGGGTACCGAGCGCAGACCATAGTCGAGTGGACAGAACCACAGACATGCGGACCGGACAGAACCATGGACTCGCGTTCAGGACCTCCCGTGTCCCTCATTCAAAACTCCTGAATTTAAAGCTCGGATACCTAAATTTTTCCCATGCACTAACAATGCATGTTCTTTGTGTGAGTTATTATTTGACTATTTGGGCAGAGAGTGGATTTTCTTAGTTTTTTTCCACACAGTTAGTGCCACTTTATTCCCAAACTCTTGTTAATTGTATCGAGAAATATTAAATAAAGCTTAATGTCAAGGCCTGGACTTAAGCATTTTGATGAGAATAACTGTATATTGTGAATATAGGCTACAGAGTATACTGTATACATTATAAGATAAGATAAGATATACTTTATATATCACACAGAGTATGTACAGTATATATTTTTTTACATTAGTACTGTATACATTTTTACATTTTCTCCTGGAGGTGTGCCGCAAGATTTTTTCAGTGAAAAAGTGTGCCTTGGCTCAAAAAAGGTTGAAAAACACTGATGTAAATGTTACTTAACCCTTTTTAAATCACATGCCCTCATCTTTCCTTTGGGCTGGCAACTCCTACCACAGTACGCCATCTCTAACAAGCTAGTGTCAGCATCTGCAGCACTAAAGGCCTCATTACCAATATCCACATACCACACATTTTAGAGTCACCCATGCTATTGCTGTCTGTTGAAAGCTTACAGAGATTTGGGATAGAACAGAGTTGACCTGCATCTGCACAATCCATGGAAGTTATCCAAAAAGTAGTCATGGCCCGGCAGATGATGAGCAGGTGGTTTGGGTCATTGGTCTCAACAACCTGCTTCAGTTGGACTTACTCCCAGTTCAAGGGTTCTCAAATTTAAACTACTTTGTGATCTTCATTCACCAACAGGGGGCAGCATACATCGGGAAATGTGTATAGTACGCCTTTCTTTAATCTTTAGTATAGTTTCTGGGCGATGTCATCAAGTCCATTCAGTCTAAGATTATACTTTTCCAAATATATATTAAATATGAAAGTGGGTGCAATATCCAGTTTAGACCACAGAGGGCAGCAGTTATCAACCTATTTACACCCGATGCAGCGTTATTATTTGCTGCACAGGATGGATAATGTTGGCCCTTTTGGCCTTCTTATATTACACATTTATGTAAGCTTGTTTTGCTGCTTTTATTATTGCGCATTTTACACCCACACAAGAGCAGTATTTTGCAGTCACTAATGGTTATACAACAGTGTCACTGGTGTACTTCATGGCTTGTTTTTGTTTGTCTTCATCCAGCTGAATAATTTGGATCCAGAATTAAAGCACCTGTTTGATATGTGTGGTATCTCCGAGACTGACCTAAAGGACAAAGAGACCTCCAAAGTGATCTATGACTTCATTGAAAAAAAGGGAGGAGTGGAGGCAGTTAAAAATGAGCTGAGGAGACAAGGTAAGAGGCCCCACACTTTCAGTGATTTGAAAACATATCCATGCCCTGTGAGCATTTCTACATGTGGTCATGTTTGCTCTTCAAAGATAATTACACAAAATTGTACATGATTTTATTATTTTTTGTCCAATTCAAAACAAGTGTGGGTTGCAAAGTTTCTGGAAGCTGGATAATGCAATGAATAGTTTTGCATTTGTAAATAAATTATAAATGTGATGATGTGATTTGGATCAGTGCAGGCAATGCAAAAACAGCTCCATGAACCTTGTGATTGATTTCCCTTCAGAAAATGAATAGTTGTAACAATGGGGCTTAATCTACACATTCTGCATTTCTCAGGATCAGACCATAAATAAAATGTATGGCAAATGAAAGTCGACAATTTTGACTTTTTAACCTTTGTTTCCACTTGTTTTGTTCAAAAACAAGTGGACAAGCGTGGATGTTTTTAGACTCATCCACGCTTCTGGCACAAATATGTAACTCCGCCCCCTTCCATCTAAAACCTTCTGTCTCAGTCCTCTAACAGTATGATGTCATTGTACCTGTGACGTCATGCTCAGAGCAGTAATGAAAAAGCTAGTATTGCTTTTATTATCAAGAAATGAACCAAATTCTGCAGAAGGCAGAGGGAGTTATCAGACTGGCGGGTGAAATTGGCTGTGGTTGCAGTCGATTTTTGTCAAATTTGGGGGGAAAAAAACATAACTAATTCAACTCAGCCCTCTGGTGGTAGCATAGGGAGTTACAGGCAGAAAACAATGTTTACACCCTCACATTTTTTTCACCATATATTTTCTACTTAAGATATTTCTCTTCTAAATCATGAAACAAAGTAAATGGTCTCATTATAATTTGAATGGACAAAATTGATGCATAATATTTCTTATTCAACCTCAAGTTGATTAAAAAAAGCTTTTGCTTGCACTTAGCTCATGACGTTTCTGCCCACACACTCGCATTATAAAGTTGGAATAATTCTTAAATGTTAAGTCATCTTATGGTGGTGGTTTTGTCCCCAGGTCCTCCCCGGTTGGGTGGTAGGTTTCGCTGCATGTTAAGTCAATCTTTGAGTGAAAAACTTGCAGTGCAATTATTTGTTTCCGTTTTCTAAATTGTGTTGTAAACTTCCAACACAATTGGCAGTTCTAATAACGATGGCACATTAAGATGCATGGCAGGCTTCATTTTTGTGATCCTTTTGATGGCATGATTTACAAGTGTGCTGAAATGTGTGATTGGTCCTTGAAAATTGGAATCTTCTTTTGTGATAATACCTGGTGTTTAATGTGATAAATAACAACTAACGGCGATTCACAAAATGTTTATAAATGGTTGCCTTATAATTGTTATAGTGAGTGTGGTTGGGTTAGCTTTTTTCTAAACCTCTTTTTCCCCTCAAAGTCTGCATTGTAATAATAGATTTAGGGATCTATGAGTCTGCTGTGCTGTGTCTACTAAGAATGCATCATTATTTACTTTAGGTTAAAGATTAATTTTATTCTGTCCCAAAGGTCAGTGCTTCTCAAAATGGGAGACACGTAATGCGGAAAAGGTTTATTAATAAGATTATTCAATGACTGCAGAATAAAATTAAAATGTGTTTTATAAAGTCATTCTGGGTAAAATGTTCAGTTTTCACAAGACTATTCAGCCAACTAGTTGATTATGAAGATAATGGTTAGTTTCCTAATATCATGAAGTGAGTTGTGCAGTGCATTTCATAACTAAGGCCTTGTACATGTCTTTACATTCTTTTTACTTGTCCTCCACAGCTCCGCCTCCTCCCCCTTCCCGCGGTGGTGCACCTCCTCCTCCTCCCCCTCCACACCACGGCTCTGCTCCTCCCCCGCCTCCTCCGGCTCGGGGCGGTCGTGGAGCTCCTCCCCCACCCCCGCCCTCCAGAGCCCCGTTCAACGCACCCCCTCCACCCCCGCCCAGCCGACCGGGAATGGGCGCACCACCACCACCACCGCCTCCCAGCCGCGGCTCCCTGCCTCCCCCTCCTCCCCCTGCCCACGCCTCTCTGCCTGTAGGCCCTCCTCCTCCACCGCCACCTCCTGCAGCGCCCTCTGCTGGAGGAGTGCCCCCACCACCTCCTCCGCCTCCACCCCCACCCGGCCCTCCTCCTCCCGCACCACCACCCTTGCCCGCTGCTGGCCTGGAGACCGAGGGAGGAGAGGGCAAGGGTGCGTTGCTCAGTCAGATCCGCGAGGGCGCAAACCTCAAGAAAGTGGACCAGAAGGAGCGGCCCGTGTCGTCAGTGGGCAGAGACGCACTCCTGGACCAAATCAGACAAGGAATACAGCTCAAACCAGTACGCACGCTTTCTACCATCTTTTCAAGGCACAAAACATTCACAATGTGCCTTGGAGATTGGGCGCAATGTTTTGGGGGTTAATGGTTTAGAAACCATTAATAATTATAATAATAATAATAGTAATAAAACATCATTAGCTCAAAATGTTGCCTAAAAATGATCAAACTCTACACTTTCCAGAGGGAAGAAAACACAGACGCCGCCCCCGCTACCCCCGCCCCCTCGGCAGGTATCGTGGGAGCTTTGATGGAGGTGATGCAGAAAAGGAGCAAGGCCATTCACTCCTCAGGTAAAGCTCTAGGACGTTAGAGTCTACCAGCATTATCTTGGAGAAGTTACTATTTGTTTGAAAATGTTTTTTTCACAACAAAAAGATTAGATAAGATAAACGTTATTGATCTCACAATAGAGAGATTTACAGGCACAACATGCTGCTGTGATCTCATTAGAAAAGTATTTTGCGTACTTCGTAAGAAAGAGCCCTGTGAGTAACTATTTGTTGTTTTGGGGTAAGAGCTGATTGGTCGTATTTGATGATCCGTTTAGTTGCTCATTTCATGTACTCGCACGCAGATGAAGCGTAACTCAACTGGAGTGAATATGCTTTTTTGTAATGGAAATAAAGCGTTCAGAATTTCACTCTGAACCAGAGCAGAGAAAATGGTCCAAACCAAGCAGACTGCATACATCAACCAGAGGATCGGAAACATCTCATCACCTATTGCACTTTATGTTTACTGTTAGTAACTAGAATGATATATATTTTTGTTGTTTGTTTGGGTGAATGTGATTCTTCTGGACACTTGAATTTCTCCCACAGGGATCAATATCTATCTATCCCTCAAACGTAAATTCCTGTTTTCTTTACCTGAAATCATCCAACCCAAAATGCTAAAAAGGCACATTACTACTGTGCAGCTTTTGAGCCTCTTTACACATTTATTAATTTGTGAAACATGTCTCCACAGACGAGGATGACGACGATGAGGAGGACGAGGACTTTGATGATGACGACGAATGGGAAGATTAGCGTTTCTTCCTCCCCGAAAACTACAGATGACACTAAACTTACTTTCTCTTTCAAAAAAAACTTTACTTTGAAATTGTTCTTCATAATTCTCAATCTGCTCTGTCTATTTCTGTTGCCTTCATTGCTTTTTTATTAATCTGTGCAATACCTCATTTAAATTTTATTTTTTTTCTTTATCTGTGCTTTTGTTCCTCTCCCACACGGCTAGATCCTTGTTTTTGTCACCTCCATCTGGCACTCTACTGTCGCACCTTTTCTCACCCTGTTTTCTTATAAATGTGATGTCTGTCAAAATCTTAGAGGCACTTTTGTTTTGCTTTTCTTTTTTTTAAATAAATGGGATTGAAGGACAGTCTTTGCTGAAAGAAAAAATCCTTTTTCATCCGCATTGTTCATCGAGAGAAATAAACTATTTTCGTATCCTATTTTCTGTAGTTAGTTTTAATTAAAAAATGATCCTGCCGTTTAAAAGCACTCGTATTTTCTTAAAACAAAATGGCGAACGTTAGAACATTAAGCTTAATTTGACATCTAATGTAGATTTGAATCTATTTTTGCACAATTTGAAGATATATTTATATATTTTCAGGACTGTTCACTCATGGCAATATTATATAAATTAGTTATTTTTAAAATCTCTTGACACGCTACATGCATACATACATGTGGTCCAGTACTTTGGCTGGTTTTGTCTCATAATTGTGTTTTTTAAAAATAAGAATATATAATGCTTACTTTGAACACGTTCTGTCATAATCAACTATCAATATGTGGTGAATACAGCGACGATTACAGATGCCTTGATGCAAATATGACACTTATGGGAATAGAGGAACTTATCGAGGTCCATTTCAAACAAACTGGATTTCTATCACAGGAACTGATCGATAACAGTGACCATGTTTGGACATATTTAAATTCACCTGCATAACATATCCAGCCTCACATGTGACCAAATCCTTTCTGCGATAAAAGACCTAAAAACCTACTTCTCTTTGGGCCGTTGCATTAGTTTGTGTGGTAGGAAAATGATGTTTGAACCTGCAAGTTGTCAAATGCCAGTTTAGTGTTTGGGAAAGCAGAGCCTTATTTTCAGCTGCTGGGAACTTCTGTAGTTATTATCAGCACAGTGTCATGGACTTCAGCTTTGTCAATGTGGCTGAACAAATATACAGGTCTTACAATGTACACTCCAATAAAAATGGATACTTCTTTACTTGGTCGTGGGTGTCATTTTTCAGACTCGTTTTTTATCAGATGGGGATATAAAAATATGCAAAAATTCAAATGCAATGCCAGGGAATATGCATGGCAACAGCTGAGCCATAAGTACACCAGCGCTGCCAAGTATAATGGAAAAACACCCACTGTTTTACTGCCTGCACTTACATTTGAGATTTCTAACACATTGTATTTATTAAGGCTGATCAACAGTGTTATGGAATTTAGGCTTTTTAAAATCATACTGTAGCCATTTCCATTTGTGTAGGGATCTAGTGTTCTGTCCTGAACATCAACATCTATAGCAAAATATTGTTTAAATCTTAATTTACTTTTGTAATTCTACTTAATATGTGAAAACAATATGATATAGACGCAGTACGGGCAAACTGACATTTGCCAAGTCTGTGTTATAATGTAATGATTGCAATACAGTCTATTTTGAAAATATTCAAACTTTCTGAGATGTTTTATTTGAGGTGTTTTCATGCTTTGAGCCAATTGGCATAAAAGTTACTCATCTTTTCAACTTGTTTGCACATTCTGTATTTTTGCACACCCTGAGTGATCCTTTTTATGCCAAATATGATAAAAAGTTATCCATATTAGTTTACTACTTTTAGTTTTATTGACCTGTACCCACCCAATGGTTTAGATTTACAATAGTATTTCATGTTTTCTATCAGGGGGTATAGGTTATACTTAAAAATGATTGTTTAAACTGTGTTAAGTTGAAAATATTGATATGGTCTACTCTATACTGTAATATCGTATACATTGGAAATTGTTTTTGAAGCTAATAGAAACACACAACATGTATTGAAAACATAGAATCCATAATCCAATGCACACATTCTGCAATAACAAGCCTTTCTTACTTTTAGTTGTGGGTTAGTTCAACCGCTCCATAAAAGCAATCATTTGGTCAAAATAAAATATCAATATTATAATTAGCTGACTATAATAATGAATGCATTGCAATAGATAAGCTAAAATCAAGAATGTAAAATGATTAATGACTTGTGTCCCTCCAAGGTCTTTGCCAGCACAGGGCAAAAAAGGTCTGGAAAAAAAGTACTCTCTAATAACCCTGCTAAAGTAATGTAAGTATTTTCCCCTCTGTGATGCCCCAATGTCGCCGTGGCAACATCATTTATCAGGCTGTATGTTCCTAACTGTGTCACCTCGGAGCAGCTGCTGGTAGCTTTAGCAGTGACAGGGACATATTTAGCTCACATAAACAATGTTGCTCTAGGATTAGAGTTAGTTCGGCCTTCTCCATATTTTATTTCATGTGTTCCTTCAACCCCTCTGAGATTCAACCTTCAGCACGTCTGTACAATGAATGACAAGAATTTTCCCCATTTTCTATTTGCCACAACAGTTACTGGTCACATTTTAAGCAAGAAGGACTCTGAAATGCGGGTGGCTAACACTGGCCATCATTAATAGTCATTAGAGAGACAATTGGAATTCTTTATCACAGGCATGTCCAAACTAAGGCCCGAGGGCCAATTGCAGCCTGCTGTGTCATTCTATGTCACCCTGTGCCTTACTAACCCAAAATACCACTGAGATTATAAACACAAGTTCACAGTGTTGGGGCGAGACTGGCTCAGTTGGTAGAGCATTGGTCTCTGAGTCTCATGGTCATGGGTTCTGAAGTCTGCTGTCGTTGTGTCCCTGGGCAAGACACTTAACCCCACATTCCCCAAAGCTCCCGCTGAAAGACAAGGTCGTATCTTCCAGAAATGGAACAATAAAGGGGATGGAAAAAATAAGATGAACTCCACAGTGTTATCCAGCCAACTTCTGCTCCTCCTATACAGGCATGTTACACCTCATTGCACTGACATTTTTTATTATTATTATGGCACAAAAATGTGGCAATGTAGCTATTGAGAAAGCTATTCAATTAACTTCAGCTCTCACAGATGTTATACATGTATAACAAATTGTCATGTTACACCTCATTTAGCATCTCAAAATAGACCTAGTCAACATAGTTTTACAATCCATGTTGTCGGTTCCTTGACCAAAAGTGGCCTTAATAGTTAAAAGTTTGGTGGGGTTGGTTTTAAAACATGCCTTATGGGGAACATTTTCCAGTGAAGGTGGTCATGATCAGCCTCAGTGTGCCCCTGATACTAAAGGATGGTCAAATACTAAATGATACATTGCTGATAAAATCAAACAAAACAAACTAAGAAGAAACAATAATTTTAATGCAAACATATTCGAGCTATATTTGAAAACAGATATGCAGTAGGTTGAGGCTATGTACAAATATACAATATACAGTGCCTTGCAAAGGTATTCGGCCCCCTTGAACCTTTCAACATTTCGCCACATTTCAGGCAAGAATCAACAACAAGTGGGACACAATCGTGAAGTGGAACGAAATTTATTGGATAATTTAAACTTTCTTAACAAATAAAAAACTGAAAAGTGGGGCGTGCAATATTATTCGGCCCCCTTGCGCTAATACTTTGTAGCGCCACCTTTTGCTGCAATTACAGCTGCAAGTCGCTTGGGGTATGTCTCTATCAGTTTTGCACATCGAGAGACTGGAATTCTTGCCCATTCTTCCTTGCAAAACAGCTCGAGCTCAGTGAGGTTGGATGGAGAGTGTTTGTGAACAGCAGTCTTCAGCTCTTTCCACAGATTCTCGATTGGATTCAGGTCTGGACTTTGACTTGGCCATTCTAACACCTGGATACGTCTATTTGTGAACCATTCCATTGTAGATTTGGCTTTATGTTTTGGATCATTGTCCTGTTGGAAGATAAATCTCCGTCCCAGTCTCAGGTCTTTTGCAGACTCCAACTGGTTTTCTTCCAGAATGGTCCTGTATTTGGCTCCATCCATCTTCCCATCAATTTTAGCCATCTTCCCTGTCCCTGCTGAAGAAAAGCAGGCCCAAACCATGATGCAAAAAGTTCGATTTTGGTTCCATCTGACCAGAGCACCTTCTTCCACTTGTTTGGTGTGTCTCCCAGGTGGCTTGTGGCAAACTTTAAACGAGACTTTTTATGGATATCTTTGAGAAATGGCTTTCTTCTTGCCACTCTTCCATAAAAGCCAGATTTGTGCAGTGCAGGACTGATTGTTGTCCTATGGACAGACTCTCCCACCTCAGCTGTAGTTATCTGCAGTTCATCCAGAGTGATCATGGGCCTCTTGGCTGCATCTCTGATCAGTCTTCTCCTTGTTTGAGATGAAAGTTTGGAGGGACGGCCGGGTCTTGGTAGATTTGCAGTGGTCTGATACTCCTTCCATTTCAATATAATTGCTTGCACAGTGCTCCTTGAGATGTTTAAAGCTTGGGAAATCTTTTTGTATCCAAATCCAGCTTTAAACTTCTCCACAACAGTATCTCGGACCTGCCTGGTGTGTTGCTTTGTCTTCATGGTTCTCTCTGCGCTTTAAACAGAACCCTGAGACTATCAAAGAGCAGGTGCATTTATACGGAGACTTGATTACACACAGGTGCATTCTATTTATCATCATCAGTCATTTAGGACAACATTGGATCATTCAAAGATCCTCACTGAACTTCTGGACTGAGTTTGCTGCACTGAAAGTAAAGGGGCTGAATAATATTGCACGCCCCACTTTTCAGTTTTTTATTTGTTAAAAAAGTTTAAATTATCCAATAAATTTTGTTCCACTTCACGATTGTGTCCCACTTGTTGTTGATTAATGACAAAAAATTAAAATTTTATATCTTTATGTTTGAAGCCTGAAATGTGGCGAAATGTTGAAAGGTTCAAGGGGACGAATAATTTTGCAAGGCACTGTATGTGACGTACAAAACTGGATTAGTAAACAGTTAAGAGTCAAATGTCTTACTTCAGAGCGTTTCAGTGCAAATTCAAATGTTCTAAATCTATTTATACTTTCTGCATGTCCATTGGTCACTGTAGACACCGTGTCATGTTGATGTTTAGAACAGATGGACTCTTTTTATCTGAGATGATGGGGGAGCTCCACCTGAAAATAAAACAATTCAATAGAATCACAATGTGAATAACATTTAAGAGCATAATGGCCATGCAGTAGTTTCTCACGCTAAATCCTGTGGCGCTGCTGTGGTAACTTATCATGTATTATCAAACTTTGGCTAACAGCTTCTAAAAATACCAAGACTAAGTGGCTGGAATGTCACAGCTCTGAGGAGCACTGCCTCCTGAAGGCACCGGCATTTTCCACTTCAACCACAACAAACGAAAGTAGAAACTTTCCAATTCCAAAAACTGTAACATTTATAAAATGGTATTGTCTTATCGATCGACTGAGATTAAACCTGCAACACAATTATTGTACTCAGGGCTGGAAGAACATTCAACTGTTTATACAATCAGGTTTGATTAGTGCCAGTACGGAGCCCTGGAGGGGCCATAGTAGAAACAAAGATTTGTTTTAGGGTAAATAAAAATGTGGTATCTTGTCTCTGGAGGTACCTAATATGTTTAAACTCAATCCCTCAATCACATTTTTTTGAGCTAGGTATCTTGAAATGCCTTTTTTTTTGTATCAACCCTTAATCAATGAAACACAAAATGAGTAGTCTGGAAATAAAACAATGGGGATTATTAGATTTTAGCTTTACTAAATGTGTAGTTTATAGTATTATTTAGATTTAGATAATCCTAATATTTGAAGATTATTGTGACTCTGGTCTGTGAAAGGCGGTATATAAATAAAGCTTACTTACTTACTTACTTATTATATTTGGGTTAGAACCATATGTTTTTAATTGAAATTTCTGTTGTACTTTACTTTTTAGTACACATATGTATGTGACATCATGGCAATATTTACAAAGAGCTTCAATGCAGTCGTCAGAACAGGCGTGTCAGAAATCAGCAGTGACACAGTCTTCAATCACTGACCTTTTTGAGAGAACAGAGGTTGCTGCCTCGGATGGACTCCATGAGCTGATCGTGGGCAGAGCGCACAGGTGTGGAGGGTCGGCTGTCCTCCCCTCTGCGCTCCACCACGGGCCTCAGGGCGTTCTTCAGCTCCTTCAGGATGCTCCCGGTCTCCTCCACAGCACCACTGTCTTTGTACTTTCCCTTCTTACCCCTCTTCCCTTTCACTTTCGTGGTCTTCTTAGCACCAGCCTCGTGCGCCTTGATCACTTCTGCAATCATGCGCGTGGGTTTCTCTTTTTTCCCCTTTTGGCTGTGGACGGGTGCTGGAGGTGGAGGAGGTGGGGGTGGAGGAGGTGGTGGCGGGGGAGGAGGAGGTGCGGGAGGACGGCTGAGTTTTGGGGACGACCAAGGAGAACTACGAGGGGATGGACACGGTGTAACTTTCTGGAGAGAGTGGAGGACATGATGCGTATTAGTAACGCAAACAGCACAATATGAAATAACAATATCGAATTCCTTTCCCAGTTGTGTGTATCGCTCAAACAGTAGGGTTGTGTATCATGGATCGGTGCAGCGTGTGCAGTGATGCGGTCTCTGTATTGGACAATTGTGGCGAAGAAGGAGCCGAAAAATAATGAAGTCGAAAGGCAAAGCTCTCGAAATATGTACATTCCCTCCCTCACCTATGGTTGTGAGCTTTGGGTAACGACTGAAAGGACAAGATCACGGATATGCGATCGAAATTAGTTTTTAAATAAGTTGAGCCCTTGAGTTTGAATGAATGAGTGTCAAACCAGAGCAGAGGTCCTGGGGTTCAGAGCGCTCTCGGTGGCTCCCTGCTGGCTCTGCCTCAGCCTCTGCTCCTCCAGACGCTTCTGTCTCTGTCGGTCTTGGTTTCTGGTCAAGATCCCGGTCATACTCATCCTGGGGCCGGGCAGATTGAACTGGTACCCTAACTTTATCAGGGTGTGGTTTTCCCTCAAGATCTTCACCATCTCCATCTCCACCTGCAGGAGACGAACGTGATGAAGCCAACATCCCCATGGTTACTGTTATCCCTAACTGCAATCTTACTTCAGAGTTATGTTGAACAGATTTTTCCCAGTAAGTAAATATTGCTCGTTTATTGCTAACTTAAAAAAAAAAAAAAAGCTTAGCTATATCACTCAGGGCTTGCTTTGAATTGAGCTGTCTCTGTTCAAGAAAGCCGCTCTTTTGATATTTTGAACATGTGCAAGTGTTCAAAATGTCAGGTATCATCGAAGCAGGGTGGCACGGTGGCTGAGTGGGTAGCACCTTCGCTTCTTCCTGAAAGTGTGAGACAGGCCTCCTCTCCGACAACAAAAAAAACTGTTTTGTTTATCTGTGCATACAACTGAGGGATTTTATATTTTCATCTTTCTTTTTAATGTTCTGTGATTATTTATGATTTTAATGCTATCTTATTTTGTTCAGCACTTTGAGTTGCCTTGTGTATGAATTGTGCTATACAAATAAACTTGCCTTGCCTTCTCAGCAAGAAGGTTCTGAGTTCAAATCCCAGTCAGATCAAGGCACCAAATTAAAATCACAGTCAAACTTTATTGCAAATAATTGGGTTTTGCAAGTTATCTACACATGGAGTTTACTTGGCAACATCAAGTTAAGAATATACTCGAGATTTTCAAATAACGTTAATGTGCAATTTATTACCAAGGTTTTTTCAAGAACACTTTACTTGCCGGGGTTTACTGTGCGCCATGGTGTCAGAATGGTGTGAGTGTTCTACCTGTCCTCCGCAGATGTGTCTTTGGTTGTGGAAGCGCAGCTCGGTCAGGGTGTGGTTGCCAGGTAAGGCCTGCACCAGGGCCATCACGCCTTTCCCACTCACAAAGTTGGACTCTATGTTCACACTGACGATGGAGCAGTTTTCCCTCAGCATCTTAGCTACGGCCAAAGCCACCGGGTCATCAGCTTTAGTGTTGGCCACGCTGAAAGTGCGCACGTGTGAGTTGGACCGCAGCGCCTCAGCGAACCGGATCAGAGTTTGCTGTGAGGATAGTAGATATACAGAAATTAAACACTGATCTCAACATTGTAAAGCGCTTTGGATGACCTTGGTCTGTAAAATGCGCTATATAAATAAACATTACTTACTTACTTATTACAGGTGATTCTTGTTATGGGGGATTATTATACAGGGGGTTTTGTGTCATTTCTCTGACAATGTTCAAATACAGGTTAATAACTCTTTTTGATACACAGTGATTATTTATGATTTTAATGCCTTGTTGTTCCTGTCTTGCACTTTGAGTTGCCTTGTGTATGAACTGTGCTATACAAATAAACCTGCCTTGCCAGATCATGGATAAAATAACTGAAATACAATGGGGCGGCAGTGAGCCTTCATCCATCGATTTAAAGATGCTACTGTTTTTGTAGTGTCTCACTAGCTAGTCGAGGTAGGTTACTCAGGACAATTAGTAATCTGCGTCGAACATTTTGGCCTAAAATAAAAGTGTGAAGCATAATTATAATTTTAGAACAGATTACATGAGGGGGTCTGAAACTATAAATTCAGCTGAGGGTCAAGTCTGGCTGAAGCTGGGCCGTATTAAGGAGTGTATTAATCTGTATTTGTTTGTGTGGGTGCAAAATATTAGATCAGAGCAAACAGATGTATGCAGATATAGAATTAAAAAACTAAAATTGCTCACGCTAATTTACTTTGCACACACAGCTTAGCTCCTGGATTGATAAATAAACCCCCACGTCTCAAACATCGTTCCATTCTTTTACAATAACAGTAGAGAAATGTTTGGGCTCGTAAAACAGGCAAAGACAGGAAAACCAAGAATCAAGTGTTTATGGAAATTTTATAGTTCATTGTTTTTATCTGTGACTTTGTATAATTAATTATATGGAATTAAATTCATTTATGGATTATATGCTGCGATAAAATTCCAAAACAATATTTTCGAACACTCCTAATATGTAGTTTGAGTAGTAGGTAAAAAGTAGCCAGTAGTTCCCATAATTTATGATTATTTAAAATTGTATATTTAATAGATAGTTTATACTTTATATTGACAGAAACATGAGGCATGCAGATCAGATCTATCAGACATAGAACCTTCTGATGAGAATAATGACTATTTTACACTAGTTTGAGACGAGAAGCTGAAATATACAAGATGAGTAAAATATGTAAAAATTAAAATAGTTCCATAATTAAGTCACACAAAATAGATCCAGAGTGTGCCCCATGTTTAGCACAATCTTTACCTCACAAGTGCAACACATCTGCTGACTTTACCTGTGAAATGTCATCGATGTTGTTGAGGTTCACGTCTGTCACGTCAGGGTCGTTGCTGAGGACTTTCTGGAGAACTTCATCGACTACAGTTGGGTTTCCAGCTGAGTTTTCGATGCGTGAAGGTGGGGGCGGAGTCAGTCTCATTGGCTCCACCCTCTGGGGTTTTAGTAGAGCTGGTGCCTCTGACGGGACACTGGGCTGTTCAGTTAGTGTTTTATTGTCTGGTTCCTCCTCCTCATCTTCATCCTCTGTAACCGGCACTTCTTCCTCACTTTCCTCTTCCTCACTCTCCTCCTCTTCATCACTCTCCTCCTCCTCCTCCTTCTCCTCTTCCTCTGATTCCTCTGTTGGCCTTTGGTGCATTGGCACTTCTTTCTCGTTTTCGTTGTCTTTCTCATCTTCACATTCACTTTCAGTCTCTGTTTCCTTGAAGTCATCTTCATCCTAAAAGCATTTGACAAATTAAGTATAGAAAAATATATTTTGTCTAGTGAGCAGTCGATAACAGCAATTGCCATGTCTATCCAAAGAAGGAAGTAAGATTTGAAAAGTGTTTGTAATTTAAATATTCTTGTCTCTAAAACGTTACATAGATTGGCTCCTGTCTCTAACAATTTAGGATCAACATTTTTCAAAACACCAGAGGTGATTCTGATTCTGATTCTGATTCTGATGTTCCCGAGAGAAAAAACTACAAAAAGTTATATTGTGTTATCAAGTTTGTGCAATGGTGGGATGTGTGCAATAACTGGGTGTGTGCAAGGATGCATTACACATGTGCAATAATAAGAACTCACATTAATGTCAAAATAATTATAATAGAAAGAAAAGCAATCATGTTTGTTCAGTAGGACATTTGCGTACATGTCTGTCATGATCTGATTCTTATGAAAGTGTATTTTTTGTGAATTTCACATTCACATTCACATCTTTTCTGAGAAAGTGTTAAATTCACAGAATGTTTAATAATTTAACCATCCTATCCGCCTTTTAGTGACTGCTGTGTAAACAATGTAAAATGGGAACTTAAAGCTGGGGCTCCAAACTTTTTGTCCTCATAAATGATACCTCACCGTAAATCTTGCAGAAATTAAAATGTTGTGACCAAATCAGACTGGCTTATTGAGTCTTTTGTGCTCTCGTTTAATTTTCTGTCTGATTTAAATTCATACAAGTGTGAAAACCTAAAAAACAGTTAAGAGGGAGAGGAATAATGACAACAATTTCTTCTGTTTTGAAAGTCACACTTTTTTTAAAGACAAATTTATTAACAACAGATATTAATTAAGGTTAAACCTATATTCTCTGCAGTGGATAAAGAGCAAGATGGATCTAAAGTGCTCTGGCTCCAAACCCCACTTTAGCAAATACAATCTTTCATTACAAAGATGATTCTTGATCCAGTTGGGCACAAATGAAACTAATATCACTTCAAACTACTACTACTACTAGTTTTTTTACTCACCAGTTTGGGACTTCCTCCTCCAATCTCATCCTCCAGCATCCTTCGCGTCTCGTTCTCCCAGTACTTCATGAGTGCGTCCCTGCTAAAAGTCCCAGTTGGTGTTTTGTCCGTCTGGTCCCTCTGCCTGAGACCTATGGGAACATTCATGTCTGGTTCGATATCGGCAAGTTCCTTCTCCAATTCCGCCAGTTCCTCCGGGCTGAGGGAGGCCAGCAGCTCATCTTCATCTACGTCTTCATACTTACTCAGCTCCCGACGATAGCCAAAAACACTCATGGTTGAAAGAATAATCAAAAACAACACAATTAGAATGTTGATTAGTCCATTTTACTGCCCCAAATATGAGCAAAAGTCAGAAATATTGCTTTCAGCTGTAACCCCAAGCCAGATTGAACCAGCTCTCCGTGAGTTTGGCAGAGGTCTCCAGTGCGTCCAGGTCTCTGTCCTGTTTTCTAATCTCCCAGCTGCTGTGCGGGCCAGCCTTAAGAGAGGGGATCAACAGGGGAACGTAGCAGAGTGCAGGCGGTGTCTTTTTTGGGACACGTATCGTTGAGAGAGGGGGCCACAAAAAGCTGGTGAGCTCAGGGACCTGGGCTTTTGTTCAGAGCCAAAAGAACAACTGGGGAGGTGTAGGGGTCATGCTACTGCTGAATAGGTCATAATTAGACATGATACAATCTGCTAAATGTTGTAGGCACTGAGTCATTTATGAGCGGTGAGCCGTTCCTAAATGAAGCCGTCAATTTAACAGATATTTCAATCAAATCAATTGAAGTGTCATATTTCTGAGTAGAATTTGTGCTAGAAAATGTGCTATATAAATAAACATGACTTACTTACTTATCATATATGTGTCACTGGAATGACAAGCACATTTATGAAGGTGAGTGGATTCGTTCCCATGGAGATAGAGATGAGGGTATCACATGAGAACATTATATTCAGGCACCACCTGAATGTGAAAGCCAGATCCTGTTCACGCCTCAGAAGCTAAGTAGGGCAGAGCATGGTTAGTACTGTGATGGGAGACCTCTGGTAACACCAGGTCCCACAATAGGGCGACACTTGTCGGTGAGCGTGATTAATTGGTGATGATCGGAAGGGCCGTTTGCAGATACTGGTTGCCTCGCCGCTGGGGGCCTGCCCAGGACAGCTGTGACTTCAATATTATCTTATTACTGAGTGAATGAATAATGCCACATGAAGCGTCTTTCAGGTTCCAAAAATAGCGTTATATATAGAAAGGATGCAATATTAAATATTACATTATTATTATAAGGTTATCTATTGGAAAAATACTATTGTAACATAGCAATAGTGACATGACGTGAGAAATGTAAAATACAGAATGTTAAAAATAAAAAACATCAAAGGCTATTTGTTCTTTATTCGGACACGTTGGCGCCTTTTGCAAAGGAGGTTTCAGATTTATATAGGCTTTGGTGTCAGCATGAAGTGATAGATAAGGGATCTTATCTCCCCTTTCCAAACTCTCACTCCTCTCATCTCACATTTTGTGTTGTAAGTAAGGTAAATGCACATAATTCATGCACAGTTTTAAAATCAAACCTATTGGCTGCATCAAGTTAGTTGGGTTAGTCTGATAAACTTTCTTGAGTAATTGCAGTATGTCTAGTTTTCAAACTTGTAATTGTTTAATCCTTTATAAACAGTGCTAAATGATTAAATGTTTATAATGCTCTTCTACCATTCAAGGCCTCAAAAAGCTTTAAATCAAGAAACAATTCACACATTCATATGATGGTGTACAGAGTGGGTTGGATGTATAACAGCTGGCTTCACACCTAAACCTGCGGGTCAAATGATTTGACCACTCCACCAATGACGTTTATATAATTTCTCTTACATCTTACATTCTCTCTCTTCAAAAATCTTCATCTTTTCAACACTTTGTCAATTACTTCAACCTCATATAATGGTATAGCATTTACAATATAATTATTGCATTCACTTTAATGATTTTATTCAACTTATGTCCAAACTACCCTGGCGAGCCCAACACTCCTCTTTTCTGTTCAAAAGAGGAACACATATTTGTAAAGTATTGAAAATGAAAAACTATACTATATACTAAAGATAGTTATTTGAGAGAGTCTTGCCTGATGCGCATCAAGAGAGAAGCCAGTCAAATCGCATCTGTAAACATGACTACGGCTCAACATGACATAAAGAACATACTGTACTTTGTGGCAGATGTACCAGTACTTTTATACGTAAATGTTTAAACTGAGGATTTCATGATTTGGTGTAATGGAGCTTTGTTAAAACATCACTGACATATTCTTTCTCTCCTACAGTATGAGAGCTGTGTGATCCTGCGGCAGACAGAACACATGATGGTGATGTTGGTGTGTATAAAGAAAATGTGACCGACACTGAGTTGGAATCTGCTGCAGAGAGACAAGCTACACTTCACAGACATTTGCTTACATAAGAATGTGGTGGTCAAACACTTTGGTAAAAAATAATGTACACTTTCATTGAGATCTTTATTCACTAATATTTAAAAATGTGTATGTAAATTAGTAAGTAAATATAATGTAAATATGCACTCAAGACATTCATTCACATAACCATTTCCATGTATTGATACTTGAGTCATCAGTAGTGTGCTTAAGAACTATGCACATATTTGTATAGTTGTAGAATGTTATGTATACTGTATACGTGTGAATTTGTAATATGTTGATATAGGCAAGGCAAGGCAAGTTTATTTGTATAGCACAATTCATACACAAGGCAATTCAAAGTGCTGAACAAAATAAGAAAGCATTAATATCATAAATAATCACAGAACATTAAAAAGAAATGTAGTTGTATGCACAGCGAAACAGAATTGTTTTTAACCTGGTTTTAAATATTGTCAGAGAGGAGGCCTGTCTCACATCTTCAGGAAGACTGTTCCAGATTTTAGCATATTAAACTGTAAATTAAATGTGTGTGTATAAATGTATACTGTATGTTTTTACTCATACATGAAACCCAAGTTGGATGATTTCCTACATCATATATAATTGATTTTGTTGTACATAGATTAGGCAAAATAGGTGCTAAACTTTAGTCCAACCCTTTTGTTCTGTAAAAAATACAAATAATGTGCAATCACTTGGCTAATGAATGTCAACACAACAAGATTAAGTTATAGTATAATATAGCATCTACTAGAAAAGTGTTACGTAAGTGTGAAAATGAATACTTAAACAGCTCAATTGTAACTAACACTCTTATCAACTTTGTGGTTTTGATCATCACAGCACATCACTATAACAAGACGTTATTGAATGAATATATACTGTGCTATATGTCCCCGTGAAGGTCGTACTCTCTGTAGCTGAGGTAGTTCTTCACTCTGGGAGGCAGGGGAACCTCAGCCATGGCCGCAGCACTGTTCAGTATCTTTGGGGAAATGTGACTTCTGACCACCAGCCGAGACAAGTGCTGCAGGGAGCGGGGAGAATCTGTGGACCAAACAGACACCACAGAAAACCACAAGCCTTACAACATATTTACTGTTAAAAATGTGGTCGAATTCAAAGTGGATCTGCTTGTGAACCCTTTGGAGTAAAGACAACTGGACATGATGGATTCTTTGTGAACTTGAAACCCTAGTGCTGGCCTCTTATCGCTCTATTATAAGTGTGAACGAACTCTGAACAAAGAAAAATCAATGACAAGAATATCTTTGATAGATATTGAGAGGTGAAAAACTGGTGATGGGTTTGGACAAAGAAGTGGCAATTTAACAAACAAAAATATTCTTATTGACCTTTCATATTTTTTCATATAACAGAAAAGTGCTGTCTTTAAAAAGTGTTGGATGTTGGTTGGAGTCCAAACAAGACAGAAGTTTAAGAACAGATTTGTTTGACTTGTTTTAAATATTATAAATTAATATAAACTCTTTCAAACACACACACACATTAATGGTTCAAATGCAAAACCTATTTATCTCCGTGGGGACAGCTTGAGTTAACATTTATTTAATATTTTATGAAGGTACGTGTTTAAAGGTGCAGTAAGCGATTTTGTTAGCTTGTTCTGAATAGGGCTGATGCCACGACTGCCAAGTGGTCAGGTGGAGTTTACTAAATACTAGATACAAGAATTTATCTGCAATTTGCATTAAAACCACATTGGAAAGACTGTGCAAGACTACCCCAGTGTGCACCAGGATGGTACACATCATAACTCTTGCAACGATGCCATTTTCCCAGAATGCAGCTCTGGTTTGGTAATTCATTTCTCTGCTTGTAGTGTTATAAATTCCTTTTGATCTTTCCTACTTTGATCCTCAAACTCTTAATCGTTAAATGTAACTTCTGGAACCAAAGACGACTGCCAAGCGAGTGGGACTTCAATATAAAAAATGGAAACGTAGTCGCCTACATGTACATACACCAATACTTAGATTAAGAGTTGGATGGACTTACTGAGGATGCCTGAAATGTCCTCCCACTCAGGTCCGTCCTCCAGGATTTTCCGTAGTTTGGGACATAGATGGACATAACTCACGTAGTCTAAGAGCATCCTCACCACGCCGCCCACCACATCCCGCTCGAGCCACGAAACCGACACAAACTCACAGAACTAGAGACATGGAACAGACTTTGATCAACTTCATCCTTGTCATTATTATTATTATAAAGTTGTTGGAGTTCAATAGGGGGACCTTTTAGCTCTCTGTAAAACCAATTAGGTCTATTGTAAAACCAACCAAACGCTATTAGGAACTGAACTCTCTGTAGCTTGTTAGTAATACAAACTTTAGTGTGTGTTTAAAGGTACACTGTGTAGTTTTTACTCCCATCTAGTGTTGAAATAATGTATTGCAGTCCTGCATTCACATCACCAGGTACTGTAAGAAAACATTTACTGGTGGTTATTCATGTGTGAGTCTGTTGTGTACAAACTACACAATGTGCCTCCTGTTGTTTTAAATCTGCCTTTTGGTGCGAGTGGTTTGCGATTTTGGTTTGCGTTTCTAGATTTTTGCAGAATTCGTTTTCTAAAAAGAAAAGTTCTTTCATATAACTGTGGTCCTCCATGGTTCCTTCTTCAAACTCGTGAGAGCACAATGGAAGCAACAGAATTAGCAGCACCTGTGAAATAAAAACTTGATTCTCACATCCTTTTCGTCCTTTATCCACAAGATGGCGGATTGACCTGGAGAATCCTCAGCTCTCATGGACATTTATAAGTCTATGGCAAGAATTCCAAAACATGGTGGTGGTAAATATTCTTAAAAATGTCACATTTGTTATTGGTTAACATGTTTTTTTATTTTACATTTGGGGCAACTAAAAATTACACAGAGTACCTTACTTGTATTGTGGTATTGCTGTTTTCATCGGTTTGTATTGGCTCCACTTCATGCCACTTAATATTGTTTTATGTGTTTTTTGCCCAAATAAAAGTCTAAATATCTAATTATTATCCTCATCATCATTTAAAACAAACAATAATAGTATTTTAAATGATGACGAGAATCATTATTATTATTATTATTGCTATTATTATTATTATCATTATTATTATAATTATTGCTATTATTATTGTTATCATTATTATTATTATTATTATACACAATATCTCGTTTATAAGTTTACTAGTCAACAATTATTCATGCTGTCTAATCAGATTTTTTAAACAAGAGCTGAAATACAGAAAACATAACTATACTATGTCACAGTAAACAATGTGTTGTCTTTTGTCTATTTTTGACTATTTCTGTTTTTGTTATTGAATGTTTTTTATGATTTGTATGGACCAGCTTAGAATTACAGACTTTGAATATAATTTTTAGCAGAATTTCTAGATATAAATGGAAAAAAAACTGAACATCATTCTCAATAATAAAAAAATAAAGTAGATATTTTTTTTGTTCAATTATTTTTGGCAACATTAACAAAGATTGATGGCTTCAGTAATTTCTTTGTAACGTGAATAGAATGTGTAATTTCCTGAATGAAGAAAAGTAATGAAATTACTCTAAATCTGACATGACATCTGCGAGTTGAAGGCATTTGGCATTGTTATGATAATAAATGCAACCTATATTTAAAAGTGTGTGTGTTGGTTGCAGAGGCTCACTGTGATTGCGTCTGGCTGGCTGTAGATCTGATAGACCTGGTTGTGGAGTTGGGCCCAGGAACTGTCCAGCTCCTCACTGTCTCCACAACAGCACTGGAAACACCTCCAACACAAATGACAATCATTGGCAAAATATAACTCTTTGTTTGACTGACAGGCTCGGCTAATGTTGTGATCAAAGGGGGAACAACAGGATATTTTTGAGTTAAATGTAAGCAGCACATACTAACTGAATAAATGACAGTGCCAGTCTGCTCATGGAGCCTCCACCAGAGCCTCAGTTAGAGGGGACTGTCTGCTCCCAAGACTCAGAACATCCTTTGGACAATCTAGCTCAGGGATGTCAAAGTCAAACGATAATAATTTAAGAGTTATAGTTATATAACCTATTGAACCAAGACCTTACACAGTGTACTGTATTTCATTAAAAGTATAAATTAACTTGGTTACAGTGAAGGAGTGAGCACTTCACGCGGAGTGAGCACGCGTTTTTGACGTCTCTGCTCTGTTTACCCTTTTAAGCCTTTTAAAGCCTTTTAAACACGTTTTTACGGTGTATTAGTGTCTTTTGTACACTCTAGTGTTTTATTATCTTAAATGCAATGGTTCCAGAGCATCACGTCTTTTAACACAAAGACCCAATCGAAACGCGCTAGCTCGGAGGCTACCACGAGCGCACCACAGACATGGAAAGTGACACTGCAATGACCACGAACGACATTAGTCGCCTCACATTGGAGCTTCGTGAGAGGGACCGTGCCACTATTGCAGACCTCCGTAAAGAAGTCCTTCGCCTCACTGCAGAGCTGCAGGATAAACAGTCACTCGTGTCCAAACTTTTTGATGTCGCTGGCGGGCAGCACTCACGGCTTATGTCACTGAGCGCTGCATACTGTGACACTGTCGTGTGGGAGAGATCTGTCAGCTCTGGGCCCTCTTGCTCTACACCTAAGTGCCCGGTTCGGAATAAAGAGCCTGCGGACTGCGAGGAGCCATCCAGCGCCGTGGCCCATGTGCTGAGCCTTTCAAACCGCTATGCAGCCCTCTCCGCTGACATTCCAGCCCCCTCAGCAGAACCCCTGGACTCTGCAGCAAACTCTACTGCTGTCCGTGGATCCAGGTCCACTGCGAGAAAGACACTCTTAAAGGAAGCTGTCCTCAGACGAAAGAGTGATCATTCCCCTTCTCTGACCCCAGTGCATCACCACCACTTACCTTCACCGGGTCAGCAGCAGCGACCCGAGCCTGCTCCTCACGCCGCTCCAGCGTCCCCGAGCACACAGCGTGGGTTGCCCGGAGCTGAGAATCAACACCCCCACTCCTCTCCATGTGTTCAGCAGCGCCCTGGTTCGGACTCATCCCTGGATGAGCCCGCTGGTTCCGGCCATGGACACCGAGCGCTCTCTCCGCGGCTACGTCCACTCTTCGCCCCGACTACTTTGATTGTTGGAGATTCCATCGTGAGACACGTCCGCTTTTTTAACGCGGTCACTCAGTGTTTTCCCGGAGCCACTGTACCAGACCTGCTCATCCGTCTCCCTCCTCTGCTTCAGTCCCTGCCTGATACCATTTCAAAGGTAATCGTGCATGTGGGGATCAACGACATGAAGCTGCAGCAGTCCGAGGTCACAAAGAAGCATTTTATGGATCTATTCCGCCTCCTCCAGTCCTCCGGGTTGTGTGTTTTTATCTCTGGTCCAGTCCCGACTGTAAACCGGGGTGACTGCCTCTACAGTCGCGTTGTGGCGCTGAATATGTGGCTCCAGTCTGCATGCAGCACTTTTAACTTTGTTTTTGTGAACAACTTTGGCCTGTTCTGGAAGCGTCACGTGGCCTATCGTCCAGACGGTCTGCACCCGAACAGATACGGTACCAGTTTATTGATGGACTTTTTACGCCATGTTGTTCAGTGCTCCCCGAGGGGGGCGTGACTGTTTACATCCGAGGCCTCTCGGCCCCCACTACCACCTTCCTCCTCCACTCCAGCACCGGGTGAGTACTGTGGTGCAAACACTGACCCCTGTCGGTCTGGCAGTGTAACGACAGTCCTGCCACTGAACGGTGCTTACTCAGTCATGCATCTGGAACTTAACAAAGTAAAACAGAGTTCACTTTTTAAACCAATAGAGACTGTGTGTGTTCCTCGCACCGGCTCAGAAATGTGTTTTAATTTGAATAAACACAAATATAACAGAAGGACAGCAGTTAGACGGTCCAACTCAGGAAATCTAATTCCAATTCTTTGTAGTCAATCAACTAAACCCACTGACACTGATATTATTTTTAACCTTGCTCTGCTTAATGTCAGATCACTATGCAATAAATCCTTTTTAATTAATAATTTTATCTGTTCTTATGATCTTGACTTTATGTTTATGACTGAAACTTGGCTTGACCATAATACAGAAAATGCAGTTTTAATAGAAACAACACCACCAAATTTCAAATTTGAATCAGAAATTCGAGAAAATAAAAGAGGAGGAGGCACAGCAGCAGTTTTTAAAGATTGTATTGTCTCCCATAGAGTACCTCTTGGGAAATTTTCCTCATTTGAGTATGTCTCTTTTAAAATAGAACAAAAACAATCTTCTATTCTTATTATTGTTGTGTACAAGCCGCCACAGTCATGTCATAGTTTCACTGATCATTTCACCGAGTTGCTTTCAGTTGTGTGCACAGACTTTGATAGTTTAGTCGTCATAGGTGATTTTAATATACATGTAGATAACGTTAATGATAGATACGCGAAAGAGCTGAGCTCTGTGCTGGAAACCTTTGGTCTCACTCAGCATGTGAGTGGCCCCACCCATAGCAGAGGACACACTCTCGATCTGCTAATTACTAAAGGGGTTAATATCTCAAATGTAAATGTGGCCAATGTTGCTCTGTCAGATCATTTCTGTGTATTTTTTTATATGTGTCTCAATAGTAAAGCACGAGCTGAATCCTCAATTGTTAGAAGAAGAAGACACATAAACAAAAATACAGGTGAACTTTTCATGGGGATGATAAACTTTGATAACACGTTGTGTTCTACTGTGGATGAATTACTTAACTCTGTCACCTCTAGTGTTTTGGATGTTCTGGACACGATTGCTCCTGTGAAGGTCAAAATTGTTACAAATAAGCAAAAAGCGCCATGGACAAAAGCAGACTCTGTCAGGGCACAGAAGAGAGAGTGCCGGAGAGCCGAGCGGAAGTGGCGAAAGTCAAATCTCCAAGTTGACCATGAGATCTTCAAAGATGCATTGTGCAAGTTCAACAGTGTGCTACGTAGAACGAGGGAAACTTATTTTTCCGAAACAATCGAAGGTTGCAGTAACAATCTACACGTTCTGTTCTCAACAGTAAATAATTTGACAAATCCCCCTGTTAAGATGCCATCAGAGCTTACCTCCAAAACCAAATGTAATGAGTTTGCAGAGTTTTTTAATGACAAAGTCCAAGGCATCAAAAATGCCATCACCTCCACAGTAGAAATTACAATCCAACAGCCAGTGAAGCTTTTTGGGCTGACACACTTTACACCAGTACAAAATGAAACTGTCCAAATGATAATTACAAGTCTGAGTTCTTCTACATGTAGCCTGGATGTATTACCTCCTAGATTTCTTAAATCTGTTCTGAGCAGTCTTTTACCTTCACTCACGCATATAGTAAATATGTCTCTTGAATCTGGAACATTCCCAATGGCCCTGAAAACGGCAGTCATCAGACCCCTCCTAAAAAAGAGGAGTCTGGATGCCTTGGCACTTAAAAGTTATCGGCCCATTTCAAATCTGCCTTTCATGGGTAAAATTCTAGAAAAAGTTGTCTATCAACAACTTACAGAATTTTTAATAATCAATCACTCTTTTGATATGTTCCAGTCTGGTTTTAGACCCCACCACAGCACAGAGACCGCTCTAGTGAAGGTAACCAATGACATCAGACTTAACACTGACGCAGGAAAAGTCTCAGTTCTTATCCTGTTAGATTTAAGTGCTGCTTTCGACACTGTCGATCATGGTATCCTCATTCAGAGACTTGAGGACTGGGTTGGTGTTTCTGGAACAGCCCTAAGCTGGTTTATATCCTACCTACAGGACAGAAAGTATTTTGTGGAGATCGGAAACTGTATCTCAGACCATCTGGCCCTAACCTGCGGAGTGCCACAGGGCTCAATCCTGGGGCCTCTCCTGTTTAATATTTACATGCTGCCTCTGGGTAGGTTAATACACAGTAATAACGTGTCCTATCACAATTATGCTGACGATACTCAGGTCTATGTGTCCCTGACAGCAGGAGAACATGGACCAGTGGACTCGCTCCTTCACTGTATCCAACAAATCAGTGATTGGATGCAAAATAACTTTCTCCAGCTAAACACAGAAAAAACTGAAATTATTGTTTTTGGACCTCAAAAACAAAGAGAGAGCGTTATCTGCCACCTCCAGTCTCTCTCCCTAAAACCCTCAACTCAGGTCAGAAATCTAGGAGTAATAATGGACTCAGACTTAAATTTCAATAGCCACATATCATCTGTGACATCATCAGCTTACTTCCACCTAAGAAACATTGCTAAAATTAAAAACATTGTGTCTAAAGCAGACTTGGAGATTCTTATCCACGCATTTGTCTCCAGTCGATTGGACTACTGCAATGGCTTGTTCACAGGTCTCTCTAAACAAGCGGTAAAACAGCTGCAGTACATCCAAAATGCTGCAGCTCGAGTCCTGACTAGAACCAGGAAGTACGACCACATTAGTCCGGTCCTCAGGTCTCTGCACTGGCTTCCTGTGGCTCAGAAAATAGATTTTAAAGTAGCTTTACTTGTGTACAAGTCTCTCCATGGCCTCGCACCAGGGTACATCCGCGACATGTTGGTGCCATATGAACCAACTCGGGCTCTGAGGAGCACAGGGACTGGACTTCTGTTAGTGCCAAGAGTCGGAACTAGACATGGGGAGGCTGCGTTTCAGATTCATGCAGCTAGAGTCTGGAACCGTCTTTCCGAGAGTGTGAGACAGGCGTCTACTCTAGCAGTTTTTAAAACTGAACTGAAAACAGTTCTTTTTAGCTGTGCATACAAGTGAATGATTTTATATTTGTTTTTATCTTTAATCTTTTTAATGCACTATGATTATTTATGATTATTTATGATTTTAATCCCTTGTGTGATTTTAATGTTTTACGGTTTTTAACTACTTGTGTGATTTTATATATCTTGTGCTCTTAATCTGTCCTTTTATGTTTACTTAAATTCTAATGTTTGATGATTTATGCATGATGTTATATGGGTTGTGAGGCGCTTTGCGTTGCCTTGTGTAGGAAAGGCGCTCTATAAATAAACGTTGATTGATTGAATAATGTCCGAAGCCATCATGGACAGCACGATAAGGATAACAGTGACGTCGCCCAGCATGGCGCAGCCGGGGCCCCACCCTAGACCCAGGCCTGGGGTCGGGGCTCGCAAGCGAGCGCCTGGTGGCCGGGCCATAGCCCACGGGGCCTGGCCAGAAAGGTCGACGTGGGCAGTCCCTCCTGTGGGCCCACCACCTGCAGAGGGGTCCGTGATGGCGTGGTGAGAGAGGACTGGGCAGCAGTCGAAGGTGACCCAGTCCACACACGCAACATCTGGCTCTTGGGACGTGGAACGTCACCTCACTGGGGGGGAAGGAGCCCGAGCTCGTGAGGGAGGTTGAGCGATACCGACTAGAGATAGTTGGCCTCACCTCCATACACAGCTTGGGCTCTGGAACCCAACTCCTTGAGAGGGGTTGGACGCTCCACTTTTCTGGTGTTTCTCGCGGGGAGAGGCGGCGAGCTGGGGTGGCCATTCTCATTGTGCCCCATCTCAGCCGCCTCGTGTTGGAGTTCTCCGACTCCGGGTGGGGGACAAGTCTCTCACTGTTGTGACGGCCTACGGGCCTAACAACAGTGCAGAGTACCTGGCCTTCTTGGAGTTCCTGGGAGGGGTACTGGACGGTGCACCACCTGGGGACTCCGTTATTCTCCTGGGGGACTTCAACGCCCATGTGAGAAATGCCAGGGACACCTGGAGAGGGGTGATTGGGAAGAACGGCCCCCCCTGATCTGAACCCGAGCGGTGTTCAGTTGTTGGACTTCTGTGCTAGTTACGGTTTGTCCATCACAAACACCATGTTCGAGCACAAGGGTGTCCACCAGTGCACGTGGCACCAGGACACCTTAGGCCGGAGGTCGATGATCGACTTTGTTGTCGTATCATCTGACCTTCGGCCGCGTGTCTCGGACACTCGGGTGAAGAGAGGGGCGGAGCTGTCAACCGATCACCACCTGGTCGTGAGTTGGATCCGCTGGCAGGGGAAGAAGCCGGTCAGACCTGGCAGACCCAAGCGTGTAGTGAGGGTCTGCTGGGAACGTCTCGCTGAGCCCCCTGTCAGGCGGACTTCAACTCGCACCTCCGGAAGAGCTTCTCCCAGGTCCCGGCGGAGGAAGGGGACATTGAGTCAGAGTGGACCATGTTCTCTTCCTCTATTGCCGATGCGGCGGCTCAGAGCTGGTCCCGGCGGCAACCCCCGAACCCTGTGGTGGACACCGGCAGAAAGGAATGCCGTCAGGCTGAAGAAAGAGTCCTATCGAGCCATGATGGTTCGTAGGACTCCTGAGGCAGCTGTCCAGTACCGTCAGGCCAAGCGTGCCGCGGCCCGGGCTGTTGCAGAGGCAAAAATCCGAGACTGGGAGGAGTTTGGAGAGTCCATGGAGCATGACTATCGGTCGGCCTCGAAGAGATTCTGGCAAACCGTCCGGCGCCTCAGGAGGGGGAAGCAGTGCTTTGCCAACACCGTGTACGGTGCGGGTGGAGAGCTGCTGACCTCGACTGGGGATATTGTCGGGCGGTGGAAGGAATACTTCGAGGTTCTCATCAATCCCCCCGTCACGTCCTCCGTCCCGGAGGCAGAGGCTGAGGATGTTGGGGCGGATACTTCGTTCTCCCCGGCTGAAGTCACCAAGGTGGTTGGCAGCCTCCATGGTGGCAAGGCGCTGGGAGTGAATGAGATTCGTCCTGACTATCTTAAGTCAGGACTCTGTCTCTGGATGTTGTGGGACTGTCTTGGCTGACACGTCTCTGCAACATCGCGTGGCGGTCGGGGGCGGTGCCAATGGAGTGGCAGACCAGGGTGGTGGTCCCTCTCTACAAGAAGGGGGACCGGAGGGTGTGTTCCAATCATCGTGGGATCACACTCCTCAGCCTCCCCGGTAAGGTTTACTCCAAGGTACTGGAGAGGAGGCTACGGCCGATGGTCAAATCTCGGATTCAGGAGGAGCAGTGTGGTTTTCGTCCTTGTTGCGGAACACTGGATCAGCTCTATACTCACCATCGGATACTCGAGGGATCATGGGAGTTCGCCCAACCTGTCCACATGTCTTTGTGGATTTGGAGAAGGCGTTTGACCGTGTTCCCGGGGTGTCCTTTGGGGGGTTCTCCGGGAGTACGGGGTCCAGGGTCCTCTGCTGAGGGCCGTCCGATCCCTGTATGACCGGAGCCAGAGCTGTGTTCGCATTGCCGGCAGTAAGTCAGACCTGTTCCCGGTGCATGTTGGCCTCCGCCAGGGCTGACCTTTGTCACCGGTTCTGTTCACTGTGTTTATAAACAGAATTTCTAGGCGCAGCCAGGGGCTGGAGGGGGTCCGCTTTTTGCGGATGATGTCCTGTTGGCTCCAACGAACCAGGACCTGCAACATGCACTGGGACGGTGTGCAGCCGAGTGTGAAGCGGCTGGGATGAGAATCAGCACCTTCAAATCCGAGGCCATGGTGCTCGATTGGAAAAAGCTGCCTTGCCCTCTTCAGGTGGGTGGAGAGGTCCTTCCTCAAGTGGAGGAGTTCAAGTATCTTGGGGTCTTGTTCACGAGTGAGGGAAGGATGGAGCGTGAGATTGACAGGCGCATCGGTGCAGCGTTCGCAGTGATACGGTCTCTGTATCGGACCGTCATGGTAAAGAGGGAGCTGAGCCGAAAGGCAAAGCTCTCGATTTACTGGTCAATCTTCGTTCCCTCCCTCACCTATGGTCATAAGCTTTGGTTAATGACTGAAAGAACGAGATCGCGGATACAAGCGGGGCTCCGCAGAGTGGCTTCCTCCGCAGAGTGGCTGGGCACTCCCTTAGAGATAGGGTGAGGAGCTCAGTCACACGGGAGGAGCTCGGAGTAGAGCCGCTGCTTCTCCACGTCGAGAGGAATCAGTTGAGGTGGCTCGGGCATCTGTTCCGGATGCCTCCTGGACGTCTCCCTGGGGAGGTGTTCTGGGCACGTCCCACTGGGAGGAGACCCCGGGGAAGACCCAGGACACGCTGGAGGGACTATGTCGCCCAGCTGGCCTGGGAATGCCTTGGGGTCCCCCCGGACGAGCTGGAGGAAGTGTGTGAGGATAGGGAAGTCTGGGCGTCTCTGCTTAGACTGCTGCCCTCGCGACCCGGCAACGGATGAAGCGGAAGAAAATGGATGGATGGTATAAATGAAAAAGCCAATATTTTTGTATAGCTCTGTCAGTTATTTCAAGTGAAAACATTTTTCAACAGGCTCACAGACAAAAAATAAACTTACTTCAAAGAGAAAACACATGTCCTGAACATGAAATTAATCCTCCAATATTTTGCTATATCCATATTAAATATAATCCATATTTTTTTTATTTCATGTATTTATTTGTTGCACTATCATCTTAATTTGATGAGTGCAATGTCATGGGTGTTCAATGACTAGCCACTGGAATTACTGCTCAATATCTACAACAACTAAAATTGAGGAATAAACAAATTAAGGGTCTTCAGATTGATTTGTATTCAATTTTCTATATCAAAAAGAGGAGCTAGACTCGAGTCAGCTGAGAAAAAAAAAGGATATGCATGTTCACTGGATTTCATGTTGACCGATGGCCACATTTTATAAGTTAAGTTATTTGTTTTTACTGCACGTCATAATTCCATACATTCCAAAAGGGGATACTTGGTTACATATAATTATAATTATTGTGCTTTTTCCCTTAAACACAACTTTGAATTCTGAAATTTAATGTAGTGTCCAATAAATTTGTAAAATATAGAAATAAAGAAAGGATCTCAATATGTTATTTCCTAATTGAAGAATGTCATTTCACAGGAGTTGGCAGGAAAAGGCTTTGAACATGATGAGGTTTGAGATAGGAGCATTGTGCCTGGATTTCCTGATATTTGTGTGAAGGATGTAACAACTAACATTGTTCCCTTAACTAAACCAGTCTGTCTCCACAAAAAACCCCACAACTAAAGCTCCCAAGCATTTTCTGCTTTTATTACATCTGGAGATATTTCAGAAATGTCTGCTTGCTTTCGTTTTCCCATTTTAATACAAGCCTAAAACCAAAACTTCTTCTATCCCTCGTAAAAGCATTATCATAGTATTGTCATACTTGTAGGCGTCATATCCAGAGTTGAACAGTAGGCGGCGCATGAGCGGGTCCCTCAGACAGTACTGCAGGCCGGTGGGGAACACTGTGTGGCTGATGGCGTTGAAGTAGCAGTTCACATCAGCTCCATGGGACAACAGCAGACGAACAAGCTCATACCTGCCAGCATCGAAGACTAAATGTATCACATTTAAATTGTTGTATTGTGAAGCACTCTGTGACTCGCCGTATGGTTACTCACTCACAATACTAATAAAACATTGATATAGCACTTCACTAAGGAACTCAAAGACGCTTAATAATAAAATAACAAATATGGTGAAAAAAGCTATGAAGGTGTTGAGTGAGTCCGAGTTTCTGTGGGCTGGGGGTTCAGAGGGTGGAAGCAGAGATGGCCCCCCAGGGTTTGGTGCTTTGACTTTTGTTTTTTTTTGTCTGGGTTTTTTACTGGAGAAAATGGTTTTGCATCCACACACATTGGTTGGTTTTTTGCAGTGACAAAAATAATGCATTTATAATAATACATTTTATTTATCAAGATGGCGTTACAAAAGATACAATGCCAGTAGATTAGTCCAAATTCATCCTCTGCCAGGGAAACAAGACAGATTACAGAATGCCTTTCATATATGTCTTACATCCCCCAGTGTTTTTGCTCCTGAAGCCACAGATGGCCTGTATTTCACATAGATTGTATTTTTTAAATGTGTGTTTAAAAAAAAAAAGAAAAACACTCAAACATGCACATTCACAAATACTTCTAAATCATCTATCAATTTTGTCTTTTATTTGATGTTTTAATAGTTTTACCTCTCTGCACGAATGGCCACCAAAATGCATCGTAGAGGATCTAGGTCACTTCTTGCTCCTGCTTCAAGTAACATCTGTGCACACGTCACGTCTCCGTTACACACAGCAAAGTAAAGTGCACTTCTCCTGCGGTCTCCATAGTTCTCTGCAACAACAAGGCAATGCATGTCTGTTTATGTCCTTGAATGCTAAAATGTACTGTATAGTATGTACTAGGGATAATCCTCATCGTTAATCATCACAACCAGGAAGAAAACTATTTGTAAAATAATAAATAACTAATGTATATACTGTAAATACACATAAATAATGTATTCAGTGTTAAAGCCTGGGTACCTACATTTGAAAGACTTGGGAATCCTGTACCATGGCCCGCCTCCTTCTATGCCTGTCTGTCTGTCTGTCTGTCTGTGCTTACATGCAACCTCGGAAATTCTCAAATATCTACTGTATACCTCATTTTCCAAAATCAGTGCATTAATGAGGCAGTCGGTGACACTGATGACACAGAGAAATGGATTCTCCTTCCTTGTCCATGAGAAAGGCTTAGAAACCTTAACTGTTATTAAATAAATGAAATACAGGAGTAACTACTGTATGCTGTACATCCCCTCATGCCCTTGCTCTTAAATTCTATACTCACCTGTTGCTAGCCTCCAAACAAGCTGATTCAAAGACCCTCTTCATCTGTGAGGCCCAATCTGGCATACTTTATAAATAAACAGCCCCACAGTGAACACCTTGGCTGTTCAAACCTAGTTTTTATTTCACGTATTTTAATTTGCCTTGTCTATATTCCAGCTCCTACTACTCCTGCCTCTATTCACCCGATCCTTGCCTTTTGCATTTTTCCTGGTTCTGCCCTGCTCCTCTCCAGCCTTCTATCTTCCTCATCTCCATAACCCACTGCAGCACTACAACAGCACTAGCCTGGCCTTAGTCATTCGTAAACTCTGGTCAATTATTATGTCCCTACAAATTTGTACGATGGTACTGTATAATAAGACCAGGCTACTAAAGCACTACCAGTAAAATAAAAACTATTTTTTGCCTCTGACTTTGTGTGTATTGTTTTTTGTTCCAATTTCATGATCTTTATTTGTTTTGAGGGTGATTACTATGTTACTGTTTACAACAAAAAAGGGGCAAGCCAAAGTTGTATTAATGTACAAAGATGTAATCTCTGTCCTAAAAAAAAAACTTTCATGGGAAAAAAGCTGGGGTCCCTAACTTTCAAACCAATAACTAGTTCCTCGCTCTCTAAACAGTTTGGTTCTATCACTAGTTTTCACATACATTTTCCCAGCTTTCAGACAGAAAAGGAGAGGACATAGCTCATGATCTGTCCCTCAGCCCAAAGCGTCAAATAGGGACTCACACAGCTCTTTCTTGTAAGTAAAGAAATGATAACATGTTTTCTAATAAGATGGAGAGGGTTTTTACTGTTACAAGACTATTGTAACAGACTCTACAAAAGCGGTACCCCAGCTTTAAGTAATAGTTGAAATGCTACCAGACATATGTGTTTCCAGTGGGACATTGACGTCGAATCCTTGGTCTATGAGCAGCTGCAGACACTGGGACTGGCCCCCGTCTGCCGCCAAGTGCACCGGACTGTGGCCGGAGATACGAATGGCTCTCTCTGTGGTGAGGGGCAGGAGGGTCCTCAGGGCACTGCCACACACGCAACAGGAATTCAGCAATTAAGGAGAGCTTGCATTTTTCATCAAAAGTAAAAGACACTGCTGTAAAGAACCTTGGTTCAGTTTTGATGAAAATTATCAACTTGACAAAAAAATTGGCAGGTACAAAAAGTCATGTACATGGGGTATGTCTATATGTTTTTCTTCTTCCCACACAATTTTGAGCTGATAATTTGAAAAAGAAGTTGTAAATACATGCTCAAAACATGTTGACAAATAATGTTTGTTTGTGTGTGTTTATATATCTATGCATGTGTATGTCTATTTGAATTCATTAATTTGAGCAGAAATAAACTGAAATATTTGATTTATTTCATTATAATACAATAATTCCTCATTTAATCATGTTATTTTCAATATAAAAAAAAACTATTGAGTTGTTTAGAAAATACTAAGCTATTTTGATTTGTAACAGATTATTTATAGCACCACCATCCATCCTATCCACCCATTTTCTACCCCTTAATCCCTTTCTGGGTCGGGGGGTGGCCAGAGATGCCACCCAGTACACATAGCACGAGCCCCTCACTGATTGTCCTGCAGGTGGTGAGTCCACAGGAGGATGGCTGCTCCATGGCATAGCCTTGATCTTTAAGAGGGGGCTTCAGGCAAAGTGGAGTTAAGTGTCTTGCCCAAGGACAGCAGTCATCAGTGGGAGTCGGGGAAGAAGGTCTCATAGTGGGCTCGAACCCATGACCTTCAGGCTCAAAGGCCAGTGCTCCACCAACTGCGCCACTGTCGCCCCAAACAGGCGCAAAACTGGTGCAGCTTAAAGGAGCACCTTATGTAAGAATTGCTCGTCAAGTCATCATTAAATGGCCATAATATGTCAAAAGGCATTAATAAATCATGGTATTTTCGAAAACTTCCTTAACTTGTGACAGTGGTATACTAAACAGCCCAATGCTGCTAGTGTGAGAATATAGACCCAGGCTTGTTGATGACGCGCAAAGCGGCTATGCTGTACTTAGTTGCTCTGTTGTGCTCAATAAAATCCTTAGGCTTCAAAGGGTATGATGCAATAATCTTAATTTATTTTACAGTGCTATGAAAAGGATCCACAGTGGTATCACACGAGAAACAGTGAAAAGCAAACTCTGCTTGTGCGGTCAAAAAACAATTTGCCCTTCTGGGTCACACCTGCACTCAACCCTGAGCTCATTATTCATATAAAGGATGAATGCGCCCCCTCTTGGACACAAAGACCAATTACAAAAAGAAAAATACATATTTGGCTCCTATACACCGGCCCCTAATTGGCATGGTAAGCAGTCATGGCAATTAATTTTCAAAAACAGAAAGGAGACAAATAATTTTGCTCCATTTTGTGATTTCAAACACCATGTACCAGACACAGTTTGGCTATTGGCCTCTCAATTTTGTTTGATTTTGTTTTGAGTTTCACTGAGCCTGCCATCCACTTTCAACAATCCATCTTGTAGAGCAGGATCTAGAGCGTGCAGTGCCTTGCGAAAGTATTCGGCCCCCTTGAACCTTTCAACATTTTGCCACATTTCAGGCTTCAAACATAAAGATATAACAATTTTATTTTTTGTCATGAATCAACAACAAGTGGGACACAATCGTGAAGTGGAACAAAATTTATTGGATAATTTAAACTTTTTTAGCAAATAAAAAACTGAAAAGTGGGGCGTGCAATATTATTCGGCCCCTTTACTTTCAGTGCAGCAAACTCAGTCCAGAAGTTCAGTGAGGATCTTTGAATGATCCAATGTTGTCCTAAATGACTGATGATGATAAATAGAATGCACCTGTGTGTAATCAAGTCTCCGTATAAATGCACCTGCTCTTTGATAGTCTCAGGGTTCTGTTTAAAGCGCAGAGAGAACCATGAAGACAAAGGAACACACCAGGCAGGTCCGAGATACTGTTGTGGAGAAGTTTAAAGCCGGATTTGGATACAAAAAGATTTCCCAAGCTTTAAACATCTCAAGGAGCACTGTGCAAGCAATTATATTGAAATGGAAGGAGTATCAGACCACTGCAAATCTACCAAGACCCGGCCGTCCCTCCAAACTTTCATCTCAAACAAGGAGAAGACTGATCAGAGATGAAGCCAAGAGGCCCATGATCACTCTGGAGTGTCAACACTGTAGTAAGTAAGTAGTAAGTAAGTAATCTTTATTTATATACCGCCTTTTCACTGCAGATCTGAGTCTCAAAGCGGTTTACAATTGTTATTATTTTTGGGCATTTTATCTCTCACTCCACACAGAGATGGGAGCGGGGCCAGTACAGGAGGCGCATGCCAGACATGCCTATTGGACATATTTTTAGTGGTAGGGGAAACCGGAGTACCCGGAGGAAACCTACGCAGACACGGGGAGAACATGCAAACTCCACTCAGAAAGGCCCTGGACCGACCGGGATTCGAACCCAGGACCTTCTTGCTGAGAGGCGAGAGTGCTATCCACTCAGCCACCGTGCCGCTTCGTCTTCGTTGTTTGCATACTTCAACACGGACGTACTATCAGTCCAAAATACACTTTCTTGAAGGGTTACCACTCCCTGATGCATCATACAGCACTGTGTCCCCGTTAGTGGCCTGGGCATTCACGTTGCCACCTGGTGGGGGACAGTGGCAGGACATTAACAGAAAAATTGCACGTTGACTAACCATAAAAAAAGAAAAGAGGAATGCTTCCTGGACCTCAGGGCAGCACTGGAAGTCAGTAAAAGGTGAGGGGGATGTCAATATATAAAAATACAACAACAAAAAAGGGAAATAAAGCTTAAAATGTTTTTTTATTGATTATGGTAAGTCACAATAGACTGTGGATGTCAGCTTGCTTTCATTGGGGGCAATTAAACCATGTGGAGAGGTTGAGCTGACCCATAAAAAAATCTCTCACCATGTTGTATAAGAAGCTGAAGTACTTCAGTGTGGCCATGTTCAGCTGCGATGCCCAAAGGGGTCACTCCATGTGCGTCTCTTGACGACACTTTGGCCCCATGTCGAAGCAGCAGCATCAGAATGGTGGGACAACCCACCTTTTGTCAAAAACAATGAAAAGAAAGTAATGATTATAATGCATGTAACTGTCATTTGAAAAAGTAAGCTATATTTATGCTGATTATACACTGATTAATACAGTGTGTCACTTAAATATATGTCACATTTTTATGTGTCGCTTAAAAATATTAGTAATTATTGGTTCAGTTGGTACTCTCTGATGGCTGTTACTGTAGCCACAGCTGGGAAGACCAATAAAAGTGAGGATGCCAATCTGCACCAACCACTAATCATTCTTAAAAATAAAAATAGGTTTATATAGGCTACATGAGGCACTTCAGCCTTGCCTGAGGATAATAAACACCAAGCATTGTCCTGTCCACTCTGCTTCCAACTTGCTCTGTTTTTGATAAATAAGTATTTGCATTCACCTTGGCAGCTTCATGGAGGGCTGTCCTCTTCTTCTGACAGACCTGGTCCACAAAGGCTCCTCCCATCATCAGTGCAAAGGCCATCTCGTAACATTTTAATCTGACCGCTACAGAACACCAAGAACAGCGACATACTGAATATATACCCATATGCCTAACATCCTGTTGTATTATATTATGAGAGGAAGTTTAATTACTAACACAAAATATATCAAGCCAATGACCGAATAATGATATAATTAGATATTTCAGGGATCATACCTAGAAGCAAAGGCGACTCGTTCTTGTCATTTGTGTTGTGAGGAGACGCTCCATGTTTTAACAGGGCGGTGACATTTTCCACTAAACCGGCTTCAACAGCCAGGATGAGGGCCGTATCCCCATTTGCAGTCAGCTCCTCCAGCGTTAGCTCAGTAGATGCTAAATAAGCAAATAGCAGGTTATGGTTTGATATCCTGCTGCACCTTGCTATACCATGGAAACATAACAAACAGGTGCTCAAAAAGTAACCAGTCAATGACAAGATCATTATCATTTAATATAGGCCGATGTGTTTCCATAATGGCTTTTGTAGATCGTCAGGTGCAATTTTTATAGGTCATTATAATGAGCGTTAGTATGTAAAGACATATACATATAGGCCTACAATATAAATAACAGGAAGACTAAAAACACACAGATTAAAGAAACATAGATGAACCTGGGATGAAAATCAGCACCTCCAAATCCAGGGGCATGCATGGTGCTCGACCAGAAAAAGATGCCTCTCCAGGTCCCACCTAAGTGGAGGAGTTAAAGTTTCTCGAGGTCTTGTTCAAGGGTGAGGAAAGTATTGGTGCAGCGTGTGCAGTGACGCGGTCGCTGTATCAGACCGTCGAAAGGCAAAGCTCTCGATTTACCGTTCAATCCTCATTCCTCACCTATGGTCATGAGCTTTGGGTAATGACCGAAAGGACAAGATCACAGATACAAGCGCTCGAAATGAGCTTCCTCCGCAGAGTGGCCAGGTGCTCCATCAGAGATAGGTAGAGGAGCTCGGAACAGAGCCGCTGCTTCTCCACGTCGAGAGGAACCAGTTGAGGTGGCTCGGGCATCTGTTCCGGATGCCTCCTGGACGCCTCCCTGGGGAGGTGTTCCGGGCACGTCCCGGGAGGAGGCCCCGGGGAAGACCCAGAACACACTGGAGGGACTATGTCTCACAGCTGGCCTGGGAACGCCTTGGGATCCCCGCGGACGAGCTGGAGGAAGCGTGTGTGGATAGGGAAGTCTGGGCGTCTCTGTCTGAGCTACTGCCCCCGCGACCCGGCAACGGATCCATGATGTCACTTTGGCTCATGTGGGTTAATGTATTCACATATTATTTCTCTCATATATAATTTATCTCTGCAGTACATACAGTACAGACTCAATTTGATACTTTTCTATGAATAAAATGAACAAATGTCAAATGACATGGTGCCCATTTTTAGTGGGCATGGGCCAATTCCTCTGTTTTTTGTGGCTAATTAGTCAACTTTGAGGATATACTTGCTCTAACTCCATTGGCTAACATATGACCTTGCAGCACAGCCTCCAGGACCTGTGTGTGTGGCTGCACAGCGGCCCGGTGCAGAGGGAGCCAGCCGCGACTGTCCTGCTCTCTGAAGGAGGACTGGTGCTCAGACAGCTGCTGCAAAGCCGCCACATCACCTGCAACACACACCTATAACAGATCAAGGCAAACACGCCCAACGGCTTATGTCAATAAAATATACCTTTCTGGATGGCGGACATAATCCATGTAAAATGTCCACTGTTGGCTTCCTTTCTGACCAAACCACAAACAATATTTAGAACACATACATATTCAGCCTACATAAAATAAATCATTCTAAAAGTAGTGTCATCTAATCTCCACGGCAATTGATATGTTCAATCCCAAACAATGGAATATTGCAGACTATTGTATGAAGTTATTCAAAACGTTATCATAGGACAGAACACACCACTAAATTAGAGGTTCTTTTTGCTCTGTTTATTGGCAATTTATTAGCAGATAAATAGATTGACATATTTGGGTAATCATTATGTGTAGATAAGGAAAATTCTTAATCACCTATGATGTTTTATTTAAACATGAGTCAAGTTTACTAACTTGACTCATGGCTTGAAGGAGGGCCTACACATGGCTTTCTGACTTTTTCCTTATAGATTCACTGCAAGTGACTTGCACCACAAGAGTTACTGTCGTTTAAACTCACAAAAAGACAACAAATATGGGCATACATCTACCTGTGCTGCCTGGTTGAATCCTGGATACTCTCTCGTAATGCAAAGTTTTTAAGTTCCCCCTTTATATCTTCTTGTTCAAAGTTTTTCATTCTAAAGGGGAAATGAACAAGCTGTTTTTACAGAGGCTTCTGAAATCCACTGACTCTTTTCTAACACAGCCACAAACTTCAGATTGGTAATATCGGTGAATGTGTCGCCTCACCTGTTGACACGAGCTGGTAGCTTGTCTCTAGCTAACCGCACAGAGCTTGTGTTTTGTTTTGCAGGATCGTACCAAGTGTAGTATTTTTAGACATGGCCAGCCTGCTTTAACTTGCCAAGTCAGCTGTGTGATTGCTTGTAACAATTTTACTCCAGGTTTGAAAGTAGCTGTACCACTTTTCTAATTGGGTGAATATAGATAAAAGAGTGGGTTCTTACACTCCAGTCAGTGTTATTGATCAACTTAAGGCAATCAATGGGAAAAGGTTTTACTTCATCAATCATGCGGTCATTACACAGGGCAAAGTCACCGCCTCTGCGGTTGCTGAAGGACACAAAGAGCATTTTTAGAGCTTTGGGACAAGTAAATCTATGAAAATTGTGTATGTTCTATAGAGATTCATATTGCATGGAGAAATGACATAAATGTAAATGATGTAATACAACTTTGGACTGATGTGTCACATTCATATTTGGAGTCGTGATTTGTGATTGCTTTATTCACACTATAGTTTTAGTTTTAAGGTAGACAATTAGCTCTTAGAAAAAAAGTTTTCTCTTATGAATCAACACACCAGACAAACCTGTCTTGCTTTTTTATCTTGAAAAAAATTAAAATAAATAATTATTATTATTATTATTATTATTAAAAACACAGAATATAACTTTTATTCACTATCATTATTAAAAACAGGGCATAATTTGTTTTTGCACTCAACACTGTTTCACTAATAGGAGAGAGAGTTACTGTAACATCCCTAGTGCTCTTCGCTGCACAGCCCCATAGGTCTACTTGGCTGTTTTGTAAATATTATTGTGCAATATGCATTTATTGATTCAAAATTAGAGGCTACATCCTGATCCCAGTAGGTGCCCTGAAAGTCATCCTGACAACTTCATAATGCGACTGTGAGGTCCCTTTACACTCCTGAGCACACTTGTAAAGCTTGGAAGATAACCTTGTCACTTCTAAAACGCCAAATAGTCGTCTTTGTGCGAACAAGCGCCCACTTTGCTATGACGTACGTTCAAAATTGATACGTGGGAGATGGAAAAGTCTCAGACAGTGTCAGCTGCAGCGTGTGTGTCTGCGTGCGTTTGTATGTGTGCATTAATGTGTGTGTCTATGTGTGCGTGTGTGTATTTGCGTGTGTGTGTGTGTGTGTACTGTATGTGCAGTGTGTGCCACGGTGATTCAGCTCGTAGGCGGACACTCCAGCCTCAAAAAGCCGCTCCAGTCTGTGCTGCGGGAGTGCAGGCAGCAGAATGCAGCAGAGCGCACACACGCACGGACTTTAACCACGGCGCCACGCTCTGACCGCGGGAGAAAGTGCACTGTTACCAACTCCGCGGGAGTTTGATGCAGTGGATACGGGAAACCACGGCTTTCTGCTCCATATGAGGAAGAAAGTAAGTTAGCTTATCTTTTGTTGTTTGATTAAAATATGTGCGTAAAGTTCTAGTTACCTCCACGATCACGTTATTTTATGAAGAGATCGCTCTGTAAATCCATTATACTTTTTTCCCCCTTTTTGTTATTTCATTATTTATTTACATGCATGTTGTTTTGTTTTAACATAAAGTTACAACAACAAAATTCGAAATTGCAATGGCGCAATATGCTTGCAAAAAAGTAATGGTAAGTTGTAGTCCACCATTTAAATGGTGTAATGTAAAACTATCAGGGTCTTAATGTAAACACTGAGTGCACGTGGACGGTTTATCCAAAAATGGAGAAGCCATAGAATGTCCACTGACTTGCATTAGGAGTTATTTCATAACTCAATAATTAATTCGGGCTATCAGTCATTGTAAAATGTCTAATGCAACTTCATTGATTAAGGATTCATTAAGTGGCTTTATACTAATGAAGAATCAAAACCATCAAAATCATTTACATTTTCCTTTTAGATCCATAACGTTTTCTAATCAATACTATGTTAAACAAATACTATTGTTTAACATAGAGCTAATGCAATCTGTAAACACTGTACTTTAGTGAGTATTCTGAAATTCTGATTCTAAATCGTATCAAGCCCCTTTCATTTGTAACACTATCCATATTCAATAATAAGATAATACCAGGTTTCAATTAACCTCCAATTAGCCATGGGGCTTTAATGGACGCACTGAAAGCTTTTGCATGTGCTGTGTTTTGGTCAGTTCCTGTACGCGGTCTCAGATGGATCACAAAATAGGGGTGGGGACTTTGAATGCAAAAGCGCTCTTCGGAGGAGAGGACGGCTGTCAAAGCTTGTGGGGGTTTATGGTCTGCGTCCAGCATAAATGTCAATAACGTTGCATTAAATATTAACCATTAGAGCTTTTAACACCAATAAATGCATCATCTTTATTGTATAATGTGTTAAGTAAATAATATAAGTGAGAAATTAAGTTGTTAAGTCCTTCTCTGAACAGTTGTGAGTTAGATAAGACTGGAATGTTTCTCTCTTAATCTTTGTTGTATGAACAGGTAAAACTTGGAAATGTATAATATAGTTCAGAAAAGTCCATTTACTTCTTCAATTGATTGTGATATGACGGAAAAAGTGAGATATGTCAAGTCAAACCCTAACAATAAAACCCAATAAATAACAAACATGTTAAATGAGATCACTTTAAAAACGCTATATTCTAATTTTCCAAGCTTCACCTGTGTGTGCTACAAAACAAATTATAATTACCAGTATATTAAATTACTGGCTTAAATTAGTTATCTCTGTTCAAATTTGTGACAGTTGTAATTAAAGAAAACAAATTTGCACAAATGACTAACGCTTATGTTTTTTACATGTACTAGAAGGGCTGTCATTTCTTGCAAATATTGTTTTTATTATCTTAGTATTTCAAAAATGTAGGTTATAGAGGATTAGGTAGAGGATTTATTTATGTTATTCTTGAGTTTTGAGGTCGTGTCATCATCATGTATCACCATTAAGAGGTCCTCCATGAATCTGGCTCATATCGTTTGTCCATATCCTTCCATAAATCTACAGGGACACAAAATAATACATCATTCTGAAGGCTCATGCATTTATTATGGGCTGGTCTCATTTTCAGATTGTGAAGGCTCCTTATCTCCTCCTGAGTTTGTTCACAAGTTTGAATTTGTGCTCCGGTAAATTTGGGCAGCCCATCACGGACGATGTGAGGACGCTGGCTTTACTGGTAAGGCTCACGATAAAAACATCATTGTACATCGACACAGCCGTAAATCATGAGCGCAAAACATGCTGCGAGACGATTTGCAGAGTGAATTTATGACAACAGGGCTGGGAAACAGGAAGCGCGGTGGACAACAAGCAGATTTGTGGATAGAGAAAGAGATTGTGAAAAAAAAGGGTTTCAGTCAAGGGAGGAGGGAATTATCTCTGGATGATTAATTGCAACTAATCAATTATTATGATAGCTGTCAACAATTATACAATAATAATACACTAGTTTTATAGTGTAATTCTTATGTTTCCACCCTCACCTATGGCATGAACTTTGGGTAATGACCATAACAACAAAAAACGCTCATACAAGCGGTCCAAATGACAGATAGAGTAAGGAGACTACTGCCCCCCGTGACCCAGCAACGGATAAAGCGGAAGAAAAGGGATGGATGAACAACACTGAGATTTTAGCATGGTGTAGCAGCGCTTAATGGTTCCCAATTTTAGCAGTAAGGGCAGGCTCCTTTTGTGGCACCGGCACCTGCCACAGCTGATCAGTGGCATGTACACAACAAATGTAAAAATGGATAATCAGTCATCTAATTCTTCGTCCATGAGGGAAGTGCTCATGGACGAAGTTTTGCTCCAGCTTGCTCTGGCTCCCATTCATTGACAGCTAAGCAACCGCTTATGTCATACTCACTATTTTATTATGAGATAGAAGCCAAACAGATGCTTGAGGGGAATAATGAAATATAAAATGGGGAATAAAATAATAATATGAAACCAGTGAAAACAAAAAACCCTCTTCAATATTTCTCATTGGCTCAGGCTGATCAAAGCTCTAGATTTGTGCTTTATTATGTGTATTTGAATAGTTCTATGGATCACACTCTACAGTTTATTCTAAAGTTTGTTATTTTCTGACGCAGGAGCAGAATATCCCCTGTGATTATGAGATTCCTGTTCAATACATTCCCAGAGAAGTGGTATGTATTCCAAAGTCAATACAATCCTTTGTCTGCGCATAAAGAAAAGCCCTGAAGCTGTGTTTGGTCTGTGTGCAGGCTGGAAGGTGCTGGGTGGTGCTAAACATCTATCCTCTGGAGCAGAGTCTTCGAAAGCTGTCCGACACGTTTGGAGCCATTTCCTCCAACAAAGACAACATTGTGGTTTTCATTGCCATGCTTAAAAGTCTGCGCTTCAACTTTGACCACGAGGAGCTGGTGAGTAAGAATACAAAGACCAGTGGGGGCAGGTCCCTGCTCAAAAGTGGCCAAAATGACGTGCGCTGACATGCTTGCAATACCACCCCGGGTCGATGGACCCGGAATAATAATTAGCCAATGCTAACATATAGCATCTTCTCTCGAAAACGTCTTTACAGGATGGTCCAGAGCTGGCTCTTGGCCCAAAGCTCCGTTCCACATGTGTGTCAATGATGAGGGGAGTGAATTTTTTTGGACCACTCTAGTTTACTTGCTGTGAATTTTTGAACGCACTCGTTTAAACCAGGAAGTACGACCACATTAGTCCAGTTCTCAGGTCTCTGCACTGGCTTCCTGTGGCTCAGAGAATAGACTTTAAAACAGCTCTGCTTGTGTACAAATCTCTCCATGGCCTTGCACCAAAATATATTAGTGACATGTTAGTCCCATATGAACCAGCCCGGACTCTGAGGAGCACAGGGACTGGACTCCTGTTAGTGCCCAGAGTCAGAACTAAACATGGGGAGGCTGCTTTTCAGATTCATGCTGTTAAAATCTGGAACAATCTTCCTGAAGATGTGAGACAGGCCTCCTCTCTGACAATGTTTAAAACCAGGTTAAAGATAGTTCTGTTTAGCTGTGCATACAACTGAGGGATTTTATATTTGTATCTTTCTTTTTAATGTTCTGTGATTATTTATGATTTAAATGCTTTCTTATTTTGTTCAGCACTTTGAATTGCCTTGTGTATGAATTGTGCTGTACAAATAAACTTGCCTTGCCTTGCCTTGCATACTATTCCGCTACTTATGTATATTGTGTGTGTTCTTATACTGTTCTGTAGACAGATAGATACACACGATAGTAATTTCACATGTATCTCTATCTGTTTTGTCCTATAACACTGACATTTCCACAATCCTTAATCCAGACAAATTTTTCATATTTATTTCATAAAGTCTCAAGGCTTAACCTTTACCTCTTTCACATGAAAAATAAAAAACGGTCAAAAACAATGTTAAAAGAAGAATTTGACATGATGCATTTGAACAATACAACAAGTGAAATTGCAGAATTAGAATTTAAAATCAGCATTTCGTTTTGATCAAGTCCAGTCACAGGAGCCACATAATACCTTTTGAGTCACATTGAAGAAACAACTTTTTGTTTATGGTCGACAGGAAACAGCGATGCAGCTCTTCCACTGTCACTATCGGGAGGGCTCCTTCTTGACCGGTCATTATTTTGACTACATTAATGACATTTTGAACACGGCATCAGAGGAGACGTCCAGCTTCTCCTGCAAACCTCCTCCCTGCCTCACGTCGCACACATCCCCAGGTACTCTAGGTCTGGACACAAAACAAGCGGATACAGTGAATATGCGTTAAGTGAGCCCTATTGATTTGGGGTTCACAGGACACAGCTGTTCTTCGCGCTGAGTCACATTAGAAGGGCGACAGAGTGACCTTAGTGTTGATTTTCTCTTTTCTCAGCTTTTCAGGACGTTTTTTTTTACACATTTGAAACAGTAGACTGAATATCATCAATCAATCATTCAAATGTATAAACACAATTCATACTGTGCAGCCCAAATTGCTTCACAAGCAATTAAAAGGAAGACAATAAAACATTAAAAATAATAAATATAAAACAAATTGTGTTAAAAATCTGTAAAAATGACAAAGATTAAAATTTAAAAAAAATATATATATATATAAATGCTTCAAATGAGTCATATGCTTTGCTACATTGAGAAAGTTTTCAGCCTGGACTGCCTCCCAATGTTTAGTTCTGACTCTGGGCAGCTGCAGGAGGCCAGTCACAGCGCTCCTCAGAGTTTGGTTCATATGGCACTATTAGGAGTGGACTGACCGAGTGCCATTTACCAGATCCACGCATAACGCCAATTTGAACAACTAGCTGGAGCCAATTTCCTTATATGGGCGTTTGTGACAATGGGGTGACCTACGCGTCGTAGCTGGGACAGATGTAAACGTATGTGTTGCTAATGGGGTTGCTAAGACAAGCTGGAGTTTCCCCTGCAAATGAAGGCATTTGATTGGTCCGTCCTTTCCCATGAAACATAATAAAAGATAGAGGACTCCTAAAACATGTTAAAATGTATCTTGATTTGTTTGTCCTCATGTTGACCACTTTTTGTAATAAACAAAACAATATTGTTGTCAGATCTGAGACTAAGCAAGGCAGGGCCTGGTTAGTACTGTGATGGGAGACCTCTTGGACATCAGGTGCCACAGGGGGTAGCTAAAGTGTCAAACCGTTGTTGTGTCCTTAAGCAAGACACATGACCCACATTTTCTAGAATGAGTCTGGTGAATGGTTGGTGGTAGTTGGAGAAGTCGATGCGTAGCTTTGCATCTAAATAACCTCAATATAAAACTGATGCATTTTTATTATGGTCACCATCAGCATTTAACTTGAATCCATTGCCACAGTATATTTTATCACTTCAGTTGTTTATGTATCATGCAAGGTATAGCAACTTTCAATTATACATCAAAAAGTCCAATATTCTATTCAATTAGCAAAAATGATCACTTTTCAATTTGTGTTTAAACAGTGGAATCAGAAGTAATATAGAATTTGTTTTGGTTTGTTCCAGGGAGCCATGAAGCAGGACATCCGAAAAACAGGACAGTTCTACTTCTGCTGCTCATCCCTATATCAGCATGTGCTGTACTCCTAGTGTGGTTGGTAAGCTTAACAAAACCAGACAATTTTCAAATACAGTTATAATGTAAGACAGCTTGCATGCACTTACATTTCAAGTTCTCTTCATAACAGTGGATGATCATGCCATTTATGTTAATCATATAGGTCTCTGTTCGAGAATTAGAAAAATAATATAATATAAATCTGACTTCATTAGTGGTCAGTGGTGCCTCTCCTTGTGCCCTCTGGTCTCTGTGGACAGGCCCTTCAAACCCTGCAGGATGTGCCCAGATTATTATGGAGCACTTTCCCGGAAACCCATTCTTGTAAAATTACCAAAGAAGCATCAAATATTCAGCACCAGCACTCCACCACTTCCTCATTGCATTACGTAATCATGTTTATGTGATGCCATTAATCCATCATGACAAACAACATGCTAAAACACATTTGGGGTCGCAGCAGAGATGAGGACATTTGAACTTGGTTTACAACCTGGTGCTTGATTTTGAATAGTTGTACCATATACAGTATGTTTGAGGCTTGACTGGGGATTCGCTCCAGACTCTAACTGTGAAAAAGTCACATCTGCCCTGAGGCAAAGTGGCTGCTGATATGTACCACAACCACTACCAGTCACTAACAGTATAGGTTGACGACTATCTGCACTGACATATCAACCAACATCAATAAGTCAGTGGTTTTCTATTTTTTAAAAGAAGGACTGCTAATTTTCTAAATATTTATTTCATTGCTCAAATTAATAGTTCTAATGCAGCCTACAGACAACACTGACACAAACATGTATTAGTCCACTGTACAACACAACAGCTGTGCCAGCACATGTTCAAAAGTGTCTTTAAATAATAAACTAATAAATGGCATATGCCAAGCCTTTGTTTGTTATATACAGTCCATTATCAACATGATAACATGTAAAGGCTTAATATATCTCACTTTGCCAGAATGTTGTTAAGACTACATTGTGCAATTACAGACAATGGACTGTTGAAAAATATTCTAATTTATTTTTAGAGTTTCGCCTGTATGTCTCTAAACAACCACTGTCTGATTAGTTTTGTTTAGTTTGATTTATTTCAGTCATACTTACCTAATTTACACGACACCTAGTTTGGATAGAATCACATCAAATCAAATACAAGTCAGCATCTGATACCTTGGAGATCTATCCAATTCTGCTGTTATATCACGTAGTCTAAAAGGGGGAACAGTGTTATGTTAGATAAAGGTATTCTTTATGAAGTTTGTATTAATCAAAAACGTTGCACCCATATTTATAATTTTACTCCAATAAAATATCGGCTATATATAATGTGAAAAGCATAATTATGCACTGACCCTGAAAAAATAATTTCAGCTGACCTCTAACTAACATCATATATAGTGCTGGGTAATCATGCCCATCTTACAAACTTTCTGAAATGTGCGTAATAAGTAAATCAAATGACTTTCTCTCTCAAAGTCAAGCATCACTCTTCATTATCCTCTTCCCTTCCAGGTCAAGTCCAAAAAGCCATCTGCAGCCTGCAACTCCGAAAATAACCCAGCGCCACCTTCTGACACCATCTCAAGTGTGTCTATCTCCATCCCACTCCAAACCATCGCCCACCACAGAGCAGAGGAGGCCGCTCCTGGACATCAAAGTGGGTGAAATGCAATTAATGCGCAGAGAGAGACGAAAACAGCAGCCTGAGGACTGTATAAATGTATGCAGGCGTATCCACAGAGGCTTCACCACAAAAGTCTCAACACTTTCTCCACTTCCACACACTCAAGTGCATGGGCCGGTTAGAGCACTCACAAGACCAAGCGGACATGCAAGAGTGCCCTGTATGGCGGCTGAGTGTCTGCTGAAGTGTGTGTTTTGTGTTGTGGGTATCTCTTTTAACATTGCATTTTTTGTTAAACTTCACACACCATAGTGGAGAGAGTAATACGCAGATGGGACAAGTCTGTAAGTATTCATCTTTGAACTAATCCATTTATGAACTGGTTACACAGACTACTGTATTGTGAAGAGTAACTAGAGTTTGCGGTCAGCTCAAAGAACTCATATAGAAAGGCATTCCTAACAATGGTGTCTTTATGAATATGTGCAGCTCTCTAAAGCTGATAAAACTCGTTGAGAAAAACAAGCCTGAATCTGGCCTACTGTTGTCAGCTGCCTGTTGACGCTGCTACAATCTGTCACAAATTTCAAACCTGTTCCTGGTCACAAACAAGTGGCTGAGCGCTTCAACAAATGTCTGTCTCTGTGTATCAAAGATGTGACCAGATGGCAGATCGCCATGGCCACAGGCTCCTTGAATTCTGTTATTGTGTTGGAAAGCATCAACAGTGATCTATGGCTGCTGAGCGAGTGAGTTTGAGTGATGTTTTACTGAGTCACAGCCAGTCACAAGAGCATGACTCCTCCAGTGAGCGCCTGCACTGTATGTGTCAGAAAAGAAGGAGCACAGGAAAGAGGACGGTCCAGATAGTGAGATGGATGGACAGATGAGCTCAGACACAGGCATAAGGGAGACTTGTTCCTCTGACAAAAGGCTGGCCGTAGGCTGGAGGAAATGCAGCTTACAAACAGCACTGAAGCCGGCAGATCATGGGATAAGAATCTCCCCAGACCGCAGACGCAGGGGCCCCCCGTTTCCAGCGGTGGTTAGGTTTTTCACAACAATTATCTGCACTCAGATCGTGTACATTCAAAACAATCTGGGCTCATATCTGTGTATTAAGTATGTTTACAATGTAGTGGACACAGTCTACAATATCAATGTGTATGTAAGAATGTGAACACTTATTATGGTCAGGCTTTTATTTAAGAATTAACTTTTCTATTGATAATTGAGTAATGAAATATTTGCGTTGATAACTGGCTGTTGTTATGTCCTTGTTTTTTTTTTACTTACAGATTTGAAATAAAATCAGATACGAAAGGGAAGCGGTTATATTCTGGCAAATATTCCTGTGTTTGGTGTATTACTGTGTTCATAACTGAAACAATACTTATCAAATGAAACATTAAATTAGTATACAATTCTGAATTTTGAGCCAAATAAATCTTCAACCCACAACAAGTTTGAAATGTTATAACATCCTAGCAGATTACGTGGCCTTAGCTGGCCCTCAGGCTTAAGGTGGTGTAGGGTTCACAGTATTTCACACCTGTGTATATCTGCCTGTGAAGATAGGCCACCCTCCTTTCATTGTTAAGGGGGGTCGCCTATGGTAAGTAAACATAGAACTTTTAATATTCTATGTTTAACTATTATAATATTATATAATATTTAGAGAATCAGCACCTCCAAATCTGAGTCCATGGTGCTGGACCAGAAAAAGGTGCCTTGCCCTCTGCAGGTGGGTGGAGAGGTTCTTCCTCAAGTGGAGGAGTTCAAGTATCTCGGGGTCTTGTTCACGAGTGAGGGAAGGATGGAAACATGAGATTGACAGGCGGATCGGTGCAGCGTGCGCAGTGATGCGGTCTCTGTATCGGACCGTTGTGGTAAAGAGGGAGCTGAGCCGAAAGGCAAAGCTCTCAATTTACCTGTCAATCTTCGTTCCCTCCCTCACCTATGGTCATGAGCTTTGGGTAATGACCGAAAGAACGAGATCGCGGATACAAGCGGTCGAAATGAGCTTCCTCCGCAGAGTGGCTGGGCGCTCCCTTGGGTGAGGAGCTCAGTCACACGGGAGGAGCTCAGAGTAGAGCCGCTGCTTCTCCACGTCGAGAGGAACCAGTTGAGGTGGCTCGGGCATCTGTTCTGGATGCCTCCTGGACGCCTTCCTGGGGAGGTGTTCCGGGCACGTCCCACCGGGAGGAGGCCCCGGGGAAGACCCAGGACACGCTGGAGAGACTATGTCTCTCAGCTGGCCTGGGAACACCTTGGGGTCCCCCCGGACGAGCTGGAGGAGGTGTGTGTGGATAGGGAAGTCTGGGCGTCTCTGCTTAGACTGCTGCCCCCGCGACCCGGCAACGGATGAAGCGGAAGAAGATGGAATGGAATGTTTAATATTTTTTGACAGAGCTTAACATTCCTGGTCATTTGCAATATGTTATAATATAATGCAAAAGTGCTAAATTGAATTAACATTTATAAGACATTAGTACCACCATCATTAGTAATTAATTTCAAACATTTTTACAAAAAACAAGATACAAAAAATATGAATCAACAAAGCATGCGACACTCAAGCACAACACAAAACAAAGCACACTCATTCAGACAAGACAAAAGTCCAAACACTCTCTGACCCCACACCTCTCACCCATCACTTGCTCTGAGTTCAGCGCATCAGTGGACACTACAACAACTACCACCACTAAGTGGCCACAGGGCAGCTGTGGCTACTGTTGTAGTTTACCACCACCGTGTATGAAGTGAAAGAATAAAGAAATGTGAAGCTTCTTGGAAAGTCCTGAAAAGAGTTATATAAAACCAATGCATCATTTATTATCATTGTAAAAAAAAAAGGTACCAAAAGTACGAGGTATAAACCTGTATATACTTTAAAAGTGCAAAGGAGTATGTACTTGTATACATCTGTCGATATACAGTATTTGAACAGACCTTGTTATTCTGGAGGCCTGTGGTGGCTTCATCCCTGATCCTGGGGACCTCCAGACACTCCTCCTGCACCAGCAAGCAAAGGGAATGCTGGGGGTAAAAACTACTTGCTTACTTTACATTTTATAATCAGATCAAAGCACAAGCTTTGATCTGTTACATGCTCATCACAGATGTGGTATATGCACATCAAAAGTCCCATTTCTGATATAAATTTTATAAATACTCATTACCTGCAAACCATTTGGAGTTATGTGTTATTTATGTTTTTATGTATTAAAAACCCATGCATTAATATTATTATTATTATTATCAGGAATAAAAAGTACACATTATAAACCTGTAGTTCTAGTGTAAAGGAGTATGTAGTTGTATGTATACCTCTGTAGACCCATCTGTAAAACACTTGTGCAAGAATATTTAAAAGCATATAGGAGGAATTCCCCAAATTTTAGGAAAGAACCTGCCTCTACACTTTTTGAAAAAAAACAACAACTCTGGCCTTATTTGACAAGCAAGTAACCCCAGAATGATTTTCAATTCGGACCAATAGTCTTGATGATCCACCCGGAAGTAGAAAATCCGTCTTTAAACCTTTAAGTAATGAGTCATTAGCCCTGTGGATTCAAACATTCGCAAAGATTAAACTAGTACATGTTATACATGAGGTTTTGGGCCAAACCTGACACGTGTTTCCTACCTGAAAGTATTTTTAAGTTTGAATACATTGATTTTTTTTAAAGCGTAAAAAGCAGCTTTGTCGAGTATTATTATTGAATGTCACGATATAAGTATCTAGTTAAAGTATCTCGTCGCGTCTCACGCTGAAGCGCTTTCATTCAAACACCACTTCCGCCGGATGTGCTCAGACTTTTGTTGTGGAAAGCCCAGAGCCAGCGGTCGCCATTATTCTTCCTGGCTTGACTGACGACGCTAAGGCCCACAAGTATATTTCTATCTACAAATCAAATAACACTGCAGTATCCAGCCATCATTTGTGTATTCTGTCCCATTTGTGCGCACTGAGCCGAGAATGCACCGGCGCCCGGAGCCCGTGGGTGAGTCCAGCTAACGATGGAGCGGCTAACACAGAGCTGCTGGAGGACGAGGCTTCAAGAATAAGCACGTCCGCGCTGCATTTCACATCTGTTGCAGTTATACCGGGGCAATCTGCTTAAACGTGCATACTAGTTTCATCTGCACGTCACAATCCACCCCAGCCATTCTACCCCTTTCTGCGCAGGGGTCTTTCTTGTTCAGATTTTAGACGCGTTCCTTCCGGCGGTGCTCTCTTTATGTAGTGTAGATTCATGCAGCTAGACTCCAACAGAGTTAATAATATGTTTTAAAGTGAGCTCTTTGTAAAGGTTGCGTGGCGAAATTTCCCAGTTTGGCGCTCGTTTCCCCTGTAACGTCACAAGCCTCTTGGCAGCTACTATCTCTGTGCAAGAAAGTCACATTGGCAGCAGCGCCCCCTTTACAGAGGGGGGGGGGGGTTAATGTAGCGATACTCGTATAGTAGTGTAACAAAGTAGCAAATACTTTTTTTCAAGTATTAACCATCAAGATCTTAAACAATTTAAAACAATGTAATAAGATAGTCACTCCTCTTATCTGTTAGGATAATTAATAAATTAGGAGAAAGAAATGGCTTCTTTAAAATACCTTTGTAGTAAATGTAGAATGACCGAGGCTACAAGTATCATGCTTTAACATAGTTTAAATCATCTTGTATGTTAGTTTTTCAATAATTTAACAAACGTCTCTATGTTTTGAATAATTTTATAGATATTAGTTATACTAATATGTATATATAAGTTATACTTATATTTTTAGTTATACTACAAATTATCTATTTTGCAGGCAAGCTGCCGATTGGTCTATCCTTATGGTTCATATCCGGATTTACAAAGACAACATCAACATATGAACAGCGCCACACCACAGATTCTTAAGCCCAAAATGCAAAAGGTTACTGAGCTCAAAGAGTTTACAAGAGCCAGAGCAAGAGTAAAACTTCATATATGAGAACTTCCCTATTGGCCGTCTTTGAGCTAATGGGTTAGCATTGTCCACCTATATACAGTCATAGACAGTATGTACATAGAGTCCCTGATGTGTAGCATTTTGTTTGAACCAATTTAGGAGTTGTAACTTTTCATAATGTTTGTTTGCTATTGTCCAGGTATCGGGCTGCCACTGGCCTCCCTTCGTCTCATGGCCTCCCCTCTGCAGCTGACCTACTCGTTCATTTGGCAGGTGCTAAAGCAGAAGAACGTGAACCAATATGAAAAGGTGGAGGACTTTGTGAATATGGTCACTCAGACTGTCCCCGACATCATCAGCTATAAACAAAAGGCTCAGCTCCTGTTGGGCCTCAGGGCAAAGGTACTGTAGAAGTCACAATATTAGATCGTTTCAAATGAATGAACTGTTGAAGCTGTTTGTATAAGATTAGTAATATGTTTCTTTTTTCTTCAGATCATTTTGGATCTGCTGAACACAGATGATCAACCAGACACTCGAGCCATTCAAACTCTAATAAACAAGTTAAAAGTGCCCACAACGACAGGGGTAAGATCAAGTTTTACATTGTAACGCATAACTGAAAGAATAATAAGATGCATTATAATTGTGTTTAATTAAATCGTTGCAGAAAGATACAGAGGTGGAAAAGTCACAAACTAACTTCATGGTGCTTGTTCAAAATCTACTTAAAAGTCAAAATGAACGCAAGCAATTCTTTAAGGTATTTACTGTTGAATATTTTCAATTGGATTTATTTCATCAGTATTTTATTTGTAATTAATTTGTTATAATAAGCCAAAAAAAGATGATTATATTACTCTTTTTTATTTTTTATAGGAAGTGTTCCCAGTCCAATACGGTACAAAGTTTGACACTGCTCTACAGGCTTTGATAGCCGGCCTCGTTTGCAAACTGGAGCAATTTATTCCTGTTCCTAATCTGACACAGGTATGAAGTTATTCATACACACACACATTTCTATCAAATATTTTAAATTGTGGCCTAACACTAGGAGCCAAAAGCAAAAGTTTTCGGTTTTTACTGCTATTACTTTTGAAATTCAATGTGTTTTCTTTAATACATCTTTGATGCATGCTAAATCTGGTTCAAATAAATGAAATACAGCAAAACTAAATCCAAATGCAAAAGTAAACTGTGTTGCCATGGTAACTAGCACTTTCTCCGAATCAGTCTAGGATCAAGATAATTTCATAAACATAATAACATAGAAACAAACTACATATAGGTACAGATCAAGTCACAAAGATATGAAGACCAATTGCTGTCAAGTTGACTACTCTGGGAGTTCTAGGTGAAGCGTGAGCAACAGGCTTACTTTTGTCAATGTCTCTAATGTTGCCTTGTTTTAGCTGGGGACCATGATTTCGACTGACCCTGCAATTCTGGAGGCCTGTGGAGGCTTCATCCCTGACCCTGGGGACCTCCGGACTCTCCTCCTGCACCAGCAAGCAAAGGGAATGCTGGGGGTAAAAGGTATAACTACTTACTTACTTTTACTTAACATTTTAGAATTGTGCTTTGGTCCGTTTCATGCTTATCACAAATATGGAATATGCACATCAAAAGTCCTATTTCTGATCTAAACTGTATAAATACTCATTACCTGCAAACCATAAAGTCTTAAAATGGGTTATTTATGTGAATCATGCAAACCTGCAATTCAAAACAAATGTGGGTATACACAATTGACTAAGTACAGAAAAGGTAATATTATTAGAACAACTTTTCCCATAGTTGAAGCAAATGATTGTATTGTAGACTTAAAACAGAAAATAGTGCATTTCAATTTTTTTTTAACCTTTTTCATAATGATATAACATCTGTTCCTTTTTTTTGCAGCAACTGTCTCCTCTTCTGTGGGCGACTCTGTACTGTCTTCTCTTGCCTTCAGACTGAAGTCCTCAGATCTCTCTCCTGAACCTCCCAAACCAATTGAAGACACGCAAACCGATAACTGCCCCGACTCGCCCAGTGAAACAGGAGACTTGGGTGTCATATCAGATGAAGAAGATGCACCTTTCTCTAACCCCACTTCTGCGCAGAGCAGCAAACCGCCAGGAGAGGGCAGTGTTGCAAAGGAAAACACTGTCCCAAGCACAACACATCTGGAGAAAGAGAACCAAACATCTCAAGTGCAGTCGCAGGTAGAAAAGGCAAGTTTACTAAAAACGCCACTCAAATCTTTCCCAGTCAAAGTGGTCCCAGTGGCTGTCAAAGCCTCAGCCGCCCCACAGACCCCGATCATAGCAGGAGGGAAAGACGGGCAAAAACCACAAACACAGCGAGTCACTTTGCACCAATGGGTGTCACAAATTGCCACTAATTCTCTCTCCCTACCCGCCCTACCACCGCTCCCGCCTGCGCGCTACGATTACGATGACTCAAGTCCTAGTATCAGAAGAAAAAAGCAGATTCGTCCGCCCTCCGACAGATACACATGTGCTGTATGTGAAAAGAGTTTCCCCTATCAATCCAAACTAACCGATCACGAGCGCATTCATACTGGAGAGAAGCCATTCATGTGCACCGCATGTAACAAAAGCTTCCGCACCCAAGCGTTCCTCAACAACCACTTGAAGACCCACAGTACGATGCGGCCCTACGTCTGCGGCCAGTGCGGGAAGTGCTTTTCCAAGCTTCAAAGCCTGACAAAACACATGCTCGCACACAGCGGTCAAAAACCCTTCTACTGCAACATCTGCAACAAGGGCTTCACTCAGTCGACCTACTTCAAGAGACACATGGAGTGCCACACCAGTCAGATGACATTCCCGTGCAAGCAATGCAACAAAACGTTCCCGACCGCGTTCAAACTGGCCAATCACGAACGCTGGCACACTCGCGATCGCCCCCACATGTGTGAGCGGTGCGGCAAGCGTTTCCTCGTGCCCAGCTTGCTGAAGAGACACATGGGATACCACATCGGGGATCGCCAGTATCTCTGTTCTCAGTGCGGCAAAACGTTTGTGTATTTATCCGACCTGAAGAGGCACCAGCAAGACCACATTCCCAAACCGAAGATACCATGCCCGGTCTGCCAAAAGAAGTTTTCCAGCAAGTACTGCTTGCGAGTTCATCTGAGGATCCACACTCGCGAGCGGCCGTACCGGTGCACCCTGTGCGAGAAGACGTTCACGCAAGTCGGCAATCTGAAGGTCCACATCAGGCTCCACACCAACGAACGGCCCTTCAGCTGCGACGTGTGCGGCAAAACCTACAAGCTCGCCTCCCATCTCAACGTGCACAAGCGGACACACACATGTAAAAAACCGTGGAACTGCGTGACCTGCGGGAAGGGCTTCTCCGTCCCGGGACTCCTGAAGAAGCACGAGCAGCTCCACGTAAGAGAGGCCGACCCAGAGTTTGCGGCCAAGCGGAGACACAGGGGCAAGCACAAGAAGCACTCTCTCAAGAGGAAGTATGATGAGGAAGATGAAGGCAGTGATGACTATTAACATGTTTTGGGGTTTTCTGGAAATAAAGTTTGGACAAGGAGACGTAGCCACCAGTATGTAACTGTAAAGTTCAAGGCATACAGTAGATGAAAGCCAAAGCTAGTTTGCTTTTAAAGGGGACAGTATGTCATTGTTATTCTCAATTGTGTTTCCACATTTTACTGTCTCTCCGGGCATAAGCTGAACATTTACTAATCCTATACAGACTTCTTATCAAAACTACAATGCGGACATTAAGTCCAGCCAATCAAGACTCACATGGTTCTTCTATGTGTTTTATGCAAACTCATTTTTGGCCACGTTAAACAATTTACAAATTTGAACCTTCACATTGATTTGCGAGGGTAAATATAGTGATATTGACATGGTTCTGTGATTGGCCAGTAGTTATTCAGAATTTACTTCAATAAGCATCAATAACCAATTGAGTGATGCAGATGTAATTAAATCGTTGACTGTTTCATTGACAAGGAAAACAGGTCTGCAAATGTAAATGAAAAGCTGGTGTCTTAAAAGACTTTCTAGAAAAAAAATATAACTATATTAACCCTCACTGTATTTTTTTAAGCAAGTACTTATACACGGCAAGCTTTGTAAATAAATGTTTATGCTAAAACATGTCTTATGATACATCATGGTAAAACAAAGCACCTGCATTTGTGAAGTGTGACAACTTGTATTGTGGCTGAACCATTTGACAGTAGGTTCACGTTTTGTGGGTGGGTGGGTTTTTATTACCAGTGGACACTAATGAATTATGTGTAGTGCCCTTTAGATCACCTAAAGCTATGACTTAGGGAGAATATATTTTGCATTATTATGTTTTGTAACAAATAAAGCGTCTTATAGAGAACTGTCCTTGACGTGTTTGCTCTGTTCCTTTGATAGATACCATGAATATGAACTTAAACAAGAACTTTCAGCTCAGACACTGAGGAACTAAAAAACAAGGCAAGATGTAGGGTATTTTTTTATTGTGAAAAATTCTGGTATATTAAAATGTCCCCTTTTTCTTTTTGCAAATTTTATTTTAATACATTTTCAGCAGTTTAAATTGCAGCAAAATTGATAAAGATAGGCGATGTTCTAGAAGTGTAGTTTCTGTTTTTTTTATGGACGGATATATATTAAAAAAGTCACAAAAAATAATACGCTGTTGTAACATTTCCCTGAGTGGTAAGAATAAATATCCATTACAACTTTTGCATAATTTCTGTCAGAGTGATGCTGTCAGTGACTCATTGATTGTTTCATTGGTTTGGATTCTTTTGATTTCATCCAGTTCAGAGTTCCCCTCAGATATTTCACTTAAAAAGCCTCTATTGGACAACCACGTGGTCAATTGCGACACAAGGAGGATGCTGGTAAAGCTGATGAGGACTATGACTGTGCGAAAGGGGATTACATGATGTCTTTGTCCATTCTGGAGGATCTTGTCCCAGGGCAAAGGAAGCACAGCGGACAGCCCCAGCGTCGGCTCCCCTGCCGCCATGCGCAGCACCAGGCCAAACACAAAGCCAGCGCAGGCCCCGTAGTGGTTCACCCAGCGGGGCAGGAATAGTGTGCAGATGATCTGAGGTGTCAGGATGGAGTAAAGCACGTCTGCACTGACGATCCAGAAGAGACTCACAGAGCTGCTTGTCGTGGCCAGCAGCGCCCCCACCAGGCCACACAGGACAATGGACACTCTGATCACCACCACTATGCTCCTTTCCGAGGCCTGCAAAACGAACAAGTATACATTGTATATAGTTTTTTGCTCTAGAATAGACTTCTTTATTTTTCCACAACCCACAATGTCTCTATTAAAATATGGTTGACCATGGTGAGTTATATTGGATTTTTCTTTTAAAGTGCATTTATTATTATTTTTATTCAACAACAATATTTGTGCTGAAAACCTACATCTACACCTGGGAAAGTCAACCTATAGCTCATCAGTCTCTTTGTAATTAAAATAATTTGTTTTCTCAATAGTCCCTGCTGTACACTTGTGATAATGTTTAATTTTTAAAAGTATTGTCAAATATGTGTGCACTTGGTGATTTCCCTTTGCCAAAAGATGGGAAGAAACTGGGCCCACCCCTGATCTAAACAGTAAAAATATGATTTTGTGTAATCAATGACATACACTCCTGAAAACCACATGTTGAATTTGTTCAACATCTATTAACTTTTTGTATAAAACAAGAGATGTATTGAACAAACAGGCTCTGAACTTGAAATATGCTTCTTTAGTAATGCCATACTTTTCATACTGAGTGGAGATACATGGGAATGCAAATAGAAAGGTATCGAGTCTCCAGTGAAGCTGCAAAAAAAGGCTGTTAAAACAGCTAGAAAGACAGGCCTCAGTCATGGTTACGGGGTTCATGTGTTTTTGGACACAACGAACAAATGCGTGACAAAGGATGTGAAATTATGGAATTAAATAATACGTCATCTTCAATAATATTAATGTACGTATACCACTGATTATCAAACATGTAAAAGTATAATGTTCTTTTGTTTTAAAACTCAGCAGCATTTTGCTGGCTTGATATGGCCAGCCTATGGTAATGAGGACAGGCATGAAGAGGAAAACTTCAGCCATTTCCTTTTGGGTTGAATGCAATTTGTATATAATACTATATATAATATATTGTTTTTTTTTATTAAATTGGGTCTTAATCTGTGGCCTCTATCATTAGGAAATGTAATTCCAAAACCACCCTGACCAGTCTCAGAGTAATTGGTCAGTCATATATAATTTTTACATTAAGTAAATATACTTTAAAGCATATATAATTTCACTTAATATGGGTTGGTCTGAATGCACTGTCCCTTTCTAAATCAAATTCAAAAAATGTATAAAATCACCACAGTTGAAAAATTATCTCAACAACAAGTGGCCCAGCTCAGTTTAGTGCACTTTTTAAAGTTGATAGACAATACACATTTAATTTAATACATATCACCATGAGGTTGCAGCATTACAAAAATGTAATTTATAACATTGAGGGGTTGAATAATCTCTGAACGCTGTTACCTAAGTCACACCAGACCTGTGCCAAAAAATAGCTCATGGTGAGTTGCAACCTTGTTTATCCCTGTGGAAACATGTGGTGGTTATTCAACCATGTTGTGGTTATGGAAATATGTGTGTTAGGATAAAGAGGTGAAAGAAGTGGATTAAAATGAGTGTAGATCAGAGAGAGTGTGTGGCAGTCCCACGCTTAGTTTTATGCTAGAACATTCTGAGGTATGTAAGGTCATCCAGGCAGGGATAACAGGAAGAGTATAGACATTAGACACCTGCTTTATTCATAAGGAAAGATACTGCGAGACTAAATACTGTATTTTTAATGTCAAGTAAAAATATATTGTAATTATCATGTAAAGTCAAATAAAAGGCCATTTAAACTTGTTTTTCAACAACCTTGGAGGCCTGTGGAGGCCTACCTTTTTATAAATGATGTTCTTGTAGATATTTCTGGCAAATTGGGAGGCAGCCGACAGCAGAACAGAGTCCACAGAGGACATGACCGCAGCAGCGAGCGCCCCCATACCGACCAGAGAGACAGCAAAAGGACAGAGCTGCTGCAGTGCTATGGGCAAGATGAGGCCAGCCATGTCTCGTTCATATGGACTGGGCAATCCAAAGGATGTCTGATTCCAGTCTGCAAGGGGTGCAATGCAGGTCATACAAAAATTACCTTAAAATACAGCGTTATATTATGATTTTTAATGGCCAAATTGACTCTTGTTAAAAAACAGATTTTTTTATAGCTACATACTGTATCTTTGACTGGATATAATGGATTATTAAAAATTATCAAGCAATTAATTTTGAACAGTATTATGTCTCACCTGTAGAAGCAGCTACAGCTCCAACCAGAATAGATGGAATTCCTAGAATTGGGCACAAAGCTGCACCAGCAAAACAGGTGAGTTTAGCCTGAGCATCTGAGGCAGCGGAGAGCACTCTCTGGTAGAAAGCTTGGTAACAAATCCCTCCAATGGCCTTTTAAGAAACACAACTAATCACATCTACCCATTAATACAAATGTCCAGCATTTTCATGAACACCAAACATTTAAAAAAAAAAAAAAAATCTTACCAACACCAGCACATTATCTATCCAGGACCCTGTATCTTCAATCTTTATTTCACCAATCCATGGTTCCTGGTATATTCTACTCACAGCAGACTCTGTGATGTTGCTGTAGTAAGGACACGTGATGATAAAAGGCACACAGAGCCACTGAGGATTGGAAAATTGATGTACAAATAAAAATGCAAGATGGATTATTTTTTTCATGGAAAATATATCACTACTGTTGGGGAGCTTACCAAGCCAAAAAACATAAAGATGAGTTGTATGACATCTGTGTAGGCCACTGAATAGAGACCCCCCAACATAGTGTAGACAATGGCCACAACAGCAGAGATGGAGATGGACAAGTATCTAGAGATGTCCAGGACCACACTCACTGTGGCCCCTGCTCACAGAAAACACAGGAATTATATCAAAGTCATCACATTTGCTAAATACTATGTTCATTATTCTTGCCTTACCAAGTGCACCTAAAATACAGGCCACCCAGAAGACATCAGCCAGGAGAGAGGGCAAGAACAGCACAGCAGCAATGGTGTTGCCATACTTCTCCTGAAACGGGTCCATCAGTGTAACGTATTCCTTCGACCTCATGGGAGTCACAAAAAACAACCCACCTGTAAAACCAAACGCACTTCCTCAAGTTCAGAACTGTGGAGACACATTGAACTGTTATGGCTTCATCCCAGGGCCAACCGCACGAGGTGAGGTCATGCCTGGTCCCAACATTTAAATCCTTTTTTTAATTCTCAACTGGGGTTGGTCGTCACAGCCTGAATCTCAGGAACCATAGGAGCCTGTTCAACAATTACCTAATTGTTGATTAACTGATTCAAATGTGTTTTGGATCTCATTTCAGCACAATTTTTAGAGGAATTTCTGCATCTCAAAAAGTACAGTATTTCAGTCTGTGTTACTGAAAAGAAAGAAGTATATTAGAATGGTTTATTTTATAATAAGTATTTTCAAATCTAAGAGGAGGAAAATGTGGCTGATCAATAAAGTAAAGAAAAAAAAAATAAAAAAAAAAACGTTAAAAAATTATTAAAAAACAAAGACAATGTATGCATTAAACTCATAATCATCCAAATCAATATCAGTGGATTTTATCCTCTATCCTGGAAAAAAAACAAACAAAAATAAAGTAAATAAACAAAAACAAATCAAAAATAAAAACAAACAAACACTATTGGACACAGTAGAACTCAGCAGATTCAGTCAAAACACAGACAAAAACGAGCTGAGTCTCAAATTAGAAGCTAATTTCACTTTTATTACACTACTTTTATTCTAATGCTAATTGTTTACACTACACTCACTCTTATTTCACTGTATTATTTTCACTTTTTAATCTTAGACTGTGTACTTTCTAATCTATTTACAAATATGTTTGCATATTTACTTTTATCGAGCCATATTCTTAAACATATGTTTTAATCTAATAAATCTCTCTGTGGTTTGCTTTCATTATCATTGGCTTTGTGCCAGTGGGATTTTGCTCCATGTCTATTCTACATTCTCAGGAATAAAACTGTGAACACAGTAAGACAAATGGTTAATATGAACATTATTATGGCAGTCAGTTTTCCAAATACATTTGTTGAACCAGGATGTGCTGTCACTTCCTCCTCTCAGGCAGTTTGGGATGAATGTACATGTTCTCAGCATGTCACAGTGCAAAACTGCCAATCCCCTGCACTCCCTGTATCAACTGGTGTGCCTCAAGGGTCAATCCTGGGGCCTCTATTATTCTCCCTGTATATTAATGACCTCCCGTGCGCCTGCCCGAATGTCTCTGTGCAGATGTATGCAGATGATACTGTGCTGTATGTTCATGGCAGCAGTGTTTCCCAAGTGGCTGAAAAGCTCACCCAGGCCATGGTTCACATCACAGCATGGCTGGAGCACTGCTGCCTACAGTTAAACACTTCAAAAACTGTATCAATGCTTTTCTCCAAAAAACCTATTACAGATGTGCCTGATGTTCATGTTTCAGGTATAAGGCTGCAGACCGTATCCCAGTACAAATATCTTGGCATAATCCTGGACTCAACTCTCTCATTCAAACCTCATGTTAAAATTGTCAGTAATCGCATTAAGTTCACCCTCAGTAACTTCAGACACATCCGGCCCCAAATGTCAATACAAGCAGCAAAAATGTACATGCACGCAATGATCATTTCACATCTAACATACTGTTTAACTGTCTGGTCATATGCCAATGTCACAACTCTCAAACCCATCCTGTCCCTCTACAAACGCACCATAAAAACTCTGGACCGCAAACCACTCTCACATCATCACTGTCCAATATTACAAAAGCATCATTTACTCAGTTGGGAAAACATGGTCAAATACTCACATCTCTGCCTCTCCTATAAAATAATTCATGGTTTGTCATCACCCCCACTCACACAGTTCATTCACATCAATACAGCAGAACTCAGGAGAACCAGAGCAGCAGCAAGGGGCGACTGAATCATCCCTCTGAGAAAAAGCCTCTTTGGTCAATCAACATATTCTGTCAAAGCCGCCCATGAATGGAATCTCACCCCCACAACAATTAGGAACACCAATACATATGAAACATTCAAAATACAGGTAAAAAAATGGCTCATTCATAATCAAAGCTGTCAGCACTGACTCCTCACCTCTGCCCCCTGTTGGCCTCTTGTTCTTTGTCTGTGAGTCTGACTTGTCTTCATTTTTTGTTGAGTGTGTAACAGTTGTGTGTTCATGTCTATATGTTTGATTTGTGTTATTGAGGGTATTGCTTGTATATATTTTACTGTGTCATGTTTTATCTGTTTGTGATATGTTTAATTTTATTCCCTTCAGGAGGACACTTAACAACTGTCCAGGGACTACAGATGAAAAATAGCCTTTTGGCTAATTCTGGCTTATTTACATGCATAATGTATTTTAATATGCACTGTCTCTTTAATAAATAAAACAAAACAAAAATACATCATTAATAAAATTAGTATTATTCTTACAAGAGCTAATCTGTTTGAGCAGGTTTGGGGTTGGGGTCAGTTATTCTACAGTGGTGTTAGATTCTCTAATCTGTTCTGACGAATCGACAGCTTTTAAACTTCTACATTGATCTCATTAATCTAGGCTACACTCAAACTTTTTGTATTGTCAACATTCACAGATGTTTGAAACAAGTGAATTTGACAAGTATCTAATAAACTGTGCATAAAACTGTAAGTAACTTTATCTACTTTTGAAGTAAATGTTTGTGAATCTATTTTTGAAGGAAATGCTCCTTTTACAATTCAAATATTAGCAATGACTAGAAATATCTCTATTTTTGAAAGCATCTATGGTTGATGCCTTTATCTATTTCTATTTTTACTCTATTGTGACTCCAAAGCTCGGTTGCAGCTTGAGCCAAGGCATATTTCTAGTTTGTATGAAAAGAAAAGGAGATGACTCTGCACAGCTTTTAGACATGTCTGATGAAGGGTAGTGACCCGAAACGTCACATCTTGTGGTGATAACATTAAAAACTCTTGGGAGCTAAAAGCTGTGCAGAGTCATCTCCTTTTCTTTTCATGTTTTCTATTATCGACTTTTTTTGCACGCTGCTCAGTATTGGATGTGCGCGTCAACCCCACTTTCTCTATATTTCTAGTTTGTGACTTCTGTCACTTTTAATGGCTGTAACATAACTCTGATTCTAATATTATATCTGCTCTATCAAAAGGATAACATTGTATGGTACTATTTTAACTCTTACGTTGAAATGTGTTCATGAAAAACAAAGGAAATAAAATTCTACTTTTTTACTACTATTTAACATCTACTAAAACGCTACAATACTCATACTTTATCATTTTAAAACATTTTAACAGTCGCTCAGTCTCCCAGACTAAAAAGTCAACGTTTTTGTCTGTCAGATGTCTGATACTTTACATGTATTGCATTTGGTCACAGTTCTGGTTGTAGCAATAGCATCGGCAATAGATGATTTTTCATTGGCTGGTTCTTGTTCTGCAAATGTCTGTGTCCAATAGAATAGATCATCAGATGTCCAGAAGCTAAGGACAAACAAAAACAAAAGAAAGAATCATGAGTATCTGTCTCATTTAGCACTCATCAATGTATGATTTTAAAAATATAAACATCACTCCCCGGTTTTTCTCTCTCTCAGAGTCCTCAGGTCCTCAGGTCCTCAGGGTCCCCTGAGGGTGAGTCTCAGTCGTCATCAAGTCAGGTCATATTTCGAGAGATGTCATCTTGGACATCAGTAGGGTCCAAGCCATGGTTTTGGTCTCTCCAGATGCATTCTGGTCACTCCAGGTACATCAGGTTGTTAGTATTAGATAGCAATATGGCCTACGTGCAGGACTGTACAAGGACTCTGATTATTTTGACTATGATGTGCTCTGTCTCTGTGTGACACGTACGTCTTTCGATGTGTGACGTGACAATGACTATATAAACTGTGTACTGCCTTTATTCTGTCTGAGAGAAAGAGACAATGGAAACCACTGGAACTTGAGAGAAACTTAAATAAACTTCCAGAGTTTGGCGCACCACGATCCGTCTCTGTCTGCTGAATCCCTGACAGATTTGGTGGAGAATGCGCGGCTCAGTGTGCGCCATTCTCTGGATTGTTTTGAGGGAGTTTCCTTTGTTTTCTTTTTCTCGGCGTGGGAGAGCTGAGAGTATCGGGGGCCTGGGAGCGGTCCAGCAGGCTGGAGAGGCGACCGGCTCCGGGACTTTTTTGCTCTCTCTCTATATTTTTTTGTGTCCTCTTTTTTGGACTGACTAAGCGTTTAAAATTGTTTTCCCATGTCCACATTCCGGGGATTTTTGACGTGTGATTGGTCTCTACCTAGTTCCCGGTACTAGTGAGCGCTGGTTCATGATCTGGAGACCTGGTTGGACGTGGAAAAGCTGATATTTGGTGGACTTCTGACGGTGCCTGGGCCCTGTTCGACAAAAGGTAAGAGCGGACACCTGTTTATTCAAAGTCTGCTAATTGAGTGAACTAAATTATGGTCTGTTTTGAGGTCCACCAAATGTCGTATATCTATATAGATCGGATTAGGTAAGATTCAGGTCCGCCACCTCGATAAAATGGCAGTTTAATTGATCATCAGGTCCGCCACCTCGATAAAATGGCAGTTTAATTGATCAACAGGTCCGCCACCTCGATAAAATGGCAGTTTAAATGATCATCAGGTCCGCCACCTTGATAAAATGGCAGTTTAATTGATCATCAGGTCCGCCGCCTCGATAAAATGGCAGTTTAAATGATCAAAACAGGTTGCTACCTCGATAAAATAGCAGTTACAGCCACAATAGTTAGTGAAACCATGGTATAAAAGATAAATAAACATAAAAAGGGAAACGTTAAACACTAAGAGTGCCTTTTGTTACAAGTGTGGAAAGTGGTCATTTCTAGACTTGGATGACAAAAGTATAAACTACAACATCAGTTATATTAGCTTAAAAAAGTAATCTTGAAAGTTCTTCTTCTGTATCTTTCTGCCTGTGTGTGCGCAGCTCTATCTTGCTGCCGTTGTCAGGGGAAACGGCCCCCTCCTTCACTA